TGAGACGGTTTGGCAGACTTCAAAGTGACTAAACGTATATTCTTGACTAAAATGCATAAATGTGATTACAGCTGACTAAGCCTTAATCACTGGATACATAAGTTTTCAAGACGCGCTGTTGGTAAATCAAGATCTGGCTACTCCCACCTCTTAGCCTTCTCGAATTTCCTATTCCCAGCTACGTCAAAGAAGTGAGGTCAAAATTGTAATCAATTGAGTATCAAGGTTTACACCCCATGTTTGTGCTTGTTTACCGTTAAATTCTGTGTGTCTGAGCAGGCGCTGCAGTTTTCCACGAATTTTGGTATTAGGATTCCACTATGACAGTGTCAGTGCACGCGATATTTAAACTGCTGATTCCAAAAGTCACGTTCTGTTAAAGTATAGTGGTTTTTTTGAAATCTGCTCCCAATCAGACTTGTTCGGCTATTTAGAAACCCCAACAACTAGTCAATGGTGACAGTTTACTAAACAGGGAACACTAATATCCGGGTGAAATCGAGCTATGTTCAACTGCCGATAAACTACGAATGTAGGTTGCTATTGAACTCTGGCAGCCACTAGCAATAATTCATGCCATGCATCCGGCCACCAGTATGCTGACTCATCTGATAAAGCCCTAAATCATTAGGGCAAATCTCTCTATTAAGGTGCGTTTTTGGCAACTTGTTTGACTACAGCAGTTATCGGCCACGGTTTATTAGATTGTTAAAGGAGTATGACAATTTGTAGAAGCTTTGAGACAATACGGTTGGAGTGGATGTGATCACTCACTAGCAGATCCCACATGACATCTTGATGGTTAGATAAAAATACAGCATTCTCGTTGTGCGTAAGTCATTGAAGCGTATATGACTGCACACATCACATGGGATGTTTTCTAAACTGAATGATTCAAAAGTGCATCAAAACTGGCAAAGATACTGCTAGATCCATTTAGTTATGCAGGTCCTTGTGTAATTGGATTACACAGAGTTCTGCTTGCCAAGCATCGTTGGGAATGACGAGTTCTCGGCCCACATGTGCCAGTCACGTTGTGACTTGGTGTGTGAATGAGCGTTGTGTGATTTTATGGGCGTTGCTGCAGTGTTGCTTAAACTTCAGGGTCACAGATTGATCGAGAATGAGAAAGATTACCACGTATTTCGAAATGTGAACTCGATGTGGTCATGTGGCTATGAATAGGTGTGATAGGTTCAAAAACCTTGGTAAATTCGCTTAGTGGTGTTTTGATTTAGGTAGTAAGGACTAAGTTCACGAGCAAAATTGATACAGAAGTTGGCAATATTTTGTAAAAATGATTTTCATCCTCAGTGGGCAGACTCTGAGTCCAAAAAAGGCCACACACTACAATAGTCTAAAGTGCACATTTTAAGCCAAAAGAGCTAAAATTTTTTAAACATTGTTTTATCGTGGTTTATCAGCTAATCACCAAACCTATCATAGAGAATTACATGACATTTATGAAAGTTACAAATCAAGCACTCATGACACGGTTCTATAGCAGAGACAAGTACCGTTTTTAAGGTTAATATGAATCTTTTAAGGCAATTCATTTTATTCATTCACTAATGCACAATCACTCAGAATTCACTTATGTTTTGTAGCTTATGGTGTAATATTTCCAGGCTTGGTCTGACATCAAAACCAAATTGTTCATTGAAGGTCAAATTCTGTTTCATAAATTTGCAATCCAATCAGAATTTTTTTAAAATCAATATGTGGGATGCTCCTGCTCTACCACAAGAGAAAAAGGCACTAAAATAGCACTAAATCCATGAAGATGAACAAAATCTGAATTAACTTTATTTGGGAACCCCTTGAAGAACATGGCTAGGTTCACCTTTCAATCTAAACGCATAAAAGGAACTTCCTTTCTGAGTAAGAACAACATAATAAGACATTGAATCAATTTATTATTCAAATGACTCTCAGTATAAAAAACAATTTATAGGTTGGAAAAGTGACATATTTGATTAATGAAGACTTCTGTGATAAAAGCAATTTTTTTTAAATTTTTGAGAATCCTTATCAAAAGAGAATGAAGCTTGCTTTGGCGAGAGCGTAATACAACGTTTTAGAATAGATTGTGATTATAAGAGGATGTGAGGCTTAAGTTTAATGGAGGATGCCGTAAAACACGATCTATTTGCCACAACTTTCCTGACTATGCCATTGGTGATCTTGATCAGGTGCTGTCATTGTAGAACACAACGGTCTCCTAGACAACCAAATTTGACCACTTTATGTCTATTCATCATACCATTTAACTTTTAATAGTGACTTCAATGCCTCAGCTAGCGACAGTAACTCAGTGTACATGAAACCCATCTAATTCTTTAAGACAGATTTCGAGACTTCTGCATGACAATTTTCATACTAGCGAAATCTGTCATATCAGGTCATCTAGGCGCAAAAATTTCCCCTTATTCCCTAAAACGCTAAAATTATGTGATTCGTATGACATTACGATAACATGTAAAAATAAAAGCTTTGCAGGCTAGCCCATAGTATGTATATGGTTCCATTGATATTTTCCAAAGTCGTAGGGCGTGATGGAAACAAAATGAAGTGAATAATTAGTCTATGACTTACTAGCATAATCTTAGCAAAGGCATTTGCGTTTAAAAAACGATTGCAAATGTAGCTCATCGTGTTTCTGTTCAGTTTTTAAAGTGCTTATTAGTACTTTTTCTAATAATTCGAACACCCATGGCTCCGTTACTCAGCTTTAATCATAAAGTTTTATAAAATAATCGAAACCTACAGTGCTGCGTGTGTCGCAAATTCAGGAAAAGATCTTGTTCAAATGCCATATCACGAATGCTAAGCAACTTTGTTGCCCGCGATTTGGTCATGATAAAATAGTAAAAATCGATACGTCGATGAACCTTCCGTCATAGCAGAGAGACTGAGATGGTTGGATGGTTATTCATTTACCAGGAACAGTACGTCGTGTAACTTACGCAACATAATAGTACTTTTATTCCTTTATAGAACCTTTTAGCCAAATATGAGTACATGGCCTTGTTCCCAAAATGATATTCCCTATCATACGTCCTAAAATAGAACCTAAAACTGACGCTATGGAAGAAAGTTCTTTAACAGAGTCGAGTTAAGTTAAGAATGACCACAGGATGCCCAATTTAAATATTTGTGATACTTGCGAAACCAAGTTAAATTCTAGGTCCGTCTACTCAAGCATTTGTAAAAATTGTGACGAATTAACTAGGGACTGAAATAAAGAAACGTAGATGGGGTGCTGAAATTTATTTCTCGAGATTAATTAAGCGTGAGTAGGAGCACTTGGGCGTTCAAAAAGGGTGGAATAGCATGTGGTACAAGGTTCTAAAGCAAAAGAGTGGCTAAAAAACCTGGTCTTTGAGGTGAACAAATACAAGCTCCTCTGGATGTAACGCAGTGTTTGAAAGTATGTGCAGTCTCGTGATCCGATGCATGAAGGTGACTTTAAAACAATCAGTCTTAGTCTTTTATCCCCCTCATTAAGCGTCTCCTTTCTAAATTAAAATTATTGTTCTACTCTATATGGCATTATCAAGAAATCCAAAATATCATAATAGATTCAATAGACATTAAACCAGAGGGCCTTGAAGAAAGAAAACATCTTCGCTGTAGAAAAGCAAACTAAACGTCTCAGAATGTAAATTTTCAACCACTGAAATCCAGATACTGCTCATTTGGCTGAATAAATAAGGAGAATGGGTGCTCTTGAACCTTATCCTTAAGCTTTGTAAAAAAAATGAAGGTGTTTCATTTGTCTGACCATCATTATGAGTGGATTCCTCTCCGCAAATACTCAGAAGTCAACACGGGTGAAAGTGTCTAGCTCTAAAAATATTTCAATTGAGTTTATTTATTCATGCTGATTACAATCGCCTGATAAGTAGTATATGTACAAAATCAAAAATCATTCCGAGAATTGTTAAAATATGAATGCTGTGTGTTAATATGAAGCCGACGCAGATAAGTGGGTCTGTATTGTGCAACAAAATAAATTACGAAACTATTTTCATATTACATTTAACTTAAGTACTAAATTAAATGAATAAACAGAAAAAAGAATAATACCATGCTTTCCATAACTGTGATTCTCAAATGCAAAGATGTTGAGGGGTCAAAGGTTCCTCTGTATTTATGAACTCTAATGCACGCGCCGTTGACACAAACTTCAAAGCAGATTTGTGGCAGCCTTTGAATGCATCCTTTCTTCTTCCATTAAAGGTCGATCACTTTCTCTTCTTCTTCATTCGTTTTTAAAATACTTCGCCTATCTTTTATCCAAAGTCACTGTTTTACCTTCTGTGCATAAATGTCGAAAGAATATTGCCCGTTTTTGAGCAGTTACACAAATGAAAACGCAAATAAACATCAAAATTAGAGGTCTTCTAACGTCAGTCCACTTGTAATTCAAAATGGCACATCTAATTTGGAAGACTAGCCAGGTGTGTTCACACATGATAACTGGCTATTTTTATCCTTTTCAATTTCCTTTATATTATTAACAAAAATCCACTAAATTTCGAACCATTTTTTGTTTTTCTTCACTAAAAGGTTTTATTGTTTCAGGTAGGAGTTAATTTTTGTCTTCTCAGACCGGCATCGCTTAGCTCACACGTAGCAAAATCTGCATTCCAAACTTAATTACATTTCGACCTATAGAATCCGCGAGTTTCAAGTTTACAGCATATGGGGATTTGGTTAATGACAGTCAGTCAGATTCATTCAATAATCCTCGTCAGTCCTTGTGAAACATGACACTTGAGGAGCCTAATGCAGACCTTCTAGTGCACATTTTTGATGAAATAAATGAATCCGAGTCGCGTAAGTCACCATGTTACCTCTTAGGCAGCATGATTATTTTTTCAGGACTCCCAGCTGAGGATTTTTACCATCACTTGCTTAAATGGGGTCTACCAAAAGACAAAGCCAAAGTTTGCAGTCCTTAATTTTAAGATACCCTCTTGTAGAATTACATTGCAATGTTTGACCCAAACGGAACCGGTTTCGTGAAACGCGACGATGTGTGCAATGCCCTTAACTGCTATCCTAATCAGTGAGTGGCTGACGTGAAACCAAATTTGTAGGCCCAAATACTTAGAAGACATTGAAGTGCTCGCCAATGACATGTCTCAGCGGAAACGGGAATCTGTTATAAAAATTATGTTAGGGGCCTTCTCTTCACGAAAACCAAAAAAGGTTTGTGCTTCTTCATGTGGTTCTTTAAAATAACGTTTTTTACGACACATGGAGCGTTAAGTTACATAAATGTGGCAATGTTTCATTTTGAATACTTTTGATCGTTGTAAAATAAGAATCAAACAATTGAGAAGCCTATACGAGACTTAGGGAAAAGTTAGAACAGTGTAGAAGCCATTCTGAAACTTTTCGAAAATACATTATGTATGAAAATTTAACAAATCTCTTTGATTCGAATCTCTTGTGTCTAAATAGGACAAGCTCAAAGAAGCCAAGGAAAAGTTGGACAAGCTCTATGGCAAAGGGTGGAACGTGTACATAGCAGAGGGACGCTTCTGGGCCGTATGCTCTCACAAACCTGGCTCAAATTTAACTTTTGTGCACCACGGAGTGGTTTATGGTGTCTTTCAAACGCCCTCGGAAAGTGACATTGACGACGAACAACACCATCACCACCGCCGTTGATTTTTAATAGACAGGTGCCTCTGTGTTAGTTGATTTTATGTGCAAATATACCACTTTTGGCATGGTTACTACTCCCTGAAAGAGACCAGTGCCAGATTTCCCTTTAACCATTAATGCTTTGCAGATACGTAGAAAGCAATAATCACAAGTAATTATCGTATAAAGTTTGATTTACTTAATAAATGGAAACAATACAAATTTACAGAGGTTTGTCTGTTGGAGAAAATGGCTTGTAAAATGGACCGTGGCTTCATCAATAATGCTGTCTTGCACCGTATTTGACATCACAAATCACGGTTGCATTTACTGCGGTGTAGTGAGCCCAGCTACGCAGTTTATGACACAGCTTCTAAAAGGCCTCTTAAAATGCAGAACGTACTAATTGGCCCTGGTTATCACTAGTCATCCCTTGAAACCAACAAACACATCACTTGGAATATAAAATTAATTGACTAGTATTCTTGGGAGAATGGACGTAGTCATCCCTAGAATTGTAAGAGCACTTGTCGATTGCAAAAAAAGTCAAGCTTGTTAATATTTTTCAGTTATTTATAAATGTAAATTTGTCTAAGTTTTTTTGAATTTAAATAAACGCTGTAGATATTGGATCCATTTGACTTTACACAAACCTACATCGTCCCATTTTTCCAGAATTATGCGTAAGTGCCGTGGGTTCATGAAAGGAAATGATTTTAAATTGTCAAAGGTGATTGATTTTGTGTCTTTAAAATATTGATCTGTGGTCTGGTTACGTTAACTGAGCAAAAGGAGAACTAAACACAAAAAATGGGCTCAGCCATAGGTACATTTATATAAATCAATAAGCAGCCAAATGTGAAATCAGACGTATTTAGTCTTGACCTTCATATACTGACACCAAACAAAAGCAAAAAAATTAAAGTCAATCTTCTTTTGAAATTTAAGCTTATCCGGTCTTTTTTATCCATAAGAGGTGCCCGAACCTCGTTTTGGGTGAGCAACACAGCACAGCACAACTGCAACAGCAATGTCTAGTAAATCAAATATCTCCTAATAAGCGGGAGATGAAAAGAACAAGATGTACCACTGCACTAGTTTATATTGTCAAACATACAATTAAAATCCTGCTTTATTGTTTGATGAAGTACATTAACCCAAGCTGCAAAGTTATGTTCAAATTATTTTTCTAAAAATATCAGTCTGATTAGGGTATCCCACATGCAGTAACCTATGTGGGAATATTTTACTCTATTCCATGCCATAGAATTGGCCAGGAAAGCTTTAAGATAATTTATTTAAACGTCTTATTTTTTTATTTAAGATGTGTAAAGATAAGCTGCAGGAATATAAGTTGGATTTAATCTAATAGCATGTTGTCTCGGACAAACGAAATCTTCTTTACGGTAATCAAAAATGAAAATCACTGTTTAAATGACTCCTTAGACTTGTACATATGATTTATTAAATTGTCTGGTTGAAATATATCAGTGAAATTCAGGTATTAGAAAATGAAAAATGATTAGCTGGAGATAACTAATCCATCCAAAACGCCTTTGTATAATGGAGTTGTTTTTAGGGATAATTAATAAACACTTTTATGGTTTTTTGTACCTAATATATTCTCGGCGACACATTTAAGTAATATGAGACAACAAAATATGTCTCTTCTAAAAGTGCCGTACTTTATGTTAATTACCGAAATTAAAGTAAGCACGGACTTTGATTTAAGATAATAAAAAAACCGTTGCAACGAGGGTGAAACCTTCCTTAATTTTATAACAACTGTAGTAAACATGTTATGTATTTAAAAACTGAATTTAGTATTATACAACATGGAAGGAAGTCAATCAAGGATTCACGTAAATCATGTTTATCGACAGACTCAACGGTCAGTTTGTCTACGTGGAAAGTGTTAAAAATGTATCAAAAGTGTTCGCACCCGGCACTAGCGACCGCGTGTTCACTCGAATCTTGACTTTAATTCCATGATTTGTGTTTGCATCCCATGGAGTGACCTTCACTCTGGGACCAATTTATGTATACTGACATCTTGCCACACAAAAGAATCATGCTTCTGCTAACCCAATGAGCAATTAGGCTCTCTGTCGATTTGATATTCTGTTCCTTCGCCTCTGACAATGCAGAAACGCATCCACAGAATTCACCTACATGGTCGACCCACGGTCCACTTTTATCTTTCTGAAATTATTGCTTTTTTTGCAATGCTTTATTAAAACGTGGCTATAAGAGGTCATTACATAAACTAGATGAAAGGTTGGTATTTCGCTGACTGGACTACTTGTTGTGTTTAAATTCTTGTGCTGCCTCCACTTAACTAATACCGTGACTGAATTGTTTATTTCCTTTCCTTTATTAAATACATCAGTTTATAGGATGAAAAGTCACTGGAGCATGTGGTCTCCAATACAGCTCTGGTAAATGTCCATGTTTTGAGTACTGTGGTGTCGTCAAGGACACCCGTAACACTTTCCATGTTGCTCCTGTTTAACCCATTGTTAACTCTTCTGGTTCTCGCTGAGTGCCACTACAACTCTGTGCTTTCGGCAAGCAGTACTCCTTGTGGCACCACATCAGATAATGCATTACCATTTTCGAAGTGTTCTGAGCTGCTTTTGAGATGTTGACATAACTTACTTTGAGGCCGACGCTTAGTATTCAAGTACTGTAAATAGTACTTTCAAGGCTTCTAGTTCCAGCAGTTACTAACGCTAATAATTTCCGAATGTTGCGGAACACGCCGCAACCAATGTTGGGCTTTATAAATGTTTCATTACTTGTTTTTTTTGTTAATTTGCATTTTCGCCAAAAAGTTGACTTCAAATTATATCTTTAAGTAGAGACCACTAGCCGCGAATTGAAGCAGACCAGGTGCACCAGGATGTTGACCAGACCGTATTTACAATTTAAGCGGTTCCGTTGCGTTTAGGGATTTAAAGGAGCACACAACAAAATGAAAAACAAAGGAGTAAATTTTCAAGGGGGATATGGATGCATACAAATTTCACACTTCTGTTATCTAGTAGATTTCACCAGTACCACTAAACGTTTCTGCGTTTTTACTCAACTTTAACTGAATCGATTTATGTGCATTAAGCCTGAATGTCACATGCACGCGAGAATGTAATTGTAACTGTTCAAATAGATTTTGGAAGGAAATGCGGGTTCTTACTCATTCTGCCTATAGGCAGATGAAAAACAAGAAAATGCATGTAAATTTCTTTTCTATTAACTCTATTATCCTAACAATGCTAAAGCAGCCTGATTCACTGACGAATAGGCCACCAAGATCTAGTTTAAAAAAGATTAAGGACAAAAAAAGGTTTTACCGTCTTTGGTCTACATTTTAACTTGGCTACAGTTCCTCACAGTGGTCATTAATATTTTAACCGACTTCCAACTAAGCATTTAAATGTATGTGCCTAAACAGTTGACTCCTACTAATGATCTGATAAACGCCTTGGGTCATGCTACTCTCCGATGTTTGAACGTTTGCATAGTTATTACCTGCAAAATATTTTGATTTTCATTACTCTGTAATTATCACAAGCTAGCCTGCCTTGTAATATAAATTGATTCAACTTAAGTCGCTGACAATTAGTTACATTACAGTGCATTTGCTCTGATCCTAAATTTACAAATAAAAAATTTAATGTGCTACTAAGCAGAACCATTTTTTATACTACAGGCCTACCTGTGTAAAGGCTGGTTCCTATGCCAACAATCCGATCATAACGAGTGCATTGTTCTCCTCATATACGAGTTGGGTGCAAAACAGTTTATTCTGTTTTAGAAGTCCTTTGATAATAGCTTGTTGAGATACATTTAGATTCCACTCATTTATGGAAAACTAAGTCATTTTTGTAGTGGCCTTTTTATGTGTTTATCGGAACATGATTGGCCTCTTGACTCTTTCCAACCTCGCTTGGAATTTTACGCACTGCTAATAAACTTGCTTAATAGGTTTTCTATAGAAAAGTACAGCGCTAAACCACTATCTCTGTCTTGGTAGATTCAGGCTCATTTGTTCAATCTGGAGGTCGATTGCCAAGCCAGGAATTCTCAGGACTTTCTGTACCTCTGATGACCAAGAATTATTTGGACAGCATGAGACCTTCTTTGCTACAAGTTTGTCTTAGCTATGGTTAGTAATTCAGTAGTTATAAGGCGGTACAGCACTGCATAGTGGTGCACATAACCACTAAAATGACACATTATACTCTAACGTTTTATCCGCAAAGAGCCGTTTTGGAAAAAAGCTGGATACCCAAAACACACCTAGCTGGTGAAAAAACAATTATTTTTTTGATAAGCTTTTTGGTTTTAAGGTTCAAGGGGCACTAATAAACAAAAGATCCAAAGCAAATTTCTTCAACGCCGCACCTAGTAATTCTGACGCAGAACTGGTCACTCAACAATTGATCTTAAAACCAAACAGTCCATTGTTTACTCTCTTGTGCTGCAACTTTAACTATCTACCAGAATGCAAATGCATAATTGTGAATATCTGCCGAGCAAACAATCTCGATCTCACCCAACAATGACGCCAAATCATCCACCGATAAAACAGCATGTCAACCACCTCGCAATCAACCAAAACTTCTCTTTTGCCCAGTCAACTCTTTCTCTCCATTAACGTGTTACTATAATGTTCTGGAAACTGTTTGTGTGGATCGTGGAGATAAAATTAATTTTTTTAATGCAGTTTATAAAGTGTCCTAATTTATCAGCACTGAGTTTGTATGTATAATCGCTGCATGACCGAAAGCAAAATTTCCTGTGGATCATAGCGTGCAGCAAGGGAATGAAAGAACTCTTGATAAATTTGGATGAATGTAAGGACACATAAACCAGTGCTGTGGTGGCAGCAATTCCTTCAAAAGTCAATTGAAAATGTAGATCAACGCTTCGGCACCTTCGTTATATGAATGATTCTTAACTCTAACCAAGTTTATCGAGATGAAGCTAAACCACATTTTGTATATTCACTAAAATTTACTCTTACGAATTAAAGAACATTTAATGAAAAAAAGGCTTCTTTGATACGTAGTCCATTTAAAAAGACCTCACTTGTAAGGTCAATTGTGTATATTCAAAAGTGGGTTGCATTAGAGGAATGGAGTTTATAATGGAAGATAGGTAATTATGCCTTTATTTCAGAAAGGGATGGTTGCTCCCAATGACACCATGCCTTGAAATACCAAACTCTATCAAATCTGAACTCCAGTAGCTAAATCTAAGTCTCTGATTCAATTTAACTCAAATTCATAAAGGCAGTAGTACGAGGTTCCCAGTTACATCTGCAGAGTAAAGTCTGAAAATGGATTTTAATCGAAGGGAAAATAATTCCATGGCATTGAATGTTTTTTGGGGAAAAAAAGAGACGTGAATTTCATGTCGAAAATTAACCACTGACGTTTGTCTTTTCTCCATAATTTTTTTGCTTCTACCTGTTTTTTTATGGAGTCAAGAGTAAATTTAAATAGCGGCAATGCTTTAAAGGACGCTTCACCGTAAAATATTGTAAGTTTAATATCACACTTCTAAATATAATTGTGAATGATCTCACAGTAATTTGGTAAACGTAGAACAAATATATTACCTTAATCATCGGATCGCTTATTGGTTAAACCATCACTATGATTAGTGACACTTCACACAGGAAACTGTGCAAAAATTTAACCTATTGAAGGTCTATAAAGGCACCATGCTTCTACAAAGGCATCATTAACACGTAGCAACAGACAAATGGACCTGAACAGTTATTCTCAAAGCGAATTTCCACAAAGCTTGCTCCTTCACCTTTACGATGAGTTGACAGAGTCCCAGCCGAGTAAGCAGCAATATATTTAATTTTAAAACTTCGAAAATTACGTGAATTGGAGGGCTTATAGCAACTCATTCTTCAGCCTTTAGTTTGGTGGGGCGCGTGTTGGGTGTGAATTAAGCAGCCGTGTTTAAAAAAAAGACTTAGATATTTTTGTAATACTTCAGTTTGTGTAATATGAAAATAGTTGGTCTGTTTAATGCATTTTCGATTTTTTAATTAAACCGATTCAAATTATTTGTACCAATACTTGGACAGATGATTTGATGAACACAGATGAAAAACAAAGAATAAGTCCTTTGATGTTTTAATGGGGTATATAGGGCATAGTATTTTGCTTTCTAGAGGTGATTTTGAGTGTGTAAACTTCCACAGACCAATGCAACTAATTTTTGTTATATATAGTCTGGTTGTTATTAAGATTCCCGTAATAATGATGACTACATTATGCTTGTTCTTGATTCATGCTATGAATTACGAGGTGACAACAAGAAATCTAAGTAGTTTATTTAAGATATCATGATAGGCAGCTACAATACCACTGTTGGAAGCGCAGAATAATATCGCATAACAGCAAATTCTGCTTAAACTTGAGAAGAAAAAGAATGTGACACTTGTGTATGTTGATAGAGAAATGGGTTATCATCAAACAGATAATTTGGTTGAATATTAATTAATTAAATGGATTCACATTATTGCATGCTATTAATGCGACAGCAAAAATGGACTTTAAGTGGAATCGTGACTTAATAAATCTGTCTTTCTTGAAGTTTTGTAAGTTGTTGAGGGAACAGTTTAGCGCCATTTTCTTGGCAATACACTTGCGCCATTAGTTATACGGCTTCCAAAGAATCCACACACTCAAGACGTTTACTTTCGCACATTAGGCACAGCTATATCTCGGTCTAACTAATGTTAAAACGCAAAAATAAGACATTATGAGCCATTATTTCTATCTAAACTACTTCTTGAACCTTTTTCTTTTTGTGGCCGGGGGTCGAAGAAACTAGGTATCACCGGCGTACCTAGTGCTACTTAAAATAAGTAAACCTGATTCTTTGTCGATTACGTGGGAAAGTCTGAATCACGGGCAGATCAGTGTGACTAGTTCTCAAATTAATATTTGGATTATTTCGACGTTCACTTCTAACTGTAACTGGTCACAAGTCAACTTAAGTCAAAATTCACAATGATATAAAAAAAATAAAAAAAACTCTAAAATGTAGAAGCAAACATAAATTTGCGAAAACACTTCTTTTTGTCAGTTTTAAGTTTTAGAATAATTGAAGCCCTACACTTTTCTCCTAGTTGTTTCATTAAAAGACTACGAAAATTTCCTTGTACGATGGGGCATGGAACCAAAGCAAGCCCAAGTAAGTTGTGTTCAACTAAATCTTCGCGCTTTGTCAACACTGCAAAAGGATATGTTAAATCCTAAACGTTGCATTAATGATAAATATTACATCTTTCACGTTCACATTCGTTTACTTTAAAGTTTTCAGTCATCATTTACCATAATGCACTGTTTTAAAAGCGTTTGCCTTGAAAAGCATAACCACCTGATGTGGTTTGTAAAACTTGGATTATTTTGCATTCAAATGAGGCCTGAAAAAGAGACATTTCAAGTTAGACCTAAGCGAAAGCAGATCTGATTTCTGCTGTTTTTTTCTTAAACGACATAAGAAATTCGGTTTCTAATCACAACTTCCTTTTTACTTAAATCTTTTTAGAGACACGCATTCAACGCGTACCTATGCTAAAACCGGCATTATCCTTTAAACTGCTCAAACGGATTAATGGTCGGCTGTGTGATACTAGCAAAATGATGTCTGTACGGGGTCAAGTTGAGTGCAGGTGCTTGACCTACATGTTTTCAACAAAATTTGTTTTATTTTGTGGAGGGTAATTAGTGAATCTTAAGAAGATTCGTAAAGGTACCACCTATTTAGATTAAAACATTGATTTCATTGCGTTTTAGCTGTGTTGCTCTCGGATCAGGAACGAACATGGCGGCCATATCAGTCGTGAAGACCTATGTGAGGGGCTTAATTTCTCACCAGAACAGTAAGACTACACACTATCTTTGTTTAGTTTTTTTTTTAAAAATTACAAATATTTTCTCAGACCAACAGGTTTGCATGAAGTGGAAATCCTCTGCAGGGATATGCCAAATAAGAAAAGCGAATCAATTCAGATGATTGTTTTGAACGCAATTAAAAATAGCGCATCAAGAAAAGTGAGTTCCAACACTTCTTGGATAAAACATTATAAGCAGAAATACATGGTGAACACCCAAACAACCGTGCCTTTACGCTTGGAACTGAACCAACTGATTGAATTCGAGGACTCAGGCTTTCCAATATTATTACTCGAGCGTAATTATCATTATTTTTAGGACAAAATGGTTAAAATGAATGCAAATCTTAGTTAATAAGGACCATAGACAATGAAGAACCAAGCTTAATCACAAAAAATGCTTATTGCCTTCAAAACAAATTTGTGGGTGAATTCGATTTGGTTGTGGCATGACAAAACACATATATCCTAGACTATAGTAAAAACGGCAGAATCTGTAAGTGCACGGACTTGAGCAAGCAAAAAAGTTACGAACAATGATAGCATTTTATTTATCACCAGTAATTAAAGTTGAACTTCTGAGAGTTATTTCGTGGAGAGCTGGCCTAAGGGCAGAAAGCCAAGCTTCATTGCGCTATCTAGTTTAATCCCAAGACGTCCATGTGCTAACACAACCTGGTGTATTTTCTGTGTGGCAGTATAAGCAGCTACAGTAGTAGGTTTGTCATAAATTAAGAAATGACATCAGCATTTTGACCTTTAGTAAAAATAAAGGCGTGATTTCCTCATGTATAGACTGCGGCATTCTACAGTTTACTAAGGTTCGTTGTAGATGTTACCTTATGTATCCGTTACCAACAAGTAGCTCAATTAATTCAATTTAACATTGTTATTTTAAGGATCTTGTAACGCAAATCAAGCAAAAGGTGGAGAAGGTCTACGGTCCGCAGTGGAATGTCTTTGTAGCTAACGGAGGCTACTGGTCAATTTGTACGCACAAACCAGGTGGAAACCTCGTATTTGTTTACCGTGGGATTGTCTACGGCGTTTACCAGACGCCCGAGCACGATGACAAGCGCGATGCTGCCAGACGCGCGAGCAGAAGTGCTTCCATAGCCATTACCTCCTCCCATTAGCGGGAGGCTTTTCGATGCGCTATTATGAAGCGCTTGCAGCTGACCAAAATAACTTACTGCTTAACCTTTACTACACCTCGATATTAACTCCTCTGGTCCAGCATAAAGCACGTGATGTACTTAATCTCAATAATTTTTGGTTATGCACTTAACACAAACTTTACGGAGTCCGCACAGGCGTCGGCACATTCTGATAGGTGGAGCCTATTGTACGTAATTTTTTAAATTAACTTTTTCGTGTATAAATTAAATTCTGACAAAAAAATACCCATTTACTAAATTCTGTGATATGAATAGAGCAGCTAAGTACGGAAAAACAACAGTGACGTTGCTCCAAAGTAAAGAGTAGGTAGAATAATTAAAGCAGTTTTTTACTGCTTTTTCAAATTATGTGTCTTATATTGCAATCATTGTGTGTCTTGTCAGTAGCTCATGACATACAATCAGCTACAGCACCCAACTAAACAGGCTGCGAAGGGTCTGGGAAATGCGTGCTAAAAGTAAAACACAAAAGAAACAGAAAGAAAGGATCCGAGTAGTCTCATAAGAAGTTCATAATACAGATGTAAATATTTGAGCGTATTTGATCAATAAATGTACGAATCAAAGTCGAATCTTGAAAAAAGTTACCTTACGCAATTCATTAAAGTTAAGTGCAGCGAAAAGCCGTCAATTACATTTTCACAAATAAAGGCATGGTTCACACAGTACTAGTTCGCACCGATGTTAGTCAGTGCAATAAATCGAAATGAATCATGCCCACTAACTCAGACGTTACATTCTCCGACCCACAATCTGAGTGAATTTGTAAAAGTACAAACGTCTAAATGGTCGAATGGATAGAGCGGGCAGTGATGGTACATGCACAAGGGTGAATGACCAGACACTCCCACATGGCTGACGAAAGGGGAAGTGGGTCTGAGACTGTGACGACAGGGTTAATGGACGTAAATCAGTCTTATTCAATAAAGGGCCCTCACACACGACACAACTAGGTTGAGCCATCTTGTAAACAGTTGTCTCCACCACCTTCGGTGTTCTTGCTCGTTTTGGATACCTTAATACCGTAATCATGCAAACCTGACATGCCGTTTCATGACCACATGTCAGAGCCTTAAAGAATAGATAGAGCAGAATGACCATTTGTTTGGTGATACAGTGGGTCGTGGTCCGAATTGGAATTCGTCCACTTCTTTAAGAAAGCCCCAACAGGAATCGGCATAATAAAAAGGCATAAACACGATTAGGATATCTACGTCCTATCTGAGACACACGTGTCCTTCGTGACCCAGCATCTTGTGTGACCCAAGTTCAATAAGCTGAAGCATTATTTTGGCCCATAATTGTGGTATAAGTACGACTACCGTTTTGCAAATAATCGGAACGTCAACCACTCAATCAGGATAAAATGTATTCTTAAGCAACTTACATCAGATCAAGGATTTCTATTTGTATAAAAAAAGCTGAAAGCAGATCATGTTTTGCTAAAATCGTTATTATTTCATTGCCAAAAAATCTTTGGAAGGCATGTGTAGGCGTTACTTGTTCAAGTAAATAGAGCCCTACGTTGATTTAAATTCAGAAAGCTCAAACTCCAATAATTAAAGGAAGCATTCCTAATACTATGGTTGAAGCAATCAAAAAATTAAACATAAATTGAAAAAATTAAACAACAAGGAACCACTACAAATGTTCAAAACGCAAAGTAAACATCAAACCCAGATTTAAACTGCTTTATGCTTTAAACCATTACGGCATTGAATACACTTTGTATTTTCAAACACGCAAAGTGCATAACATGCTGACCTAATCCGAACTTAAACCAGATAATTTATTGGCATACAAAGAAAGTTTAGTGATCCTTTATGCTCCCTATAATCATCCGATTTTTAAAGGCGTGAATGTAGCAGTCAGACCTGTAGGCGAATCTTAATTTAAAAAGTAAACCAGCCGGCTTCATTATAGATTACTAAGTGCTTTGAAGTGTGATGGGGTGGAAATACGACTAACGTATATTAACCCATCAAAGTGCATTGCTTGTATTAATAAAGGATCATAAATTGTATGCTTTCTCATTACATAGTGCTCCTTATTTTTCATTTATTTTCTGAAAAATGTACAGACTTCAAGTTCTCCGATTCGGTCGTTTACGTGTGATATTGTTAGTCTTCTTGGTCCACATTTACCTACAATACTTGAACTGGAGCAGAGTGCTGGCGCGGTGTGCACGAGCGCATGTGCCAATGACCACCTTCCGTGGTGCCATCGACTTTGTGAGCCAGCACTTAGATAGCTATGCCTACTCGCTTTACTATAAAACTGCAACATCGTTTTGAGGGAGGTTACAATATATATTCAACAAAATTCTTACGCAGTCAAAAAAATGGCAAAAAATCCAAAACCAGACATGCTCATCAACTTGTTTGATGAACTTATAGAAACCCAAGCAGGTTTGACTTCTTAAACATCCCTTAAAATATGCATTTTTCGTTGTTAAAAGTCTGATTTATTTTCCACAGTTCTAGAGACACGTGTTTACAAGGACCATTTGATGAGATTGGGCATGAAAGAATCCAAAGCAGAGGTAAGTTCCATATTCACTGACCAGCCTTGCACATTTGTAAAGCTCTTCCTAACAAAATTATGCATTTACAATAGATTCTCTGTGACCTCATTGACCCAGAGCGCAGAGGGGAGGTTACGCGCTCTGACGTCTGTGTGGCACTTAAATGTTGGCCGAATCAGTGAGTCAACTTAAAGATAAAATTTTCTCCAAGACTAAAGCTAAAAGGGCGATATTTTAATCCCGCTTTAACCACAAAGCTCATTATTCTTGTTTCTTCCTTTGCTCTCCTTACAGGCAAGCAATCCTCAAAGATATTAATGTACTTGAAACGGATATGCCGGCTATGAAACGCAACTCAATCATTCATCTCATTCTTGAAAGCAAACTTCAAAACAAAACTAAAAAGGTAATTTTATTCTATGCGAATATGAATTAGCCAATACGCTTATTCATTGCAGGTCCTAATTGCCGCAATCATTTTATAATACATCTACAAAATATGTATGCAAGCCACACAGATAAAATGTTTTGTTTTATATAGGGTGCTCTTGACAAAGTAAAGGAACAACTCGATCAAATATACGGTCCCAGTTGGAATTGCTACATCGCTGAAAAGAATTACTGGTTTGTCTGTTCGCATCGCCCGGGCTCAAACCTAGCTTTTACCTACAAAGGCTACGTATATGGTATTTACCAAACTTTTGGTGCTTAATAAATATTTGAAGCTACATCAATCACTTTTATCTGAAAAATCGCATCTATTTTCACTAACGTCAATAAAGTTTGTGTGACATTTTTGGGTTTTGCAATGGATATTTTATACAATGCAGGAACTTGTGTTCAAACCAAATTTTAAATCAAATATGAGGATATGCGGTGCATACCATGAATTCGCACTATAAAATTAACTTACTATTTGAGCATCGATTTTTGAAGATATTTGGTGATTCTCCACTTTGGTTTTTTAATAGATCTAAACCAAGATGCCAGACAGTTTGTCTCTGGGTTCTTATTTCTCAATACCTTTTTTAAACAACTAATTTATCCCGATCCTTATGAATTGTTTATTCAAAGCAGACGTGTACTTCTAACTTGATCCACATAAAATCAATAAACTAAGAAATCATGAATGACAATAACTACTAATTACAGAAACAAAACTTATCGAAATGCCTCAAAAACACATTTACTAAAAAAGAATATTTTTAATTTAGGAGGCGCATTTTGAGTAGTAAGACAACTGAAACGTCCCTTTTACGAGCTAAAATTTGCATTTGGGCCTTAAGTAACTTGAACCAGTCATGATGCATTAATGAATAACTCAAGCAAGCAAGCGAATTCGACTTCTCAGAGTTCTGTTAATTAGTTGAGTCTCGTTCACAATAATTGATTAGGTTCCACTTGATGTTCACCATCCCACCATCAAACTTGGCTCGCTTAAGTTCTCTTTTGATATTCACAGAAACAACTGCAACAGTACGGCACGGTTTTACTGCACCAAGTGCATGAAACAGTGAAGACTCCTATGATTGTAAGACATTAGCACATTTTAATAATACAAAAACCTTAGAACACTGCTATGAATTCCACGGCTTCTGGACTTTGTTTTTGTTTAATGTTCACTGCAAGTCTTGCCAAACTAGGTTTTGGTGAAAAAGACATATAATTGACATTCGAATGTTTTGTGTTTCTTAAATCATAAGTCATCCTTAGGTTAGGTACAATTACAGTAACTTTCTTACAAATAGATTCTACAAGTAGATGGAGCAAATTGTTTTAATTAAAAATCAACGAAGAACCACTATGAATGTCCAAAACACAAAAGTAAACATCAAACCCAGATTTAAACTGCTTTATGCTTTAAACCATTACGGCATTGAATACACTTTGTATTTTCAAACACGCAAAGTGCATAACATGCTGACCTAATCCGAACTTAAACCAGATAATTTATTGGCATACAAAGAAAGTTTAGTGATCCTTTATGCTCCCTATAATCATCCGATTTTTAAAGGCGTGAATGTAGCAGTCAGACCTGTAGGCGAATCTTAATTTAAAAAGTAAACCAGCCGGCTTCATTATAGATTACTAAGTGCTTTGAAGTGTGATGGGGTGGAAATACGACTAACGTATATTAACCCATCAAAGTGCATTGCTTGTATTAATAAAGGATCATAAATTGTATGCTTTCTCATTACATAATGCTCCTTGTTATTTAAGAACCAAGAGCATTATTTTAGTTATGAAAATTTGAGCCCATATTAGACAGGTGTAGGTCTCCGTCTGGGGGATTGGATCCAGTGTTTAACCTGCAGATGTGCAAGATGGTTTGCATTAAATCTATTTAATTACGAAAAAAATTGCGTTTTGTTATCACAAGCCTGGTAAAAAATTTTTAGTGCTTCCTGCCTAGAACATCAATAAATTCATAAGCTGCTACAGTTTACACCCTGACAGTTTAACGCTTGATGTTCTTACATAGTGTTATTTATAAGTGATGCAGAGTTAGGTCTAGGATGTATTGTTTTGAAGTAAAGAACAGATTTGCCTTATTTACTTTAAAGTTAATACCTAGAAGTTTTAACGCACAATTTACGATAGAAAGCATACATTACAAAAGTTACGATTTTGCCTTAGACCTCAAGTAAGACATGGAAGTGGCTATCTTTATGTGCCGTAGCGTGCAACGGTGATTTTTGAATTTAGCAGAAAATATAAAGTGAGTAAGGGGTTAATATTACTTTCAGTTTTTCCCTTAAATCAAATTATATAAAAAGAATTGATCTGCGATCGCTCGAAAATTTGTATTGCAATGGTTTTCATGGTTACGTCAAAGAATTGGGAGGTGGAATGGCCCGGTTGGTGAGATCATTTAACTTTGACAGGTTGTAGGGTTCCAGTTAATGAATCCGGTTTCGTGGCACGCTTCCTTGATGGTACTCAACGCACTCTGACGTACATTAAAGTACCACACTGGGAGTATCGACTACTTGGACCCGCAGTGCCAAGTGATGAACCTATCACAAAGCCATGATAGGTCATTTATAAAACAATAAAAGATCTCACTTAAACATGTTAGTCAGAGCTCTACACCAGTCCTAAAATTCTTTCGACTTTCAACACACTAGATCTGGTTTTTAGTATGAACACTCCCTTCAATACAGAGAAGCTTCTACTCTTTTATGATGAGCTAACGGAGGCCCAAGCAGGTGAGTAAAGTAACTACTTTTGATAAAAGGGAACATGGGCATTCACTAATGGCATGCTTATTAACGAAATGTAAAATGCAAATGTTAATTATTGTTTGTTGAATTGTTATTCCTCTAAGTCAAATAATCTTTGTTTTCCAGGTGAAAAATGGAAATTTCATACGCATTTTGCAACTGTGTACATTAAATCAATCACATAATGTTTTTAATTGAAATTTTAGCAATCATGCTTACGCTCGTTTTAATGCACAGTTTTATTTAAGTATTTTTTATTTACCTAAAACATTTGTTATAACCACAAGCAGCCGGTTTTAAGAAAATAAAAGACGCATTCCAAAGGAGTATTTTGCAATGCCATTGCGCTCAAAGCCTTGGCGCTTTTAGCCGTTATGTATGCAACGCAGTTGCATACGTAGCCAACGTTGCTTGCGCTAGATTAAAGGTGTGCATGCTTGCAAAGTAACTGTACTGACAACGAGTTGTAACCGGGATCTAGCAGGATGAAAGACCAAGTATTAATCATGTACTGGAGTCTGGGAAATCGTTAATTGTGTTTAGGTATGAAATATGTGGAAGGTGTGAATTGACTGCTTTCAAAACGCCTTACAAATTCTTCCTTTACATGGTGTTGTTTAATAGAGTAATAATAGAAGGAAGAAAATATTTCACTGTAAGTGTTAGAGAACGCATTGATTCCACTTTATTTAAAGCAAATAACATATGTTTTTAATAAACATTTAGGATTGGTATGCTAACATAATTGCAAAAACTGATTTTCCTTAAAGTCGAAATACCAATTATAGTCAATAAATTATAAATAACACTTTACTTAATTTTGACTTGTCTTACTGCTAGTGCTTCCGGTCAAAACGTACCTGGATCATCTTATCAAGTGGGGCATGTCAGCAAACAAAGCAGCCGTAAGTTTATCACTGTTTGACCTCTCAATCTGGTGTTATTGCATAACCGAATAGTAAAAATTGTAAATAAATTCACTTTATTTTTCATCAAAGAGAATTGATTCACTTAATAAATAACACCAAAATTTAATTTTCACAAAAAGTAGTCGGAAACGGCGGCCAAATTAACTATTGAGTAAAAACGATTTTGTTTACCCTGTTACCATTTAAACGAACTTAACCTAAGCCGCACCAGTGTATGTAGTGTAAATGCATGCACATGTCCTTATATTCGAATACATTAATTTGAACCTAGGCAATTATTTTTCATACAAGTTGACAGATAATAGTTTAGCAAACAATATATTGGTGGCTTCCTGTAAGTGTAGTCATTGCAAGCATTTCCTTGGCCCAGGCATTGATTTCCATGGTTGACCCAAGAAACACTGGATACATCAAGCGCGAGGATATCTGCCGTGCCCTTAATTTCAGTCCCACGAGGTACGTCGACTGATACTATATAACTGCTACAAAGTAACCACATTTTATGCATTTTAATTCTTTTTAATCTAAAGTGTCAACGTTATCTAAATTAAAGTAAGAGGATGCATGAGTACAAAAATGAAATTTACTCAGTTCCACGAAAAAAATTAACATTTTTTATGTTGTATAAGTAAAAAAAAATAAAACCCATAAATTGTTGTAAAATCATCACTTTACTAGTGTTAAGAATATGGACAACTGAAAATGCTACCACGAATTAATGTTTTTTTCCCATAAATTGTTAGGTTGTGATAACAGAAAAAAGCCGGATGTGTTCGAGAATAATTAAGTTTTCACCATAACTTGTTTACTTACATTAAATACCTCCCACGTTTGTCTAAAATGATAAAATACGAATTAATTAATGAGCTGTTGGGTAATAATATAATATTATTTCTACTCATTAAGCACGCTATTAATGCATATTTATTTTTAACACAGATATCTACTTGGTAGATAAAATATTATATTTGAGGATAATCTGATTCAGCAGTAGACTAAATCTTAACATGCCAAAAAATCGCACCTTAAAATAGACACCTCAATCATGCAGTCCATTGTCTTACACAGCCTTAGACTACATGTGTGGTAAAACTAAATCACATCGCAAATAACTCTTTGCATAATTTTCCAAATTTATTATTAAAAACCAATTTGGGTAATCGGACACACAGAAAACAAACTGTTTCATTTATGTAAGTATGGCGCTTCTTGTAGACCTACCGCTTTGCAGGACGTTTCAGTTATTTCTACAGACATGCCAGGCAAACAAAGGGACTCAATTATCCTCCTAGTCTTAGAAATCTTGGCCCAAAATAGAAAGAAAGCGGTTAGTTGAGTCAATTTTGATCTTTTTCCAGATTTTACCGCTGGTTTATTTGTCATTTTAGTGAGACGCATAATTCTACCTGCAATCTTTTTGTTACCGATAGAAAGTGGATGCACATGAACGAACACCATAAGTCTAGGATCATTGGCTCTATGTGACAATAAACCATTGAAAATTTTGAATTTGGGCTTCACGATTTATCTGGATAATCCTATACACTTTAAGCCCAAACTACATTTACAAGACCATTGTCTTTCAACTTTAAAAAGTAAATTGATGTTGCCGTAAGTTGCAGAAGTTGTATATAAACACTGCCACAAGAGGTAGTTTTTGAAATATTTTTTGGGCATTTTATTAGCCTAAAGTGATCTGTTTAGTTGCAAAATAAGTATTTTTATGAAACTAGCAACTTTATAAATTTAAAGCATTTTTACCACTACAGGTTATACTCCAAGAACTGAAGGAGCGTCTCGAAATTGTTTACGGAGGCAAATGGAGTTGTTTCATTGCCGAGGGTCGTTACTGGTCCATATGCTCTCACAAACCTGGCAAAAACTTGGTCTTTAGTTACCGTGGCTATGTCTATGGAGTTTCCGAATCGCCAGATAACAAATAACTTTCATTTCAAACTACATTATTCCTTGACATAACTGTGATGTTTACATTAATTTTGTACCCCATGTATACATGCGTTTGACTAACAGGACTCAAAGAGTCCAGGTTCTTTTTTGTGATAATATGTTTTGAAAAGAGAAACTGAACATGAACTTTGAATAAAGGATAGAGATATGATATGATGCTAGGTACAATTTATTTAATTATCACTGACCAATAAAAAGGAAATTTAAGTGCAGGGATGCTGAATTTAATTGGTTTATTCTCATGCAGGCAAAGTTTGTCATTAAAACCTTGGCTTCGTAAAACATTTCCATTGGGGTGAGGCATTGCAGCAAACCTATATTTAAGTATTAATGCGCTGGAGTTTTTTAACGTAACAAGTGTTACCTGCAAATTAGCAAAGCTGATTAATACCTATTAAAACAAATTGAAAAATAGTGTCTCGTAATCTTAAGAATAAAATCTTGGTAACAAGTAATAAGTGGAAAAATTTCTCGATAACTGTGATAATGACAATCGGAGTCTCGAGTGAGACGACGACTTATTTTTCGATAAGGAATTGTGCACCAACTTTGTTCGCTCAGCTCCAATGTGGTTTGTTGAAACGAATTTCGGTTTGTGTAACAAGCCAAAACGCACAGTGTCAATCAAGGTAAACAAGTTGTCAAATTTGTTTATGCAACCCCTGACAAAGACATATAATTATTATTAAGGTGTTAGTACAACAAAGCGGCCTTCGAGAAATCTGTGTTAGATCTTAATCGAGTCAGCAATGGCACCCTCCACACAAATAATCGCTACCTTGTCCTGTTGCCAAAGAATTCAAACCAGGCAAATTTTGCACCATGTTTTTGTAAGGAACCCATTTTTTTTTCAAATAACGTTATAAGTTGGAATCAAAAGTATTGGTTGTGGTTGTTTTTAAGAGGTATTCAATCATTTGTTGAATAAAGTGGAAAGATTTGGGTTCCTATATCTTCAAATAAGTTTAAAAGCCCAAATTCTTACACAAATTAAGTGCCTTCGAAGAGAGTACGAACTTAATATATTAGTGAAAATCTGACGTTGAGAATGGACATATGCTACCCTTATTTTTCTTTAAGCAAAAGTGGTTAAAATATTTAAAAATAGAATGAGCTGTGATCGAATAAAGGTATGCAAAACACTAAAACGGTTTTAGCTTAATTCTAACCTGGAAAAGGCCACTTTGGAAAACATTGACACGTAAAAACTTAAATAAAGTAGCCCTGCACTACACATCAGTGATAACTTCAACAAGTCGGAATTGCACCACACTAAAGCTTTCATTAGAAAATAGAAGTTAACCGCAACAATTTTATAACACATGGCTTAAGCTAACAATGATTTCTTCTGGTTTCAATTAAGAAACCTAACACACACGTCTCCTTTAAATCTATGAAAATTTTGTTCAAATAAGCTATGGGAATGCATCCAATATTACGCAGAATATTATTTACCGAAGTCCTTTTGGCAAGCACAAACTATGTTAACCTGTAAAAACAGTGTTCACACCACTAAGCGACAGCCTTATGACTCAAATTCAACAAACATTATAAATAAGAGACTTTTTATCCAATTTAGTCATCAAATGATACAGATGACGATCTAGTTTGTACCCAACTTTTGAACTCGAACTCAAATTGATGCTGCTAATGACCCACCACCTACAGGTCAGCGACAAAATTTTCTGTGGCATATTTCATAAAGGGCATTTGCAGCTAACTGAAACCCCAGTGAGTTGTCTACATGAAATTGAATGCACACTAAAATTTTGGGGTCTCGCAAAGTCCACATAATAACGTGGTTTCGATTTCAAAAGCTTTACAGCACTCAAGGTTGCTAATGACCACAATACAACACTAATTATCCCTATACTTAAAGATTTTCGCAGCAATTAGCGTAACCACAAATATGAACAATAAAACCTGAATCACAAAATGACGACTAAAATGGGTAATACTGGGTCAAAATAGAGGTTTTAATTTCCCATGGCACACAGTTATGGGGAAATCACCTCGCAGTTTTATAAATATTAAATGTCAAGAATTCAACTTATAAGGTACAAAAATGATTGCACTTTAAGGCAAATTAGTAAATTGAAATGGCACACATATGCCATGTCATTTTATGCAATGCAAAAAGGCAAGCGTATATTTGATCGCAGTGCAAGCTTTTTTTTTAATTTTTCTTTCGGTAAAGGCAATAAAGTTTCATTGGACAGAAGTTGAATTCTTTCAAATGGTACAACGTTTCTTGTCTGAACTGCAGAGTATGTCATCTCCAAATACACGATTACTACAGCAAAGAAATGCTATTGTCTTGAAGAGTACAGTTTGTGGATGTGAGTTAACGCAAAAAACCTTTCAAAATGATCAGTCTGATTAGAACTTGTGCACAACGTCTCATCTAACAGTCCATGCTATCGCAACCATTTTTTGAGGCTTGAGCTTGCGCCATTTTCAAATTCGCACTGTCCAGATTTTTGTGCGTTCAAATCAAAAACGGCAATGATAAATGCAAATATTAACAGTGCCCTAAATAAAGAATATGTTTTTTTCTGAAACTTCAGGATCTTGAAAGTTTTTACTGCTTAATAAATAAATAGAAAAGGCTGCGAAAATGATTGAATCCCATTATGTGAGATTAATCATTTTGATTAGACAAATTATTGCGACTTTAATTGCTAAAAGATAATCCAAAAATTGTAGTTAATCTAGTACAGGACAGGAAATAAGGCTACTACTTTACGTGGTGCCCTCTGGAATATTTTATTCTCCTGCATACATAAAGTAGAGGCACCTTAAAATCAACAGTCGGTGTGATGACTCGTTTAACCCACCTCACCTTCAGTAGCCTTTGGTGTCTCTCCCGAGTACACAGGCGTAATATGGCACACCATACCTTCGGGTGACTTAGCGGGTATCCTCCCTTGGTTTTCGATCCTCGTTTAGCGCCTAGTTTTAATCAAACGTTTACCATGGAAAGCAATGGCGTTTATTTAGGCAGAAGCGTTTAGGGTTTTGAGCAAAACCTATCAATGAGCTGAAATAAAATGGCAATGATATCTACTTCCAAGCGCACATTTCATGTTCTCAAAATATTTTAGCGGTATTAGCACAGCTGCGTCAAATTTCGCTGCTCGTAGCTGACTGCTGTGCGTGTTAATTAAAGTTGTTCGGTTTGCCAAATTGACTATGAATCAGTGCATGGCATCTCGACACTCAGACATTCTCTGCACATAAGATATTGCTACAATTTGTGAATCGTTAAAAACGGGGTTTATTTTGTGTGCCTATTTGCATTTGTAGGCTACTTTTGAATTGCGGCATTTGTGAAATCTACAAACTGTATGCATCTTTAGAACAAAAAGCTGGGAAGTTTGACAAATAAGTCCTCTCTAGCATTGTTTTTTGCTGCTAAAAGAAGAAGACTTACATGTAAAAAGACCGAAACGCATGTGGTGGTGCGTTTGAATTTCTCATTTTTCTAATAGTAAATAATTTCGTGGCTGTAATTTATAGTTTGGAAGCTGAATTTTATCAACACCAAAGTATAGTACACACAAAATAAGGCGTTTTTTCACATTGTTAATTTGATTTCACACTTCCCCACGCGGCTACCGACAGATGCTTTTACTGACAATTGACACGCAGTGTCCAATATCCAAAAAAAAAATATAAAGGTAAAGACGGTTGTCTCCACCCGGACAACATGGTCAAACGAGGTCCACTTTCAACTTCTAATTTCCAGTATTGAACCAAAAGTTAGGCTTTCTTCGCAACGCCTTTGGCAAACGCAGAAAAATCGAAAACTCATTCTTTTGCCAGTTATGAGCTGAACGGTCACTGGCCGGTATTAAGGCAATTTTCTCGTTCCAAAGTCCTAAAACATTGCTATAGAAGCTATCAGAAATGTCCGATTAAATCTATATGTCGCTTTCAAGAAGCAAAAAATCGAACTCTTCATTAGCGTTATGGTGAGCTTGTGATTTCCTACGCAGTAATCCCCAGGCTCTCCACTGTACCTGCTGGACGGTCAGAGATTGCAATGACTGGCTTAGATTCTCCATCTTGTTGCCTTTTTTCGTCACCGGTACAGTTAGTGGCATTGAATTTCTGATAAAACCGGTGTTGAGGTTAGCATAATTCTCACCTGGACCTGACACCTTGCAGCCGCAAATTGCTCACCCATTGAGTCGTGTAGCCCCACGTTGTTCATCTTACATTTGGGCCTAACACAAGATTTGCCTTTTATTTTCATCGGTACCGGTGTTTAATAAGTCATAATTTATTGCTTATGTCCTCTTTCAGAATGGTCTTCTGGTATAAATCAACCAGCGTTAGCCCATCGAATAAAAATACTACTCTGTCTGTCCACAGTGTGTCAACTTCTGTCGGGATTAGGGTTAGCGTTGCTTAATTATATGCGATATAAAAAGTTCTTGCATGAGTTATTCACAACCGTTTAGATGGCTCACATAACCAGCGAACCTTCTCAATGTCTCCGCTGTAAAATTCATCACTAAAATGAGTCTTAACCAGGGGATGTTTTCTATCAGGTTCACATTTTTGAAATGTACATGTCGATTTGGTTGTTCATTTTCTCCAGTACAATGATTTTTCTTATGTTTTCACATGTATAAACCATTTTAGCTGTTGGGCAATAGCAGTTCCCATTAAAGACAATGTGAACAAAGCCGATGGCTACGCTTTTGTGAAATCATGGGTTTCATCATTCGGTGCCCCCAGTTGTATTTATTCTGACCGCGATTCAAAATTCACATCTAAATTGTTTTATGATTTAAGCCCCCTTGAATTCAAAATATTCCTAGGCTGCCCTTATTACCCAACATCCCTTAGTCTGGTCAAGCGTTTTCAACGTCAATCAAAGTAATATACTACTCCAAAAGCTACAGCTACTATCCGCTTGGATATGTTACCGTTGTTCCTGTTGGGAAAAAAATATCAACTCCAACTTAGCAGAACTTGCGTTCAGTACAAGTCTGTGTCTGCAGGGTAAAATGATAACTAATTTTGTCGACAAAATCGAAATCCCTCCTTCAAATAACCTCAACCATTTCGGGTACTTCATGAAAGAACTGCGACTCACAACTGCTAGAGTATCCTCACGTCGGCCACATATGAAGCCAGATTTTTTTAGGCCCCCTTATGACATTACCCCTGTCAATAACGTCATAGGCATCTACAACCAGTGACCCTTTCACAGCATTACGACGCGGAGGCTAATTTTGCTTTAAATGACAGAAATGGATCCTGTGAGCCTTGGAAGTCTCGAAGTTTCTTTCACGGACGACAGCAACGTCCTTACCTCGAAAGGAAGCAACGATAAAACCCAGCCCATAATCTCTCGTTTTCCCTTTTCGAATCCTCCCGTTTTAATCTACCCTTGTGGACTTCCGTCCATTTTGCCGATACAATGTGACTGTCTTCGAGCGTTCAGTGCTTCCCAACTAGAACACTGCAGTGGCGAATTTATATGGCAGATATCGAACAAGTTTACTTTAAATTAACTGACACGTGACTCGCACTCTCCCTTAATTGGTTTGCCAAATCAGCTTGTCATCCAGTTCTCAAGTACTCTATAATCAGCACACACTCTTTTTCTGTACTCTAATGAACCCCTGTGCCTACTACTGCCTGCTCTCACGTTGTCCCGGCCTTTTGACTATCATTGTTGTAAGGTTGCGCTGGTGCATTGTAATCCTAACCTCATAAACACACTAGTAGGTGGGGAAATGGCAATCACCTCAAAGCTACACAATTGATGATATCATTAGCCAAACACACCCTACTGGTTGAAGCAGAATTAAAAGTTAAACGCATCGATTAGAAGGTTAAATCGAGGTTATAAAATCCACTAGGTTTAAAAAAGAAATCGGTTAGATTGTAAAATATCTGTCTAAGAGGTAGTGAATAAGGGAAGAAAAGTGAGATGCTATGGATTTTTTACAAGTAGTGGTTTCCAAGTTTTATTTAATGATCCAAATTGAGGTGGTACGTTCAGTTCCAAAAATAGTATTCACACCAACACTTTTGGCAAAGAAATAAAACTCCACATGTAACTACCTGCAAGCAAAGAAAATTACATACAGTGAAGGGTTTGGCTCTACTTATGGGAACATGCATTAATGCCTAGCCTAGTGCCTGGTGCCACTTGATTAATCCAATTAAATCTAGGTAGTGCAATTTACCTAATCCAGAAAAGCTGCTTCCTTGTAACTCATGTGCATGGTTTTCGTATGACGGTAAATCGACTAAAATTTCAAGCAATGAATAAAATAAACAAGTTGGGAAGGCGGCAGTCATTTGTGAAGAATAATTTGTTTATTCTACCAAGAAACAAGACTGCTTTTAAACTTGTCCTCAATTTATTGATGAAAAATAAAACCGTAGCACAAAATGCAACATTAATTTCGAGTATTTAGTAATCGTGCACACATCAGTAACTGAATCCAGCCGGCCAAGTTCTGCCACAGTGCTTTCAGTGGGTGGACCATCAACCGTTCATGAACCCTTCATCTTCCAACCTTTGAATTATAGAAAGTATTAATAACAGTTCTATGACAGTGGGAATTTTTTGTCATTCAATTCTTCATCAGATCTAGAAATTAAATGGAAATATTGCCCGCATCACACATTTTCTAAGTAAAGTTACCGAGGTCATGATTTCTTTTTTTGACGAAAGTCTGCTCTGCTTCGCAGGGGTGTAGTAATTTTTTTCTGTTTGTCTAAATTAACTTTAGGAATCCAAAGTCATATGCCTTTCTCTTTTGTAAAGACAGTACTGCGGAAATTTTCTGGGTGTGAAAAATGAAAGTCTGACACAATGTGACATTGAAGCGCACATAGTATTGCGGTGCTAAACTATGTTAGCACACAAGGTGTGTGAAGCCTCTGTAGGCTTAAGTAATTGGCAGGGTTAACAGCAGAACCTGACTGTCAGGACCATATAAGAACCTTTGAGTATCCCACCCACACACCACGTACCCTCTTGAGCTTTCGCTCCTTCTCTTGGCGCGCACATAAGTACTCAGGCACAAGTAAACGATCATGTCTGTCGAACCCTCTCCAGAAACTCTTATTCACTTCTATGATGAACTGACTGAGGCCCAAGCTTGTAAGTTTCGATTATTCTGCCACATGTTATCTGCCTGCATAAATTTAATGTCGATAAACATCCGACCAACGCAAGTCCCGAAGACCTCTAGAAAAATATGCTTGGGGCTAGCCTTGGTTGTCACTCAAAAAACCTGGAAAACGAGAAATTCTGGTGTTAATTTGAAAAAAAATTAGGTTTTCTTGTAGAAGTGACTGCAGTCTTCTTACTTTTAGCAATTCCAACGCAGACCTACATGAATTTCCTCATAAAATGGGGTTATGACCATGAGCGAGCGGAGGTAAGTAACAATAGAAAATTAAGTGGTGATGACCATCATGATGTGTACGCAATTCACTCATTTTAGCGACTATGCAATCGTTTGGATAACGGAACTGGGGTTATTCACCGAAAGGACTTATGCAAACCCAATGAGATTACTTCAAACACGTAAGCCCTTTTGACTTCATCAACTATATGCAACCAAGCGAAAAGACGCAGACTGTGGTTGATTGTAATTTCGCCGTTTTGTAACAAGATTTAAATCTATTCTTTTATATGATTAGGCTCCCAGCTCTACGTGATGTTCAAATCCTTACGTCAGATATGAAGCAAAAACAGGCGGAATCTATTATGCTCTACGTATTGGATGTAATTAAAAAGAAGAAGCCCAAAAAGGTGAGCTTTGTAGTACTTTTAAAATCAGCTAAACACATTTTTTTCAAGTAAAAACGTGCCAATGAATGTCATTTTGTGACTTAGAGATCTCCAAAATTTAGGCAGTTCGTAAAAAAACTTTGTGACGAGATGCAGGAAACAGAACAGAGAATAGCAATACATCGGACTGTAATAAAATGTCCACTTAGTTGCATATGTATTGTAGCGATTACACTTATAGCTATAGTTCAAATGAATTTCAGAGACCTTCTTTCCTTTCAGCATATGCTGCTGTGACCTGATTGTAGTTTTTAGGCCTCTCAAAAACTAATCGCTTCTATTCCGAAATCAAATTAAACGTTGGTAAAAGTGGATTATTTTGATTTGATAAGGTGTGATCAATTGAATCATCTATGAAGATACTAATAAAGGAGTTTGGCTTTTTTATTAAACCGTCTTCCGAAATGCAGGCAAGATTACAGTAAACTTAGTTTGATTGCATAATCACGTGATAAAATTGACTAATATGTCATTGTGGCGTTCGACTAGAACGGTCGTGTACCAGCGTAGTAATTAATCAAATAATTACATTAGATTTATATTGCGCCAAACCAATCAGGGAACCGGTGTAACCGTTTTAGTCTAAGCGGCGCTTGTGAAACTAGTTTCCTTACTAACTGTAGATTTGTCTATCATTTAACAAAAGTAAATGAAACCAAAATTCCTTTTCTATATTTTAAAGGATCAACTTGAGGAACTGAAAAAACGCCTTGAGGCGGTATATGGGAAGGGCTGGAATTGCTACATGACCGACGGGAAATTTTATTCTGTCTGTTCGCATGAGGCTGGCACGAGTCTGGTCTTTGTCTACCATGATATCGTCTACGGCGTCTTCCGTTCTCCCTGTATGACAACGAGGCACTAATCGAGGATACTTTACCGCTTTGATGTTATTAATATGCTGCACTGCTATATAATAAACTAGAGCAACGTAGCCTTTTGCAGTTTCGTTCACTTTGCTTCGCTTAAGGGAACCCAAGATCAGTAAAACCTAAGTCGTCCTATTGAACGAATGCACAGTGCCTTACAACCATTCTAGTTCACCACCTGTAGCACTCAAGTCCTGAGAACAAACGGGAGACTTTAGAAGGCACAACCGTTTAGTTGCCCGTTGGCACGCTGGGCGCGTAGATGTGTTCAGTTCGTGTGTGTTTGTCAAGAGCTTGTGAACAATGCTCGACACGACAAACACCATTCATCTTGAGGTTAACATTATTAAGAACAGGCTTCTGCCTGTTCGCGTCGCCTGACCGTCCATTACAACAGGTTCGACATCTGAGACTCAAATGATGAGTCTAGATGCAGAGTTAACCTCAATGGAACAAGGCTTGTCCCCTCGTTAAATCCTTGATTTTTCAATCACGAATTTAGGAAAACTGCGTACACATATCGTTGGGAATCCAAAGTTTAAGTTTACTTTAAAGGGCCAAAAGACTACCAAAAGACCATTCTGCATAATATATTATGTGCTGTGATCTTAAATTGGGGTAATTTATGGCGAAACTCCCATTTTAGTTCATTAGATTTTGCACAGAGGAAATCGTCCGCGCAAATTACTGCCGTTGGGTATCATTACAGCGCAGTCCATTTTGAGTATCTCGCAATCGTCCACGCATCAGTAACTGGGTTGGTGGAGCATTGACCGTTCATTAACAGTGCTTCCTTCTCGCACATACCTCTATCTAAATAAGAACTGACTTATGTGAATTTCTTGTACAAAAGACTTTCAAAACCAACCCTTTCCAGTTTTGGTCGGGCGGTTAAAGCAAAATTCTACGGTGAGTAATTTCGATGCTTTTTCAATCTGCCCACAGTTTACTTTCAGTATATTAACTTATTTTTTGTCGTAATATTTTGGTCAAGGTAAGCTGGAATGTAAGCTAGATCGCCGAAAACTTGCTTGTGCGACCTTTTCCGGGAGTGGAGTGGAAAGTGGGGTGGTTAAGTTGCATTCAAACAGATAAGGATGGGCTTTATTTCTGGATCCCAGCACTGCCAGAAATACTAACTGCTGTACTACATGTGGCTGGTAACATGAAAGTGGTCATGAAAGGTTGTGATTGGAAGTTGTGTACTGTATCATTTTAGCACAGATCATCATAGTTTTACTTCAATGCATATAAGTGGCTTCTATAAAATAGAAGTTTAATAATTTGACTCATTTTAAAACCAAAAATTCTTTTTTGTCCTAATAACCTAGCTGGTTATATCACTTTTTAGAATATGAAACGCCTTATTGCTGAAACTACACACGTGAGGCACTTTGTACTTTATATCGATATGTATTGACTTTTAAAGCAAATCTGTCGGTTTTTAAATTTTAATTTATGGTACTATATTAATGTCAGCTGTTTTTAATTCCCCTAGTGTTACCAACAGCCTATTGGCACAAGTGCAATTGCTAAGAATTGCTGTAGCAAGATGGTTTTGCCAAAGCATTATTATATTTCAAAACTTTTTTTGCTGATCGAAATTTTATGCCATATTAATTGACTGCCAACAGATTACGCACTTCCGAAAAATCGCGTTCTTAACTAAGATGCTGATAGCGTTAAATCACTAACCGTTTAAACCATTTAAGAGGTTGCGAGTGCCTCATGTGAACCCATACGGACAAGCAACCTGACGGAGGACACTTTCGCATTCTGTTGGGTTACGTGATTGATAAAATCACAGGTTCATGTGTTGACTTTAAATCTGGTAAAACTAACTGAATTACACGCGATTTCGGGAAAATCGATTAAGCAAGGTTAGCAGATCTGCGAGTCACCTCACACGACCTCGCCGAATGCTTGCCAAAAGTAACGCGGTGGGCTCTGCCGCTTGTTACTAATAGGTGTGTGTGCGCGTAGGCGCTTGCATGTGCGCCAGCAAGGAGCGCTGATGGCTGGGATTATTAATTCTGAGTAAAACGCAATAACACACCACTGTTGGTTACCAAATATATACATTCATGATTTTTACCAAGTGAAACAGACTTCCACATTTCTTGGCTTTAATATAGGGTTAAAATAGGTTCGTTCTTTTGTATTGACCCTTATTATTTCAAATGTTAATACACAGTTTTGGAAATTGGTATTTATGATCATTTTTTTGCTGAATAGCCTTGTGAAACCTTTTAGCTGTATCCCCTAAACAATAAGTGCCAAAAGACTTTTTTTTCAAAGTAGAAGCGCAACACGTGTACACATTAATGGAAGGTCTGATTGTAATTGTTTAAGTGTTAAGAGATACGCAGTTTGGATTGAGGAAAGGATTAAGTTGAGAGAGCAATTAGAAACTTCGAAACAAAATCTTTCTTTGGGATTCATAAAACACCACCGTGAATAAACCCCAGTTACCGACCAAAATTTAAATGAAATTCAAGATTATAAAAAGTCGATTCACAACCAAAACCTCTTTTTAGACAAATCTTCAGAAATTATTAATTAAAAGAAGCATGGCTGGACTGTTTTCATTTTGGCCTGCTTCAATGAATTTAAAATGATACAGACAGGCGAAAAGGCATCCAATAGGCAAACATCAGCATCTAGTCCTTGTAGTTCATGATATCGGGAATCCCGAGGATGTTGTGCTCAGCCAGTGAACCAAGTTGAACTATTCGCACCGTATTGGTGGTGCCTGGATCTGATTTCCAGCCAGCAACAACGACAATATGGTCCCTGTCCGCAAGAAGACCTATCTTTCGTCCATGTTCAATAGCACAGGCAATGCGTCGGTTCACGTCATCAGCCCAAAGGTCAGCCTTTGACTCTAAAATCCAATGTAGGAATTCATGTGCCATTGGTAAAAATGAATGAGCTGAATTGTAATGCAACATATTTGGATTAAATGTGGTGTAATTATGCTATGTTTACATGAATTTTAGGGGAAAATAAGGTTGCCTATAGAACTAAAACCAATTTGCGAGATAAGAGCTAACAAAGAGGCATACAGTGACTTTTTTATGTAAACAATGATTTACTACACCAACCTTTATAGAGGATGGGGTAGCAACCGCGCCACAGATAAAGCTGCCTAGCAGTGACGCCTTCGCGCGTCACGGCCATGATTGGACAGCGTGGGCGATGTCGGGCGATTAGATGGGCGGACCTAAAATGAACGATTTACGGTTCCCTTAGCACTATGGACAGACACCGTAAAAACTCATTCATTTGATAAAGGTTACTGTAAATTTGTTTAATTCTCTAATTCTCAATTAAAGCATAGACTGTTTTCCGAGATTTACCGTCAGGAGATAGCGAGAATATGTAACAATAGAATGCAATGATGTAGGCAGGTCTGCCTTGCTCATAAACAACGGGTCACCGTAATATACGAAATGTGCAACTTTACCTCCCACTAGTAGTAATGCAGACAATCGCTTTGGCCAAGCAACGAAGAGACGCTTCGACTGCAGCCATAGCAGTAACAAGATTGGTATCTGCGGGTAATTTGACCACTCTCCGGAGGTCATTGTAAAGCTGAGTGTGATTAATCACGGCCTCGGCTTCCCTGCAAATGGTTGCCATAGTCTTTACACACTGTACAGGATAGTGGCCTTTTGCAGATTCGCCTACCAAGTTTTAACATCGCATTGATAATTTGATAATAAAGGGTTTTAATATGACGAAATAAAAATGCTGAGAATAAGCACTTTGCCAGAAAATTATAGAAATATTCAATAATTCATGTTCTGGAACACTTCTTTAAATGCTATTTGAATGGTGACTGCTTCAGTTATGCCTAATTGAGTGTAAGGTTGTGCTTTGCTCTAAAAAAATTGCAACTAACTCGAATAGGTAGGTTCATATCAGCACTATGATATGTCTTTGAACTCAGGCTCACCCCTATATCTGGGTTATTCAATTACACTACACCCCACACGGTCACTGCAGAAGCATTCGAGACCTCTGGCTTGCATTTGGGTGACTTTAATGTCCAGTCAGGAGCTTGTTTGTTATTAAGACCTGAACTAATCAAATAAGGTTACCTGAAAGCATGACACAGTCAGCCCCGTCAAGGACAGCATTGGCAACGTCACCGGATTCCGCTCGAGTGGCACGGGGTTTATAAGTCATTGATTCAAGCATCTGCGTAGCACAGATGCCTGGTTTTCCTACAAGATTGCACCGTGCAATGATCATCTTTTGCGCCAAAAATACCTTCTCCGGGGGGATTTCGATCCCCATGTCCCCCCGAGCAACCATAATCCCATCAGCATTTTCGATGATTTCATCAATGCTGCCGCGAAAAGAAACAATTTTTCCATAAATGTACCAAAATCAAGGTGGTTTTAACAGTTTACGGCTTGGTGACGTAGCTTTCTTCATCTGCATTACTTTTAAAGCAGTCACATAAATCTCTTACGGATATACGGAATTCGTTACACTTTTACAATCCTAATTATAATGTTTGTTATTCCATACGGTATGATTGAACGATCATTCATAATTAAAATGGAACAATCTTTCCACACTAGTACACAAGTTTTGGCAATCCTTTACATTTGCAGGAAGCAAGCACTTTATGTGAATGCACAAAGCGAAAAGTGAGAACTAACTCTTGAAGCGCCTTTCAGTGGTCACTCTCGGCGAGTTTTGCTAAAGTTAGCCCCAAACAATGGCTCCTAAAGTCCTCGCAAAAGCCAGTAAACAGCCCATCAACCTCGTATTGCTTCAAACTTGGTCGTTTTGATAGATCATTTGGTGATGCTGCTGACACCTACATTTAACATGACGAAATGAGACTCCTGACCGTGATTTTAAGCTAACGTAATACTACAAGCGTCATTTAGAGTACATTCAATACTTCAGTGGTTTTTATAGGGCTAATGAATACAAAAATATATTTATTACGGAATATTGAAGGTCAGCCTGGAAAGTTATCGATAAGAATTTCCTTCTTCATGAAAAAAAACTTACTTCTTCACGCCTTGATGGTTTTCTATCTTGGCAATAATTTTAATATATGCACCTCGTTCACCTAGGAACTCTCGCATATTCGTAATACAATCGCCATCACGGATAAACGATGCGAAAATGATATCCAGCTAAAAGAATCCAAATGATAAATTCGAAAAAGGTTTTTAACGTAAATAACATTTGTACTTATGATATATAAGTACGTTTGAAAGGAAACATCATGTATACACCTGATTATCGATTGCGAACTGAAGATCTTGTTTGTCCTTTTCCGACATGGCAGGGAGGTCAACGGGTGCGCCAGGAAGATTGACACCTTTCCGTGACCCAAGCTTACCACCGTTGTCGACAATGCAGTCCAAATAATCGGGACCTGGTAACGCATCAGAATGTGACCATTAAATTTAAAAAATTCAATAGTTTGGGGTTCCCGCAAATTTATTTTAAATTGAACGAAAAGCAATAAATCAGACTGAATGCCTTGTTGTAGACCTTTAAGATCGTTTACTTGAATTCTAGCAAATTTTGAGGCCGATTTTATTTAACGATTGGATTTGTTTATGTTACTGAATAATGGGAGACAATCGTTCAAACATAAACATGACCCAAGCTGGCTTAATTAAGTTGCAGACTTTAGTATGCTTAGACGTGGTTTCATTTTTTTTATCTCAATCATTGCTAGGTAAAATGACTTTTAGTTGTCAATAATGCATGTTTTCTTGAGAATAACACAAATATCAACCTACCTTTCTCCTTTACAGTAACAGAAATAAGACCATCATCGATGAATATCTGAGAACCGGCATTGAGCACGTTTACTATATTAGCGTAGTCGACGTAAAGTGTTTTCTCGTTGCACTGATTCTCAAACATCTTGTTCGAAGTAATACGGATTTTTTCATTAACTTTAAGTTCTACTTCAGCAGTGCCACTCTGTGTGTTAAAGAACACAGTATTAAGCCGAACGCATTTATATATCATTAAGAGTACCTGAACATTGCTAGCTTGTGTCTATGCTCTGATCGACTGTAAGTCACATGGATCTTTTTACAAAGAACCAGATTAAGCATCAAATTAAGTTTAACGTCCAGTTTTTGATTATGTACAAACAACTTATCTATTAACCAACTGATGTCAGTGCTGCAAACCGTCATAAGCAGATCCTTACATAAAGGAATTTCTAATAATCACCGCGTCAGTATAGTATGGAAGAGGTCAGCTAGTCTAAAATTTAAGCCCAAATATATTCATTATAATCAACAGCTCAATTGCATAAAAGACATACACCATTAATTAAACCAGTTCGAATTTCCGGCCCTTTGGTGTCTAGCGCGATTGCAATGGGGCGGAACGTAGGTTTAAACGTCTGCTCAGCCTCACGTATTAGTTTTACGGTCTCCGCGTGATATTCATGAGTTCCATGGGAAAAATTCAGTCGAGCAATATCCATGCCAGCCGCGAACATTTCGTGAAGTGTTTCAACATTTCGGCTTGCGGGACCTATTAAATTGGTAAAAGCATTATTACTAAAATCAACCTTCACAATGTCATGATTTAATTTGTATTCTCCATAAAAGATAATTAAAGTCCACACTTTTGACTTATAAGTCTACTTAATGAAATTTCGATGTGAGTACAGGACTAATAGCCTAAAAGAATAAATTCGCGTGAAAAATAGCTCTCAGATTATGATCCAGATTATAAGAAACCATAGTATTTTTTCTGTGTAGAAGGACTTGAGTTAATCGCATATTTAATAAACTGAACATCATTTATTAGCCTCATTTTGTCTTAGATATTTCTGGACATTCGAAGATTTATTAATGAAACAGATTGGATCCCATTTTATAGGTTAGAATTAACGATAAAAAAAACGTATATTGCGAGTAGTTTGATCTTAGCAGTTTTAATCTTCAATTAAAACTTGCATGCTTCTTTCACCAATTGAATCCTGAAATTGAATCTTTTTGTAGTTAAAAATAAAGCATGTCGTTTTACCATAAATAATTTACGGACATTTCAGTCACGATTTATTCCTATAGGTAATTTTTTGGGTAAGCTCACCAATGGTGCAAATAACGTGCGTTTTTCGGAAAGAAACGGGAGGTCTATCAATATCAAGGTTACAGTTCCGTTCAAGCATAGAGGTGGTGGAATCAGGAATTATCCCGTGTGCATGAGCAGCGTATCCGAAGCTCTTAATTGTGCTCTTGTTAACGGAGATGGAAACACCGTCGGCGAGAGGAACTGACATGGTTTACCTGCTAATTAGACAGTTTGTGTTAAAAACCACAAGAAGCAAGTTAATATATTACAAAATTAAGTGAAAATTGTTGCACGGATTCACCTAAAATCTGGTGAATAACATAAGGATAAGTACTAGCAACTGCGTAAAAGGAATTTGTCAATTTAACGCATATTGATAAAAGGTTTAATTGCGTGTGGATTAGTATGTCAACCCTGAACACTTTTCGAAATGAATCTTATGGCATTATTGATTCGTTACGGGAACATCCGAACTATGTTTGATCAATGTACATAATAGAGTACACACCCATACGCCCTTACAAGCACCATACTATTAAAAACACATAGAAAGCAAATTTTTGTAACTTGCATAATAATTATAAAAAATTGTTAGAATGTACCTTACTGATAACCGTTAGTTTCTACAGAGTATCTATGGCGAACGCCAAAAACCAGATGTCGCTAGGTGAAACGATTTGAACAAATATCAAGGTCTCATCTTGAACATGAATGAATGCTTTCACTATCCAGCATATGCGAAATTGTAGTTATTAAATTTTAGCTAGCAGTTTATTAAATTTAAATAAAAGTACGCATATAAATATTTATGTTGTTAAATAAATCGTGCTGATCTCTAGGAAATTTGTTATTCAACAAAAAAGAATTCCGAAGTTACCGCATGCTTCGATCTTGATAATTCAGTACATCTCATTGAAAATCTAAATTGCTCTATTTTCACACGTTTTGCTCTATCTGCTTTACTTCTTCATATTGATTATATAACTGACATATATAAATATATATATTGCTAGAATTAAGGCCTGAAAAGTGCTCAAGTATTTTAGGTTAGTTTTGCCCAAAGACCACATTTATCTTAAAACTAACAACAATTTTTTTCTTTTTTTGCGTGCAAGTTTCTGTTACCTTACTTTAGGTAAAATCAGCGAGCACCAGAAGCACTGTACAAGAAAAAAACCCAAGATCCCTAATGGTAACTCAATAGTTGAGAATTTACTGAACCGACAGTCCGAATTGGCTGTTTTTAGCTGACAACTTAACGCGCTGTTTCCAACTTTAGGTAACCCTTTAATAGAAAATAGTCAGAAATACATCTGATTCTTCCTCTTATTCTTCTATCGAATGCCTGGTAGCTAACACTGGTGGTGTGGCTAAGAGAAACGGGCTAACAGTTATCTACCTATTTAGATCCCCTCTCGTTTAGCGTTCGTTTTTTAAAATAGATTATTATTTTTGATCTTAAATTCACTGAAAAGGTATGAAGTGAGACAAGTAGTTTAGGTTTGAAAAAATTCTTATATTCTTCTTCTGACAGTGGTATTATTTGATTAATTTGCTACGGAGGACGGCATTAATATTTTGATTTTAAGTACAGATAGTCTGGTGCCAGTGGGAAATTTTATAATTATTAAACAAAGTTTTCGTGCGTCTTTGTTACTTATTTTAAATGAGCTGACAAATAAGTGATGCCTCCACTCCTAAAAGACACATCGAGCATGAAAATAAAATTCTACAAATCCTGAAATACTTCCCTTCCACGTTGGACGTCGTACTACTTCTTGATGTTTCCATGAATTAGGATCAGACGTATTAAAAGTGGATTGTGTGAAGTTGCTATTTCATTGTCGTTCAATGTTGGAAATTGCGTTGATTCCCGTCCACCTATTCTTTCGCAGCATAATCCAATGCACCGCCCCTTTCCACTCACTCGGACATGTCTGCTCATGCACCTTTGAACACGTTCCTCCTCTGTCATTTGTCTTATAAATCAGGTGCTCATAAATTTTCTGGTTCATCACATTTTATTGGTTGACACCCTGCATTACTCATGTCCTTCCTGTCCATGACATTGTCTGCACAACACACGAAAAACAGGGAACAAGCTTGTGTCTCCTTTACACTTGTTCATTGTATTCCCGAATATTTACAAAACCCATTACATTTCAAGACCCATACTGAGTCTTCTGTAAGTGATGACCCACACGTGATTCATGACCTTTAAGGCACTCTTCCTCAAATCGAAAAGTTTACTTCTAGGAATGTTTGACAGAAATAAATGCACACAACATTTAACTGACAATGTTGGTGCAAGTATAATCATTAAAGTTTAGGTTCAGCAGTCGATGTTGAACATTTACTAATCTTTAAAATTCTTGTTATTTACTTTGTGTGTGCAGAAAAGAGCATTTAGTACTCTTTCAAAGTGGTGAAGAAGAGAATCTTGGTAAATATCAGGTTGAGTTAAACTGGGTTTAAGGTCTGGGGAAGAAATGGAGTTGAGTAGCGTATATGAGTTTCTCTTTTGCTGCAACAATAGTTAAGTAGAGTTCTAATTTGTTCTGCAGGCATGCCACATGTCAGGGAGAAGTTTTGAATGGTTCTGATTATAATAAATTAGCCTTGAGGAATAGGAATATGTACCAATACTGAGGGCAACTAATTTCGATGAGCGTAGATCATACTAGTTAAATACGACTTACTTTGAAATTTTTTATAATAAGAAGCATTTAAATGGCCTGGGGAAATCAAAAGGTAGAAGGCATTTATGGTTATTAAAAAGGCATAGTTTCACAAGTTATGAGTAGTTTAAAGTCTCAACAAAGACAATGTCATAATTAAATTTGTCGTTTGTGTTAAAAACAACGAAATCGCAAGGGGTTTTATCCGCCTCTTTACTGGCATTACTGCAGTGCAAAGCATTCATATCACGTCACGCAATAAATAAATGACTTCACTAAGACATTCTCTCTTCTTTGGTTGCAGTTGCCTTATTGGCTCCTGCAAAAGAGGTCACAGTGCTGATCAATACCATTGTGTGAGTGAGCAGACATGTGAGCACCGTGTTAGTTGTGTGTGTGTTAACTTACACAAGGCATGTCAGACATTGACGAAATTGAATATAGCGGGAGCTCAAAACAGGAATCTGGCTCATATCACTTCTCCACTGAGCCGCCAGGAACTCCTCCTACCATAACAAATGATGCTGCCGAACGCAGGCATCGTCGCTCTGTGAGCGAACAACTTTTCTCGGTACCGACTTTCTCCAACTTCTCATCAAGAGCTTTTCATCGAGGTCGGCATCGTAAAAGAACAGCTGTCGGGAAGAGTGAAGAGGAGGGCGATAGGGAAGAAGACGTGGCTAGTTTTGGTGAAGGGACTGGTGGAGGGAGTTTGGGTGGTTTCCAAACAGGGTGGGAGTATGGTGGAAGGTCTGGTCTAGCGACATATTATAGCGACTTTTCACCGTTCGACCGGAATCTGGATGCCACGAATCAGCAGCAATCAAGTGCAGGGCGTCAGGGTGGTGGCGCTCACTTTAAGCAGGCTCTCAAGAGGACTGTAAAGAAGGCACTTACTACGTCAAAGCAGGTGTGTCCGCATACTTTTTACCCGTTTTCAAGTGGCAGAAAACTTATCGCATGTGTACCAAAAATGACTCTTGGGGTTTTAATAATGTATCTGAAATCTTTAATGCATTACAGTTCTTATATCAATACATGGTTATCGCTAACGTAATCCGATCTACACTTTTATGATTATTGCTGTTAAATGTGCATAACGAAACCATACTACACATTTCTCCTTTTCAAATTAGTTTAAGTGTGTAAAAATCCTGGTAACGATTCGCCTTCAAGCAAATTAATTTATAAAGATTCAAGTAACGACCTGCTTAGCAATTAAGTAGAAAACCAATGCATATTTCAGTTAAAATAGGCCAAAGTTCTGAGGATACGTCTATTTCGATCAATTTAACATGAAAGAATACGAAGTCAGGCTTTTGACCCCATATTTAAATGGAGAAATGAATGACTGGCAAAGCTACTCCATCTAAATGTGCACAAATGGAAAAACAAGTAGGTGGGTAGGTCATTGTTACTTGACTCACGAGATTACGATTTCCCATGGTCACACACCACTCAAAACCTATCGCGATATGATCGATTGCTGTTAAGGAGCATGCCTTTGCTGTTTTGAGCATTCAATTTGTATAGGTTAGATGGTAATACTAAAATTAGAAATCCTGGCCATCGCTGAAATATTACTTTTGCTGAGATTAAGTAACGTAATACCACATTTGAGTTAATAAATCAGTATTCCTGTGGCAAGCATAAAAGTAAATAATATGAATTAAAATTTTGTATAAAATTATGCTTTATGTTTTAGGCACAAGTAGAACTGTATGTCCATTTAAGCTTGCTTAATCCATGTAGCTAATTTGAATTCAAAAAGAAGTGATCGTGGACAAATATGTTGTGTCTACATGTGTCAAGAGTTAATTTTGGCGGTTTCTGATTAAGTCTGCTCATTAATTAACGTGACGATACATGAACCGCATGATGGACGTTTGCCTATGGATCTCGAAAAGAAGCTTTATATGCAATTCTGAAGTAAAGAGTCGTAGGGATGCAGTATTGTGTTTTCAACAGCATCTTTCAAATTGCACTGCCTAATTCGCTTTGGAAGCAAAATCAAAGATTTGGATTTGATAATGTGGTCTCCGTTTTAACACGTAATAAAATTCAGTACACGCAAAACTCCTGAATCCTTAAGAAGGAATAGGGCGTGGGAAGTCAAATATATCTGCAAACATTTTCTTAAAATTTATGGTTTTTTGAAATCATTCCTACAAAAACCTTGTTGAACTGTGCAGTTTAGAAAATTGTAACCATCAATTAATCTAAGTAACACGAAACCTCAAATGCTTTTCTAGAATGATAAGCTTATCAAATGATTTTCACCAGGTTATGCATTCATCCAGGTCACAATTTTACTGTCCAGAAGCTAAATATCGTACCAGGGAACAAGTCGATGTTGGTTTTCTACAATGATTTTAAATATTCTAATTTATTGCCACATTTTGTTGCGAATAAAGCATCCAGAAAGAACTTGCCTGATACAAATACTAGACTTGGTATTCGGTTTCATACTTTGATCAGTGGAATAATTAAACAAAATACTCGAATTAACTGACATTTGCAACTAAATCATAGCTTAATATGCATAAAAAGAACTGTTTGTGCATTGAAACAGTTTCAGCATAGGTAACAGTGCTTGTCGTAACAGATTTCAGATTAAAATTCAGTATTTTATATCATGTAAAAAGCTGATTATGACATATCTTCAAACTGCAGCATGTTAAATTCTTCTGAATATTAGTTTAGGTTATATGTCCACTCTAACACATATGTGCGGCATGTCTGGTTTGCATGTCTAGCAATTTAAATGTACTAAGTGACAGATTAATGACGAAGATGACAAGAAACAACAATGTATGGGAAGGTGCAGTATGCAGGAACAAATGCTCAACTCAAATGAACGTTGCGTTTGTTTAATTCAGGAAGATGAAGGGAATGCGGAAAGCTCGCTAAATGAGAGTTCTATGCTCGCCCGTGATTCGCGCCGTCGATACAAAAAGGCGTCCGAGGACAGAAAGCGCCACACAAGACTTACTGCGTACGGCGCTGAACACCACGTAAGTTCATAGGTTTGCATTATTTTTAACCCCGAAATTCTCGCTGACATGTTAGAAAGAATTTATGTGCATTTTGTGACATAAAACTCAAATACCAAAGAATGTGCTTAGTATACCTGTACGATTGCAGGCAATTGATGCAAATGCTGGTAATTAAAGTTAGTCCCTATTCATCTAGCACTGGCAGCCTGGAAAATCTATTAATATTTGCCTGAGAGCAATGTTTAACATGAATGAACCAGATAGACTACCTCAACTCTGATGCCCTTGTTGACAGTAAGGAAGCCCGTATTTAGAGCTCGGTAAGATTCGTACCAGTAGAATGCTTTCAGCATGATTTATCCGAGGCACATTGATCGTCAGGATGTAATCGGACAGGTCATTATTCCGCACTAACGTTTTTTGATCCAAGTAACAACTGTATACGTACTGCATGACGATTGTTAGTGTTCTAATGTCCAGGAATATTTGACGTAATCTGTTCTGTCCAAAGCTTTTAAAACCAGCACTTGCGCATTGTTTAATTTCAAAATATGGGGATCTCGGGTAAATCATCGGAAATTTACTTCCAATAATAATTACCATCGAAAATATACTTAAAAAACTAACGTTTCCCTTCATGAAAATGAATGCTTAGAGACAATCTGTTGAATCACTTTTGTGCATAAATCTTTATTATAATTTTTTTAAAAGTCGACCTAAAACACCACAATGGATTAGGCTTCCAAAAGCACACATTTATACTTGCTAAGACTACAAGTAATAATCTTTTTCATGTGATAATACCTTTCAAAATTACTTGACGCGCTTTTAGTAAATGGTAAATGTTGTACACCGCCAGATTTACTTTAGAAAGCAAAAAATGTGCAACAGTGTTGTGTGCCGATGATCGGCAACTAAGAACTGGCAAATGCAGAAGTAAGGTGAACATTTTATGGTGGTTATAAGTGCCTTGGTTGGCCAAAACAATTGTCTCATAAGGATGTTACATGAGATATAGTCATTTTATGTCCGATCGTTTTGCGGGCTATGCACAGGGTAGTCCGTAATAAAATATCCTCTGAAATCTCCATTTCGAAAGGATCTACTATAAGACATCTGTCAACACTTTTATATGAAGACAGAATTTGGAATTTGAAACCTGGTTTGTTGATCTTAACAAGACAGTCTATATAATTCGAGGCTAATTTATTACCGTGTCGAATCAGCGATAAAGCATTGCTTGCAGACGCACTTGGCAGATATGCAGAGAGAGTGTGTCAACCAGCGTCATTGTACAGCCACATTAATGCCCCTTTTAATGCATGATTGACATGCTTGCGAAACTGTCATCTAGGGCGTCCTATGCATCTGCTTCTGAGACTGCGAATTCAACATCTTACTTAGCTTTCGAGGCTTTAATATCTCATTCCACTGTGAAGGAGTGTAGTCCCTGCCTAACTGTAACCTAAAACGCATATGAAAGTTTTGAATTTTTGTATTAGATTGGTAAAATATACCTTTTTGTCTCTATTGGTATGTCTATTCGAGGCACAGATCGGAAATCGTTGTTTTTGATTGTACAGCTTCCGTTGTTCACTAACGCGAAAACTGCATGCAGCAAAAAAGTGTGCTGCACTTTATGGATTATCAAAACGAACTTATACCCACATATAAATTTCAAACTATTCGTTTTATTTAGCAGAATACTAATTGCAGCTAAAGAATACTGGTAGTTACGTGTGACTTGTTTCCAAAGGCTTCGTGTAATCAGAGAAATGACAACAGGCTTTAATTTCAATGGTAGCTTCCATATTACGTGCATTGCTACTAAAATTAAACATAAATTTTTTTATGCTGGAAAGCGGTTGACGCAATATAGTTTCATGAACATTTTTTAATCCTAATTAATTTAAGATAATTGTTTGCACAAATCAATATAAATATTACTCCCCTACTCATTCCTTCATAATTAAAATATCTCGAGGTAACATTTGGGGAAATGTTATGATGTGTACCAAGCCTAATCAAATATACATTTTCTAGCTTTGATAAGTCGTGAAATATTGCTAAGAAATTAAAAAGGAATTGGTGTTAAGGTTGATTTAGGCATTTGCGGTAATAATTCACGGAAATTCGAAATTATGTCTACTTATAAACTTGATAAGTAGTGATAATAATAAACATTTAAAAGTACATGATCACGTGTTCTTTTTTGATACCCATGCCAAATGATTGATTCAAAAATTGATTTTTGGTTTCTTAGTGCAAGTCTATAGACCGTTGATGAGAACCATTGTTACATACCTGACAACTTTGTGATTCCATTCTCATTCAAATCAGTGGCCTTAATAAGCAAAGAAGTAAACTAAATGATTTTTCTCGTCATAATTAGTCGACGTTTTATCACGGGTTTTCAAATCTTACAATAAATTGCTATTCGGTTTCTCAAGTATAATGTTGCATTATGGACTCGACATCATATTCCAACCAGCTTCCAATAATTAGCTGAAAAGTACCGAATTTCATAAACCCTTGTATTGTCTTGGTGAACTGGCATTCCACCACTCCCAAATCTCATATTTCTCCTGTTGCCTTTTTTTAATTTTATCGTTTGCTGGTGGCAAATATTCATTTAATTGCATATTTCTTTGGAAGCAACTCAAAATAGGTAACACCGGTGCGATCGCACTGGATTGACAACACAAACTACTTTCGTGTAATGCGGCTCACGCTGAGGTTAGTGCTGGACCGTGAGGGTTTTCAAGAAACGCCAATGTGAATTACCACTTTTTATGAGCCGTGACGATTCATTTTTCAAAAGAATGCAGCTTAGCGCTTTTGAAACCCATTCGTTAAATTTGATTTGTTATTTCAAATGACTTTCTTTTAATCCATTTGAAACTCGATGGTAAATCCTTTTAACAAGTCGAATAATTGGTACTTTTAATCTCCTTACAATGCATTTTCTTTCCATGCAGTCTCATGCATAGTTTTTTCTGCAATTTTAACTGATTATGACTCTGATTAAGTTACTGTCAACTCCCTATCTTACTCAGAACTCTGCCAAATCTTTTTAAAAATTTGTAAAATAGTTTTTTTACAAGTGCGTCCTTTCTGAGCCTTCATATTTTTCTTACTTTTACGCTAATAAAGAAGTAATATAGAATAATATAGAGTTTTGAACCTTGTTAAAATTAAAGGTTGACAAATAGACAAGTGGTAACAGCTGTGTTACTTAGAAATGGCAAACATTTATTTAAATACTCAATTCGTTCAAAACAAACTGCATCAAACCTTTGAGTAAAATAAAATTATTCGTTTATTTACCGAAATTTCAAAGCATGGGCCTCATGCAGTCTTCTCCAGATTGACGTACATTTTTTAGGTTGATGCAGTTTTCAAACCCCACCCGTAAGACCTGCTTATCGTCTAAAGGGTCGGATACTATACAAACGTTGGTTAGCATGTAAATTAGTATTCTCTGACAACAGCACTAAATATATTTGAATTTGATTTAAGAATTTGTATAAATGAGATTGTCAGTAATTGTGGGATATTTTGTGTCAACGTCAATGGCTATCTACAGCAATAATGAATCAGTAATTGTGCTAATTACAATTACAAGCCTATAGAGGCATGATGGTAAATACTTAACGAAATTCTTCAAAGAACAAGGTAGGTCTTAAGGCTTGAGCTGTGCGCAAAACTGTTACCTGCCAATTAAAATGCATAATAGTAAAACTCCAGCTCTAATTTTCTTTTAAAAAATACTATTTCGTTTTTCTGAATTTGGACATAATCACAAAAGAATAGCCCTAAGCAACTACAAATCACGGTTTGGTGCAGGTCTCAGAAAACAGTTTAATCGGCTAAGTGAGATTACGTTAGATTCAGTTAAACTGCATTTAATGACGTTGCGTTGTGCCTTTTAACCGCAGGATGTGAAGAGCAAAAGTGACGATGAAATCCCTTGCGACGTCCCCACCATCCTGGAGTCGGACACCGATGAACAACTGCCTGATCATCAACGCAAGCAGAACCGAATTCGTGTGTCTTTGGCTGACTTATTTTTGAAAATGAAAAGGTCGATTTCAATGCACTCGCTTGATGAGGTTTGTTTCGCCCTCATCGCTTTCTCATTCCACAGAGCCACGCAGTACACATGGTCGTTGATTAGACAAGTCTGCATAATGTATTTCAGGAATGTCTGTGATCAGCTAAATATTAATGTTTGACTTTCTCATATTGTCCAGAAAGTTTCGTAAGTATTTTTTGCCATGTTCCTTACTGCTGTACCAGGGAAAGATATGAAAGAAAGTACAGAGGTGCACGGCAATATCCGTTCACATTCGTGACCGATGAAAAAACAGGATGATTTCAAATTTAGTAGTGATATTTTAATGCAATTTCAGCAACATTCCTTTTGTTTCTATAAACATAGAAATTGAATTTGGAGAATTCTGTTCCGAGAGATTGTTTAAATACCTTTTTTAGACAAGCATATTCCAGGTTTTTTGATACCTGCAAAAGAAATTCGGACAAGTACTTCAAGTGTTCAAAATAATGAGATTGGCAACGTGGCAAAAAATTGCTATAAGGAGTCAAAGAATTGAGTCATGTTTATGAGAAGGATTTCCCAATCGGAAATCCTGACAGATTAATAATCAATAAAAATAGTAATAACCGAAACAGGAAGAATGTAAATTCATTATTTTTTCATTTTCAGCTAACAATAATTAATTTCGGAAAAGATTGTTATTTAGAAAGGTCACATGGAAACTATGAATTTTTCCAAAACTAGTATATTTTTTTGAAAATTCGAGCAAACCAAATTACACAGTTAAAATGTCATTGCTTTTATTTACTCCCGCCTACACACTCAGCTAATTCAACATGCCCATTTTTTATTAAAGGAATACAGGCAAATATTTTGGAATTGCACGCTGTTCCTTCGTTCTGCCAAACTTAAAGGTAATGTAGTTAGGCACTTTTAATTCACCTATCACATCACTAATATTTCCGTTAAGTGAATAACAGGGTACTTCTGGTGCCTATTTACAGAAATTGCTAGCAATCTAATAGTTTCCCCTCAAAAAAGAGCTGCACATATAAAAATGGTAAAAAATATGCTATAAATCGTGACTGATGGTGTTGGTTAGTAATTTTTATCAGCTACTCTCAATTTACAATCAGTGAAAGTTCATTATAGAAGCAACATTTCTCTCCTGCGTACAAAGTATTGCACATTTAGTTGCCTACCTCAGAAATTGACATCAATAGGACCTGGTTAACGGATATAGCAGCATATTAAACTTTGACACAGAAAAGAATCCGAAATTCCTTCATGTGTAGCAAATGAGTGCCGCAGAATGCTCATTTGAGGAGAATTCCGTTAATTGATAAAATGTGATCACACCTTGTGGGTATTAAATCATTGATAGAAAAATGTTTTTTTCTATCTTAGATGAAATTGGAATTTTTGTTCTTTTACGTTTATAGAAAGGATCAATTGTTGCGTCCACATATTTTACATGGACAAGTTTATTGCAAAGTCGGGATTTTCGGGCGAAACCAGCAATCCCAAATGGAATGAAACGTTTACGTTTAATTTAAGTCAAATTGACGAAATGCTTCAAGTACGTTAATTTTACAATTATTTGTATAGAACCAAATATTTCAAATTATTCAGTGTGCAAGAGCTGACGTTGACTCAATAAGTAGTGGAGTTTCCTTTTGCGCCAATTAAATAGCGACCAAGTCAATTAAAAGTGTTTCAAAATAACTGTAGCGATATCAGATAAGTAAGGAGTAATTTATTAGGTGAATGCAAAAGCTAGTTTCTTATTTCGCAAGCTTACAAAGAAGTACTTTTTGTCTCAGATATACTAGTATAAGTTAACTATTAGGTCGTGAGTCAACATGTTGAGTAAAAAAATGCTATTTAAAGTAATTTTTGTGCAAGTCTAATATTTAAAACGATAAATAGTTTTATTTACTGCATGTTATGTAGTGCGACTTAAGTGATTGATAATCAATGGATTATTACTGAAAGGATTGCTTAGAGGCTTAGTGATGGCAATTTGACCAAAAATCGAAATTCAAAGCAACTCGATTGCACCTCGAACCTCGGTATCAGTAGGCTGTCAAACGAAAAGACCTAATCTTTCACAATGAAATGCCGCTCATCATCCACTTCGTTTTCTATAAAACGATTAGTAAGGCAAAACACTTGAACCTATGGATGAAGTCAAAAACTGCGTTGCAAATTTCTTTGAAGAGAAATCACTCATTTCTGCATAGTAGGATTTGACGAAAATAATTATTTATGCATTTATGGAAATTGAGTATTGGTTAATGAAACTACTTTCCATGAAAATGTGTTGTTTTGGTTTTTAGCTCGAGCACAACCTTTTTTAATCACCTAATAATTTAGTGTTCTCTAAATCAGCTTTTTAATGAGCTACTCAGAAATGCTTTTGTTGTGGCTTTAGGCAAAAGTAACTAGACGGAGTTCCGTTTATTTTCGCTATGACTGCGCTTATTCCTTTTGCAATACGTCTCCTTTATTGCTACGATTTCTGCGATTCGTCATCTTCCAGAGATTGTGCTGTACTGGGTTGCATTGCTTTTTAGCTTCAAGTCATTGAAAAACATACACTGAGGTCCGACAAACTTATTGGAAGAGCTTACGTTGCCCTGAATAGAGGCGAATCGTAAGTTTTAAAAATATTGAAATCACTCACGTTTTTTTTATTTACGATCCTAGTTTGACTTTCTAAATATTTGCAAAGCGCAGCATTAACAACAAAATATTTATTTATAAACAAACAAGATAAAAAATTATGAACACTCTTGAGATTATATTTTATCTAATTGATATTTATTTACTTTTAAGTTTATGGAACATATGCCATTTGCTGTTTCGAAAATACGTGCCTTTTTTAACTAACTGCCATTTTCATCAAAAATCAACGGTTATTTCCATCTGCATTATTCGTAAAAAGCATTCTGTAGGAGACTTTTTTTCTGAATTCTTGCTGCAAAGTAGACCGTTGTACCCATGTTTCAGACGTTCATTAAGTTGAACCGTTTTTTCAGTCATGCTTTTTAAAAACAGTCTAACTCCTTCAAGTACAAGACAAAGTTATCGCATCAAATTGTCTAAGGCCTAAAATGAAACTGTAATTAGGTACCACATGGCTAGCAGGATCCAACAGTGGCCGACTTGCGCAATGGCTGTGTTTTGCACACAAATTTCACTGCATTTTCTAGTCAAGCAATGAGGCTAGAATTTAATTTTAACGATGTCATGTTGAAAGGATAAGTTTGGGATTTTGCGCATACAGAGTCTACACCCACGAGGCGCCCATTCGGTACTTCAGCGTGAGAAAGGGAGACACTCGAGTCCTGGGGACCCTGAGCCTCGACACCAGCGTCGAATCCAGTCTCATTACATCCCTGGATGGGAGTAGCTTGTTTGGATCCCTCGATGAACAGGAGCGCCTAAGTGAGGAAATCAGCGCAAAGACCACCACTTCTACATCCAAGAAATCATCCCTACGTAGGGTGAGTTCCACCTTCTCATAAAAAGTACTCACAGCTCATTCACCTAAATATCGAAGATGGGCGATGTTGAAATGAGTGTGGCATTGTTAGTTTTGGTCCCTTATGTGTACTTTTGTAGCTTGATGAACGACCATTTGCATGAAGGCGAATGCAAATGGCCTTAGTGACCTTATTTACTTAATTTTCGACAGCACAACCATTGCCATTCCACTTGACTTTGTTCAGCTTGCAAAAGCATCCATTCAAAAGGGGCTTCACACTGTAATTGAAGTTCAAAATCAGTAGTGATTGTTTACTTTTGGCCAACAGCTAAATAATTAGAATACGCTGGCGTTGACATTAATTGCAAACAGTGTGCAAGAGCATATGCAAAACGGAACTTCTTAGCACCAAACAAAATTATGGCTGAATGTATTCCGTCACTGGAACTAGAACTCCGAGGTTCTCACGAGATGTTATGGATCATAACCTTTTAAACCATTTTAAGCTTTTCCTTCTTTTCAAATAAGTCTAAAATTTTTTACGGCTCAGATCCTATGCTCCTTTGTTACATACATGTGGGTTTGGCTGTGTGAGCACTGATGTTCTCGGCACTTCCAGCTTCTCATCGTTGAGGATGGCTGACTTGGCTCAATTAACACTCGATGGCAAGAGCAACTCAACGCAGACTTTGTTAGTTGTACAAAGAAAGTTCATATCACATTGCTTGTAAAAGTGCGACTAGATGTGAATGTAATCCCATGAATTGTTGTAAATTGCAAAGCGCTATTTTGTGGGGCACTTTGGTCTTGAGTAACATGTTGACAAACGCCGCGAGTGAATAAGAGGTATGCGGTAGCAACCAATCTGTAACATTTCCTTTAAATGCTGAAAAGACTTTCCTTGTCGTTTGTAGAATAGCAAAACGAATGCCAAATATAACTTTTCCTACATTTATGCACACTTGATTAAGTTTATGCAAAATATAGTTTTGTTGAAACAAAACTTAATGCCTTAGAAGATTACGCTGTCTAGGCCCAAAGTCATTGCGTTCATTTACAGCAAAGGTAGCAGTAAAATGTACAGAGTGCACTAATTTGGCTCAACTGCCATTCAGGTAGTGCATGTGAGTAGCGTAGGCGAATGATGGAAATCTCCTATTAAAGTCTTCCTTATAAATGCGGGAAAGTGTTTTTGATTGCGTGAAATTTAAATATATTTAGGTTCCGTGCTTAATTTTGAATATTCTTTAGATTGAACCTAATTGGCTATTAATGCGTTGACCTGAGAATCGTTAGGAAATTCGCCATACAAAGTTTTAATTGTAGGGTATAGACCTCAGTGGCGTACTTTTTCTCAGTGGGTGCAGGTACCACGTTTGTGTGTTGCTCAAGCCAAGCATTCCGATGAGTTATATACAAAGACAGCCTGCACGCGACAGGAAATATAAGCCTTTGCGTTTAATGCTGATTCGAATCACTTGCATGCGGCGTTAGGCAAGTGATTTGGTAGGAAAGATGTCGAGGGTTTCAATAAGAGGATTTGTCCAAATCATTACAGCGTTGCCGGGGCAAATAAGGCACTAACGATTGTAATCACCAATTTTGATTTCTTCAAAGATTATGGAAGCACAAGATTGTGAAGTTAAAATGGTGTATACGACTTTTTACGAAAATACCTTGTTATGAACATCTTATAAAGTACTTTTTCTATCTCCCTACGATTGTGTGTGAAGGGTGGGGATGTTAACAATGAGGTTGAAACTCAAATTGAAATGAACTTTTCAACGTGGTTTGTTTGCAGAATCTGGTCAGGAGGTTTGCTTCCCATGTTCACCGTCATCGATTTCATCGATCAAAGCAGAGGAATCAGATACAAAGCTCCAAGGAAACTTTATGTGAACACTATATTGGACACGAAGGCACATTCTATTTCTCCCCATATGAAATCACCCGACGCTTCCTTGAGACAGAATCTGCTGCTCCTCCGCCTAGTGTTACTTGGCGTCCCTTTTTCGATTGGCCAGGTAATCGGTCTCTCTATCTTCCCATGGTGCCCATCCAGCGACGCTATCCAGTCCGGTTCTGGGAACTGCGTATCCCAAAGCTAGCTTGGCCGATTGAATTTCTCCTTCCAATGACTCGCCTTGCATTCCCCACTGCCAATCTCGTTGACTCTCTCGACGTTAAAGATACTGTAAAGTTAACGAAGATTGTAGAAAGCGGATTAGTGAATATATTCTTGGTTGGCGCTAGGGGACTACGGTCAATACCTCAGGTTGACATGATATCTGGATGCGGACTAGATGAAAAAGGAGGAGGAGGCGGTAATGCGATGGGAAATTCCTTCAATGGAGGGGACGCAGCAACTGAGTCACTCGGAGCGGGAGGAGCAGCTTTAATGGGAACCTCACCGGAGACCAGAGCAGCCTCCTTGGTAGCGTTGCACTGGGCGGCCAAATCACTCACGGTCTCACCGTCCCCTCAAGTGGTACTTTCGTATGGACCAGAAAAAAGGGCAAGTAGTGTAAGTATGATTTAAGTCTAACTATTAATTTTTTACTTAAAAAAACTGCATTTTCCAGCCTTTTAAAGACCCTTGACCTGAATTATCATCTGACAGCTTGGGGTCAGTTCACTAACAATCTACAACCTAAAATCCAAATTAAAATTTTAGGACAGATCCTGCTTGTATTCAAATTTATCTGTAAAAATTTGACTATGTAGCTGTAATCGTCAAAGTTAAAGTTGCACCTTCACAAAATATCATTTTCTTACAAAGCAAAACCTTGACGCGGGCTTTAATTCAGGTTGTATGGATCTGAAAAGCTGCATATTTTTTTGGGCTTTTCGAGAAGGTTTGTATGTACATGCTGGGCAAAATAATTTTCAAAATGTGAAGATGCGATCCATCATTGTTTTGTGGTAATTGACCAAGTAGTCAATTTTTCAGCTTAAGTAGATAGTAAATAGCATTAAAAATCGATTCAGGCTCAAATTGAAAAAAATATTAATATTCTCTTCATAGTATTTGCATTTTAGGTGGTGAAAAATAACAGCAATCCTGACTTCCTGGAGGAATTCGAATTTAAACTAACAAATGGCGCACCACGATTTATAAAGATAATTGTCTATGACAGAGAAACTCAGACGGGAACAGGCGGGATTCCGCGTAACTCTATCCTTGGCGAGTAAGTGCTGCACAAGTCTCCTGCTCCTAATGCAGGTCTTCTAGTAAATGTAAAAAGGTTGCCTCTTTAACAGGAGGATCGCACTTTCCTGTGTAATTTTTTGTTTTTTTTTGTTTTGATTGTCGAGTTGTTTCACTCCTAGAGTTCTTTCACTTTACATTTGTCGTCGCATTTTACATCATTTTTGGTGGAATTTAAATGCCTAATTATGGGTCAATAGTTCTATGTTTTGTGTGTGTAGCCAAAATTTTACCTTTGCAAAACTGCAGGATCCCATCTGGGCACGTATATATCCTATATTCGAATGCACGAAATCAGATCATACCAGAGGCGAATTTGTTTCTAGGGTCATTCAAACGTTTGACATCTTATCAATTGACTAAACCTTAGATATATGTCTACATTTGCCACATCTATTCATAACCTTATCAACCAATGCAACAAATAAATAATGCTGTTGTACCTTTTGATCACTTTTGTTACAGCTTCAAAATACAAAAATCCTATTTTAAAATCACTTGACTTTGATTTTCTCTCTTAAATTAATAATTTAATTGGCAGATTGGGGCTAGTACACTACTCTGAGATAATTATACCCGATCAACTTGATAGTAAAAGGCCAGTTGTATGTGGCGTTGCTTATCTGGGCCTAACTATCCAGTAAAATTAGGGCCTTACAAATCAGACCAAGCAAACGCTCATCATTCTCCCTTTCAGGACTGTAATCGATCTTGCAGACATGCCAATCGAGTTAACACAGAAGATGGAAGTGCAACTGCTAAAAAACTCTAATGAGGCCAGGCTCTTAATGTTCGTAACCATTACCGGTTTGAACACCGCAATCAGAAGTCCAGTTCAAACTCCGCCTTCCATGATTTCCTCTCCCCGATCAGTCATCAGCGGAAACGGAAGTCCAACTGAACGAGATGAGAAGCCTTCTTATCCCTCCCTGCCCATGAATTACCTACAGTTAGTGGCGGAACATTTTGTAGGTTTAAATAAATTCCATTCTCGAGTTTTTGGCTAATTGCGATTTATCCAACGCGAGGAATTAACTGCAGCCTGTTTTAAAAGAAATGACCGAGTATTCAAGTATTGAATCATAAATTAAGTCTGTTGAACACAACTACACTATGTCAGGCGCACAGAAGTTAGCATCTATCCCTGGTTTTGTTGCTGGCAGAAAGTTTATGTCTTCATCGATAAATATCTCTAATTTTTATTTTGCTAGCGAAATTTCACTTACGATCACGTACGGACTGAGAAATAACGCATTTAGATAATGCACCATCGACCAATCTCCAACAGTTTGTCCTGTTTATGTCATTACTTATTATTCTTGTTATTTGTTGCTAGAGTTTGAAGAATTCCCTTCGAAATCCTCACGACGTTGGGTGGTTGAGGGTAAAAAGTAAGTCCTTGAAGTTTTTGAGAGGCTTATCAGAAGCCATGTATACTAAAGCAGCAAAATGTATGAAATATTTTATTCTATTGACGATTAATTTGGACTCTCGTGTTACGTGGTGGCGTTCATCTAATCAACACTTTAAAATATTATAGAATGTTTGAGTAAACAAAAAAGGACTTCAGATTAATCCGTTTGAATCTGCACTCTATGATTCAATACACACTGCAGACTTCATTAGTACATCTAAAGCTAAGATGGACGTGAAGATTATCCGCAGAGGCTCACGAGCCAAAGCTTGGACACCCATGCTCATTTTGAGTTTATTAGCACGAATACGCCTTTGCTTTGCCTACGCACGCCCTACTGCAAAACTTCGTGTCCGGCTGGCGGTGGTGTCCGCCCGGTCAAGTTCCCTTTCGCCACCATCCTTGATCCCAGGTTCTAGGACGTTAACTCACAACAAGTAACTCAGCTCATAATGGTATAGATATTAGTAGAATAATCGCGGTATTTCACCAGCCTAGTAATATAATCCTTCGTGTTCAGCAAAGACCATGCACAGGCTTCTGCGTGTTAACGTAAGATTTGTATGTTATTTAATTCAGTCTGGCTGAATTTGTAGATTTTATTTTATGAACTCTTAGTTTGTAGTGCAATGGGTCTCGGTGGCAAGACTATAAACGGTCGTATCGAATGCTTCTGTGTTATTGACTTATTCAACACTCGACTTAAAACGCAAAGTGTAATTAAGCAAAAAAATTCAACATGGAATCGGTGCTTTGTAATGTGAGTCATTAAGTATAAAGAACTGCGTCCATATCGACGCTCATAGTTAATGACATTTTCTCCTATCTAGTCCGTTAATGGATATCCACGGCATAATGAAGATAACGGTAATCGAAACCGAGAAAAGTAAAATGGAGGTTATCGGAGGTCTTGCCATACACCCCTTACGTGTAAGTCAACTCGCTTTAGATAAGCTTAAAATTCGAAAGTGTAATAAAGGTAGCACAGACAACCCGAAACTTAAATACCCAAAAGGAATTGTACAAATTCATCGTTAAGATAAGGGCAAGTTAAGGGTCGGACTTCTGGTACAGCATTACGATTTTACAAAGAAAATATCGAAACATTCATCCACGAGCATCAGACTTTTACGCTAAACTTGAATTTAACTAGCTTTACAATACTGGATTAGGAGGTTTCCTAAGTTGTCAAACCGTGGGTAACAATGTACCAAGCTTAGGTCTCAACTATGATTCAATTAAGGTAAACAGTCAAATCTTTGGAGAAACTTCAAACTAGATACACCAAGACCTGACATTTAGTAAGCATCTTTGTGTTCAGCTCAACTGTGTCTAGTCGGTCACACTTGCTTTCAGCCCCAGTAAGACAGAGACTCATTAGACGAGTGAGCCATTTCACTTGATACTTGTGCTCCCATGTGTTTGTACATTTTCATATTTTGTCGTGTTAACTATTTTTAATCAGGTTGATAACGGAGGAAGCAAATGGTATGCACTTAAAACCCCAGATCTTCGGAGTCCCACAAAAGGTTCAATTTTGCTTGAGATCAATGTTTACTTTAACCAGGTCAGTGAAATTAAATCTGTTTCTATAACCGCGTGGTCAACTTGCAGAGGTGTATGAGAAGACAAATTTTCCATTTGACTAAAAGTTTGCCTAAGACTGTCCTCAAGTATAAAAAAAACAGGGAGCCGTTGTCCCAATCCAAGTGCCTTTAATTAAAGTGTTGTCCAACGTTTCACAATGACTTACGCATTGCGACACCAGTTTGGTACTTTTAAAAATCATGATTATAACTACAGCATCTATTTCTAATCCTCAATTTTGTTAAAACTCATCAGAAAACAAGTTTTAGCGCCTCTATAAATAGTAATTTAGTTTTTAGCAATTCTATTACACCACTATTCAGAATGGGAGCAATGAGAAGAATATGGGGAATATGAATATGGATTTTGGTGTACAAACCGACGTTGATGTCAAAAAAAATAAATTGTGAAAATCTTGACTACTCTAGTCTTGGTGATGGTAACTCCCCAAAAATATATTACTAAATGGTACATAATAATTCAATGTAGCTCTCCAGCAATAATTTTTTCCTCCTTCAAAACAAAGTTTCGAGTCACTTGCTTCCTGTTGTCGTGACATCACAACTTTTGTACAATTCCTGGTTTAAACTTTTTGATCTTTTACCAGATTCACTTAGCAGTGATTGTTTAATTGTATGGTTTAATTTTTGCTGGAATGGAAATGTTTCCGAAAGAATTATTTAAAGTTTTGGTTGAAGAAAGGTTTGAAAACTGCTGTGAATTGGTTACATTGGAGTCGGCATTGAAAAGTATAGTGAGTTCACTCACTTGTCCAGGACTTCCGAGTCCATAAACTCAGAGAAAAAGCTGTGATTTGACTTTTTATAATAATTATATTTAATGCAAAACTTTGTTTTAGTTTAAATCCGCTCTGAAAACATTTACACCAAAGGAAACGCCGTATAGAAGTCTTGCAATAAAACAAAAGGTAGGTAGCGTTGACTATTAGAGTAATCCCAATTTTCCGAAATGCATCTAGCAACAAGTTATAGCCTTTTAAGACCTTGAAAAGCATGTCTATTTTTTTCTTTTTCCACTTCTTTTAGTATGTGATCCCAATCTAGGATGCATACCTTGCGTAGAAATACAAAAATCTTGTTAAAAATTTTTTACTAGAGTTGCTAGTATTTTTTTCAGAACTACGACAGGCATTGATGAGATGGTATTCAGTAGGCATTTATGTTGCTGTCCGACATGCTTAAAGACATATTCAAATCTGTGTGGTCCCAAGTGAAAAGAAACCTATATGATAGTCTGTGGGTTGAGAGAGAATGAGAGATAAAACAGTTCGTTGTTGCTAATTGCATGCTTCCTGACAATGTGTCATTTGCGCATAAAAACGTATACGTTTGGTCACGTTCGACGACAACCCGTTCTGCAATCTCCCCCCTGGGCTACCTAATCTCTACTTCCCTGAGCAAGCAGCGTTATGATCTGCTTTATAACATAATCCGCACGCATTTGCGTCAATGTTCGCTTATCCATAAGGTGTATGAAGTTTTTTTTAACTTAGCCTCTGCACACAAGACATTATCATAAATGATGGTTTGGTCTGGATTCAGGAAGCGTGTGATGGAGCGAATCCTGAACAATATGCGTCACTGGTCGGCATTTCATTCTATAAGCTCAGAACCTTAAACCTTGTCTTGTTGTTAAATGTAGCTTTGTTGCCATCTCGCCCATACTCTTAACTTAGCCCAAAAAATACATATTTTCCACGTAATACATGAGCGAATATGCGATGACTCCTATATATTTCCACGAGGATTGGCAGATCTGAGCCAGACATGGTTATTTAAGTGGCATACATGACAGCGCATGTCATTTTGACCGAACTGCGCACTGTAGGAAGTGATACTACTTTCCTCACATTCAATCTAACACTGCACCGTTGCTTTAAAAAGCCATGTCTATAACTGCGTCTGTTTTGGTGACATTAGAATCTACAAAAAAGGCACCATTTTAGATGTTTTGCTTTATTTTGATACTTTTACAAGAAGATTTTATTCTATAACCCATTTTTGCTAATTTTTCCTTGCGATTTTAGGATAGACATATGCATAATTTAAGGGTAACGCATTGTTTGGCTTTATTAACTATTTCTCTTTTGTCTTTAATATACTCTAACCTCAAGAGCTTTGTGGTGTGAGAGCATAGACTTTCATAAGGAATCCAATTATAACAGAACCCTTGAATCCAGAAAATCTTTGCACCAACTTTCTGTACTAACTTCTTTGGCCAGCATTCACTTTGTGCTTGCTTAATCACGTATGTGCACAATGACTAATTTTAGTATTAAGTTAAAACTGAGTTTGATCAAAAATACAATTAATGATGCATTAAAAGCCGCATTTTAATAGCAAATTCTACTAATAAACAATGACTGGAGGGAAGTGTTTACTTAATTTTTCAAAATCATATCCAACGAAAGTTGACAAGAGGTGCTGCGGGAGTGCACCATGATTTAGCGCAACGAGTACCAAGTAAGCGAGCATGTTTCAATAAACTACGTATTTGTAATTTAATACTAACATCATCTCAATCAGTGACTTTTCTAATGATGTATTCCTTGGTGTGCACAAAGAAAGTAAAAGCAATAAAGGTACCAATAAAGCCTTTACAAATGCAGGCATTACTGAATTGCATTGAATGCCATGAACTAAATCACTTCTGCTTGGCAGATCTACCAGACAATTATAGAATGGTGAAAAGTCACCTGAAACAAACTCGAAACCTTTTGCGATTAGGTACGACAGTGTTATTCATTTCGTTAATTTTGCAAGTATGTAGTAAAACAGGTACTTAATACCCTAACACTGCAGTTTGGAGCTCGTTGGAGGCTCTTGAGTATACTTTAGATTAAGTGCTATTCAGGCCCTCGCACTCACAAATTTATTGCCCCATTAACAAGCTGCAGGCCATCCAGTTTCCACATGAGTCCAAAACTAATTTCAGGTAACAATCTGTCTTTTTTTGCTTTTCACTTTATAGTTACTACAACAACGCTTTGAGCACGTAAAGCCGCTGCTTGAGCTCATACGCTGGTGTGGACGGGTCCTAGACGATTGGTGGCTGTGGAAAAACCCTTTGCACTCCATTCTCGGTTTAATTGGCTACCAGCTTCTAATTTACTACTTTAAGCCATTTTTCATCCCACTTTACATGGTGCTGGTCCTCCTGAAGAATCGTATCTACAACCGTGGTGGGGTAGACAGTATCATTTATGGATTAAAGTACAATAAAACTGCTGCAAAGCTGGCTTCACCACAGGAACACGAGATTTACAAACGTCAATATGAGATGATAGAACAGTATATGGTACAAGGGGCATACAGTCGAAGTCAGAGTTGGAGCCCAAGAGAAAACGGAAACGAAGGAGATGATCTGGACCTATTTGAGCAATCATCGCTAACGCTTGATGACGATGCTGTTAAAAAGTTTTCTAGCGCTGCGAAGGTTCGTTTTTTTGCAACAAAGGATGTTATAAAACTATATATTCTGATACTGCGAGTAAGAGAGGGGAACATGTGTACAAAACTAGTGTTCTAGAATAATAATAATAATAATTGCATAGAAATTTAATTGTAGTGGTCGAGTTAGGATTCTCTGATAACTGTGGGAGCAGATTCTAACCAGTAAGAGACGTTTGTGTGGGAATGTGCCGCTAAATTTACCTCATTTGTTGGTTTAATAATAAATAGAAATTCAGGCAGCAGTTATTAAAAAAAACTTGGTACGCAAAATATGTAAAACCAATTTAATAAAAAAGGTTTGGGCTGCATTACAGAACAGGCAATAATTGTTAGTAACAAAGACTAGACGATTAAAAGGGCCACCTAGCAAATCACTGCATTGTTATATCATGACCAAAGTATTTTGTTATTTCAAATGTTGGTCGGCTGTATTTGACGCCTGAAAGATGCGAGACAACGTTCTAGTTTACGGATTTTAAAGGACGTATGTGTGTGTGTGTGTTAAATTTCAATGATATTAGTTGGTGTGACAGCACACGCTGCGGTGCAGAGCAATGCATCTGATTCTAATAAGGCATAAATCAAGGCGGTCTTAGGCCACATGCATTTCATTTTAGAATAAAGATGACTCCGATGCCCCGAATCTGTACAATCTCACTCTGCCGGAGTTGTCAGTAAGTTTGCTACATCATCGGCGTTTTCTCGACTCTTGGCTAGTTTATCGAGTTTTGCGGTTCTCATTTTATAAATAAGATTGACAGAGGCAAGCATAAGCTCTGAGTTTTCACAACCACTGTTTAAAGCACGTTTTATGTACATCAAATCATCTAAGAAAGACTTTTAATATCAATTGCATTTTTAAGCTAGTGGCAATGCTTCACTCTTTCATGCTTATTTCCGACATTTTTAAACGTCAATGAGGGCCTTTTCTAAATACAGACGAAATTTTAAAACTTCAGAAACTGGGGAAACACTCGATGTAACAGTGCGTGTCCTTTTTATTTTAGAGTGATCAGTCATCTGAAGAAGATGAAAGGGAAGCAATCCCGAATAAAGTGAGATGGGAACTAGCAATCATCAAAAAACCCAATTTTAGCACCACAAATTCAAACAATAATAATTTTTTTTAAAATTTAAATGCTAGTTACTAAAAAATGTGTCTGCGAGAGTTTTGTAAACGTTTACAGAAAAGGCAGTCATTATTGGAGCAAGCGCCATTTATTACTGATTATTATACCCTCCCTATCAAAAAAACACGAAACACTTGAAATAATTAGATTAAAACTTGGCTGGCTAATCTTCTCAACTTCACAAAGTGATCGTGCCTTTTGCTTGAGTCAATCTTTTGAAAGATTTCAATGTAGTGCAAAATTCAATATAATTGCTTCATTAGCATTGGCAACCTAAGTAGAATGGGTCCACCTCGAAAAGTCAGTTCAATTTAGAACATCTCAAGACTGAAGAAGGAGCCTCTGTTTTGTTAAAATTCAGGGTCTTTGCTGTTCTTTTCAAGGACTTATTTTACTTTTGAGTGCGAAAATCTTCTAAATATGCTGATGTACTTCCAGTGTATGTGAGACCGTTGTTACCTCTCCGGCTTCGGTGGACAAGTTAATAGGCGACAATGGTTGATCTTTTACTGTGTCCTTAAAATAAATGATTTATAAAGGAACCTTTCTTTATTAGAATGTTTAGTAGAATATTTATTTGCAGGTCAGCATGCTTGCTTGTGCACTTACCCACAAATATTTATGCCAAATTTGTAAATATGCATGGTAAATGCAGCTGGTCTATGACGTTTGGACAAAAACGATTTATCTGCATGGGACCACGTTTTGAGTAGCTTGGCAGGTGCGAAAACGGCTGAACAGGGGTTAACCTATGGCTTTGCTTTCCTTCCAAGTGTTTTAGCCAAACTAGAAGTCAGCCGTTCAGAACTGAATTGAATTGATTATGTTTGAAACATGGTTGTTTTGGTTTGTCGTCACTTTTTACATAAGGTTTGTGTTTCGAGTATCATGATGATTGCATCCCGAAGAGTGAGCTTTAGATAGTCCAGTTCTAAACTAGATCAAAACCTCTTCAGCAAACCTCACCCACCTACTTTTCTCCTATCCGCAACTAAAAGCACAGTTAGGACATCGCTAAGCAAATTTCCTGGAAGTAAACAAAGTTAATGGTCTGTCATGTACGCCTGAGTTGTTTGGCTTTTAAATGATACATAAAATTCAAATTTTACGAAGTGGTCACTTACACTTTTCTAACTTTTGTTTTTGCCATGACATGATATTAATTTCTTTATATCTGTAACTGCATATTTTAAATGTCAGTTTACTTAATAGTCCGAAGGAAAAAAATCGATGAGGACGAGATATACGGGCATCAAAGAGACGGTTGCTCGAATCATGGAGATTGTAGAGGAAACAGCCTCATTTTACGAGCGCGTAGAGGGGTAAGCCGTATATTTATACATGCCTCGTCCCAAAGACTTGTTTGTGCAGGGGATAACTGTAATAATTGGATGTTTATTCTATCCTGGAGCCCTTAAAAGTTTTTTGAACTATGTACTTTGTCCGTCTCGAACATTATTGCCTCATTTTTTCTCAAATCAGTTAGCGGGAATCAGAATGTAAATGCAATATAATAGAAACAAAATTCAAATGTCCTTTTCTGTTAGCAATTTTCATCTTTCCATTTCGTGCTTATATTTTTACTTTTATCAAGCGTATATTATACCTGAATCCTAGTGGGATGAGAATTTGTTTCAAAATTGACAATACATACCTAACTAATGATCATACCTGGCAGTTCTTCGAGTTAATTATTTATGAATCTGTGTGTAATATGTGACAAACTTTTAATTAAATTTATTATTTGGGCTTTTCGAGTAACTGGTACTTTAGACAGTAGAAGCTCCATTCCTCCACATCAACTCTTGTTTAATTTACTTCATTTTTGTTCAAGAAATATTTTAATAAAGAAAGCGTATTAGTGTAAATAATTCTGAACATTGAAGTAATCAGAAGTACTCTACTCTGAAAATCCCACCAACCTGAAAAACCGCATTTTCTTTAAGGCTTTTTAACTGGAGGATTCCTTGGGTATCGTCGTTGGCCGTGATCGTATTGTTACTCATTACACTTCTGCTTTTCTTCCTGCCACTAAAATTCCTGTTTATGCTCTGGGGTGAGTTGTTGTGATTCACAGTCTTTCTATTTTCGAGCTTTAGATACCTCACTCATCGAGGTCCAAAATTGTTGGTTGTAAACAAAATAATAAATTTCCATTTTGTCACGCTAATTTGTCAACTGATCACACTTATTCATCTTCAATTTCCCCTTATATTTTTTTAATTACAAATAATGGAAACCATACTACACTACTTCTAAAATAGTAAGCCTGAGCGTTATTAACGTAAGTGCACAATACAAAGTCACGGCGTAATTTACGCTAAACCACTTCTTTAGGTACTAACGAGTCCATCACACAAAGTTGTCAAATTATATTCACTTACTAATTAAATGATCACATGTAATGGCTTAAATATTATTTAAGCTTTTTGCAATCAACTGGAATCTGCCAATCACTCGGATAAAGAATGTTTCGCTTTTAAATACACTTTCTTGTAGGAAGAGTTGAGTATCTGACTTAGATTAATAGTCTTTAAACAACTCGTAAGTTCGAAGTTTATCTATGATGGAGAGTTTTATTTATCTACTTGAAAAAAGTGTATTGTGTAATCTGTATCATTTGATGGCTGATGTTTAGTCACAGATGGCACTTTTGCAACTTTAGGTCTCAATAAATTCACGAAGGCAATCCTTCGTCCGAACTCCGTAAGGCACAATGAATTCATGGACTTCCTCTCCCGAGTCCCAAATCTTATTGATTCGGTACAGTAAATTTAGCCACTGTCTTATGAGCTTTTTGAAGCCAACATTTCATTTCCTTTTTATGTTGCAGGTTGAGTTGGCCGAATACCGACCAGACGCATTCACTATTGCACCAAAGGGGAAGACACACAGAAGTTGACTTACAAAACTCACTTAAAATAAAGTCCTAAACAACTTTTGCTTCTTCTTTTTTGTACACATTTGTGTCTCCTTAATTATGCTCAGTGTCTATTCTAAGTTCGTGCTATTCTAATCTCGTTTGTACGTTGGAGGCCGCTGCACTGAATGATAACCGTGACGGCTAAGACCAAAGACGGCGGAGGCAACCGTGCGCTGGGAAGCTCAACCTAGTTGTGCTGTTACTGTATGCGTGTATTCCAAGGTAGTGCATGACTAATGAAGTTGCTGACGCATACAGTCTGGTTGAACTTGCAAAAGTGCAAATGGCTGAAAGGCCAAATGGGTGAAAGGGGTGATGTTGGGGGGGCGGGGTGGTACGTGCACAGGGGGTGTGTGGTCAGACAGCCCCGCGTGGCTGGAGGGACCGTGAATCGTGTTGTCGACCCAACACTCAGCAGCCAGGTTTGCCAATGCGGACTTATCACATCAATATTTCTGTTTTAACAACTGGTCTGATGATGGTAACGGTAGTTTGTGAGTAGTGCAAAATCGTTTTAACAAAAAGAGCAACTCTCCCGGTATTTGACATAGGCGAAGTTTGAATCAAGGTGTAAGGTGATCGTCAGTTGGAAGTTACGCAATAAACCGTGGCTAAACCAAAAATAATGGCAAAATGATGCATGTAGAAATATCATCAATGCAAATTTCAGTCATCCGAAAATTAAGAAGGGCAGCTCACCCTTTTTTACCGAACGTAATTATCAGTACATTAATCAGTTTCACCGATTTTGAGCGTTGAGTCCTCCAGACATGTGTGTGAACATCGTAAATAACGTTTTCGCTTGTTCAGCCATTGTTTTTCATCTTTTATTTGCTATGACATTAAGGTTTGCTTTAAGACACAAGTCAATTCCGGGCTCAAAGCCGTGAAGTTAGACCAATGACTTGGTGTCATTAAACTGTCATATGCACTAGGGGTTCACCAGTATTATTATCTTCGCTTAACTTTTTTGTCTCCATTGTTGAGATGCACCAAAATACAAAGGAGTCCGAATAAAAAAGATTCCTAATTTTAACCAAAAGCATTGTCAATTTCAAAAGAATCAAACTTATTAAGTCAACCATATCTCATTTAGCTTAAGTAGATAGGGTCTTGGTGGGATATCAAATAATGACCAGAGTAGGTGGTTGTTAGCCAGCAGTGCCCATGCGCACACTTATTAGTTACCTTGATTCAGGTTAAAAAACCGTTGTGGAATTCTATAAAACGAGATGTGTATCAGTCAAATCTCACTTACCAATGACCAATATCTATGCTGTGTCAAAATTTATCAATTCAAGTGGCAAATATATCTTAGGTCGCAAGTTATCATTCCTCAATATTGGCAAAAAATTAATTGGTAGGTTTGACCGCTTGAGAAGGAAGATTAGGAGGCATTTGCTAGAGCAAGGTAAATTAATTACGAATCGGTTCTTTCATCATCGAACATTTGGCACCATGAGTTAAATGCAGTAGACCTGAAAAGTGCTTTTGCAGATCAGTAAGGAACCATCAAGTCTCAATTTTAATGATGTACCCTAAAATGGCTGTCTGAAAGCGATTGATATCGATGCAGCCTCCATCGACTGCTTATTGATTCAAGAATTTACACTTCTTACTTTTCGAAATCGAACCCTTTAAGCACGCCCACCCACCGCAGCGAGACAAAGTGCCTTTAGTTTAAAAAACGATCGTTCAAAACATGAATGACTTCTTAATAAGAATGCCTTTCTAAATAATGCAGTTGATGTGTAGATTAACGGTGTGAATTTTAGTTTTTATCTACCATCGCAAAATTTTGACCTGAATATCCTGAAATTATTAACCGACGCTTGCAAGTTCTGACTGTCACTAAAATAAAATCCAAGGTATTCAAGCCAACTTAAATGGATCTCCAAAAACTATTTATATAATTCAAAATAGATGCCTTATAAGCAAAATGCGATTCCAAACACATTTTGGAAAGCGTTTTGTTTAGGAAAATTGGCTACGTGTCTTCACCTGGGATAAACAAAGGATCTGGGTGTTAATCTGCGTTGCTGTTCCTAAAAGAAAAAGTATGAGAGGAAATAGAAACTTGTAGTTTAGAATTAGTTGAAAACAATCGTGGAGAAAAGGTAACAAAATTCCTCCGTTTAGCATTTAACTGCGATTTTAAGAGCGAGATTGTGTCTGCAAAGGGGAGCAACTTAACAGCTTTGGAAAACAAACAAAATCATTCAGAATGCGTTGAAAGAATAACTGGCCTAATATTTCTAAATTAAAAACAGTTGTCACGAGGTATTTAGAGTGCAGGCAGATCACTGCAATTCAGCATATGTGGCACCACTTTTCATTAGGCAATTGTTCTTGACAAAATAACACCATATGTGTGCATATGGGTTCAAGGTCGCGGAGGCAGCTCACCTAGTTAAACCGATTGATTTCTCATAATTTTAAAGGATGTTGACATCAACATTTCTTCTTAACATATTATTTCTGAACATAGGTGCAACCAAGTTTTCAAAATCAAGAGTAGGTCCCCCTAAAGCATGACTTCCGTCTGCCGTGTAAAGCAAACACCTGTTTTGGTTGCGAGTTTAGATTTATTGAGGTCGTAATATATTACCACCAGGCTGAAGCAGCTCACCATGTAGCCTGCATGTGTGACCATTGGCTACGTGATTTAATTTTATTTAAATAGGCTTCAAGGAGCACAAATGGGTGGTTCTGAGAACTCACTAGTTTTGACAGTTTTGGTGACATAGGACTGCTTAAAATTCATAATTCCGTATGAGGACTTTTTTAGGTGACACCGCTAACTTTCTTTGCCTGTCGACAATTTTTATACAGCTACTTGAAAAGATGAAAACAACCCAAATATACATCATTTGGTTGAATTCAATTATAGAGATCTCACAACTACTAGTAATCGATAAACAAGGTACTGCGAATGCATGTCAGTGTATGAACAATAAAGATGGCAAATCACTGTGCTAAAGCCTTTTTATGCATTAATTACCGACCCTTGAATGTGGATTATAACCTCTGATTAACTTTCTTATCCACATTTAAAAATGAGGCACCACTGGAAAGTTTTTTGGGTGTGGTATTCCTTGGAAAAATCCGTGAGTAGACATCAAGACTTTTCAAAGCACCACATTAAGGAGCAAATTTATTTTCTGGAGGCCAAGTCCAGCCTTCTTTAATGGCTCGCGAACAGTAAGGCATATTATAAGTTGAAAGCTTCGGATTATATATCCTTCAAAAGGGTGAAGACCGTTTATGAAAATTCCACTCCAACCTTGCAGTCTAGTTTTCGTGTTAATTCTCTATGATACCTCATCCGTAGCCCATGCTAGTTACCTTTGTGCTATTCACCACCAACTGACGCACTTTTCATTATCCAACTGTCTTACATTTGCGTCATGCAATTTAAAGTTTTGTAACTGAAAATAATTACAATTTTGTTGACCTGAAAATGTCACAAATTGTGAGGTTCTTGGAGGCTTACTGATGGACTATGTTAAAAACCTGAGTGAATTAATAGTTACTATAGGCCTTCATAGTATTAATGTTAATTTTAGTAACTGTTGATCCCCTTCACATAAAGCAGAGCAAATTATTCTACTGCAATTTCACAATAAAAAAGCAAAGAGAACCAAAAGAAGCCAAACGTACAGCTTCGGGTTTTGAAGGCACACGCGATATCACATTAAATGTACTGATAGTTGACCTGCTGTTCGGCCGAAGTATTTTCCTGGTCAACCAGTTCGAGCCTAAGGGCACACATAATTTGTTTGGCTCAAGCAAGTAGGAGGAAAAAGTCAGAGTGAGGGCTTTTAGGCACACCTCAATAGTTTGTATTCAATAAAAAAAGTTAAAATTATCAATTTCCATAATTTTATTCCATTTTAGGGTCATCAGCTTTTCTAAAAGTTGAGTAAATCAAATTAATTGCTGACGTCTGTTTATACAAAAAACCACAGCAAAAATTATCATCTGTTAGTTCCGTGAGTAGCACGGTAGGCTGCAGGTTATATTACATGCGTCAGCATTTTCTCAGTTTTGGTAAGAAGTCTGAAAACGCTAGCATAAACATCATGACCTTAATCCGCCTTCCAGTAAAAGTTTAAGTTAGAAACTAAAGCAATGAAATTTCATGTAACTCATAAACGTAAGGTTAATTCTCAATAACCATAATAATTGCAGTAGCATTCCCTCTGGTGCTCTCAATAAAACAAACGCAGACCTACCTAGTATGCAAAGAACCACTCTCAGAGGAACGAAATACAGGACCAACGTGAAGAGTGCCAAGAATAATACGCAGAACCACGTAAGCCAGGGAACATGCCAATCAAAAATTCTGCAAATAAAGATTTACACATAATTAGGCAATTAAAAAACCTTTTTTTAACTTTCCGGAAAAAATGGGTAGATTATAGGGTTGGACCACAAGTATTATTACATAAAAGTCACATATATTCAATAATTCAATAAATTTAACATGCTTAATGAATGAGTAAAAAAATTAACTGTTTTTTAAATAAAGAAATTGTACTGATATTAACATTAATTCTTTTAAAAATGGCTGTGTGGCTTGTATTCTATTTTGCCGCGCCATGTTTTATGTTGTCGTGAATTGCGTTGATTCACACTCGCTAATCCGATCACTCCGGTCTCCGACACAGGGTCGCCCTTTCCGCAGCATGTCGCCAGCCGCTTGAATCCCCAATTCTCCTTTCATTGGCACGAATATTTAACTTGGATTATCCTCGCACCTAGGTCTCGATGTTAGCTTATCTATGACTTACACATCTAAGGTATAAATACACACGCGCAAACCCCACACACGACATGACGAAACCAACGTGGTCGAGCTCTCAAGTAAATGGTTGTGTCCACGTCATATCCTGTCGTTTTCTTCATCGTGGGTATCGGGTAAGCGTAATCGGGCCAGGATTAATTCAGTGGACCCCGGAGTGGTTCAAGACCACATGCTGGGGCTTACAACAATCTCGTCTTAGAAAGAGTGAATTAAATTGGGAAGAATGAGGTAAATCTTACCCGAGGGTCTTCTCAATACTAGACGCGATTAAGTCCATTATGCGCGGCACATCACTCATGACGTCCATGAAAGCATTAAATTTGTTTTTTCCATGCTTCGTCTCCTTTTGCTCCGTCACTGGCTTACAAAAATAAAAAAACATCCAGTAATGGATCTGCATATTCTGGATATCCGAGAAAAGCCAGTATACCGACGAACTCCGCCATACACAGGAAAAAGGAAAAAACGATGCAGAACTTTGCTGAGGCTACTGACTCGTAATTTCAATAGCCGGCATTCAGAAGCAAAATTTTATTTACTGGTATATAAGTTGCTTTACTTTGCAACTGCAAAAAACGGTATTTCGGAAATTCTGTCTGGCAAGAGCATAAATCACCACCGGATTCTTAGGAGATTCAGTGCATTTTAGGTCAGATCTTGATCGTACCGGTTCATGGCTTAGGGTTTTTGATGTGTAGCCAAACTTAGACATGATAGTCCGTTAACAACAGATCATCATATGATAAACCACGACTTTAAAGCAGCGATCACACTGACTGGAAATTAGAGCATTAATGAGAGATTTTGTTCTGGAGTATTTCTCGTTTCATGGCTCAAATTCAGTGTCAAATTCAAGACCTCTGACGATGTTTAGCATCAAAACTCCGGAAAACGAGCCATTTGGCCAAATTAATTAGAAAGTTGTTTAGAAAATCTCGGTTTGTATGATTTTGTAGTATTTACACACTGCATTAGCAAAGGTCAATGCTGAGTCGTGAGTAATTAACTTGTTAGATGTTAGCGCATAGAAAATCTTACCTTTTCATCTTCCTGCAAGTTCATGTGAAACATGCGATTTAGGTGAAATTAAAATAAATTAAGTGGAGTAGGAAACGGAAGGATGCTTGATATGGTATTATGGAGGAGCCATTGGTTAACACGGAGAGTTCTCTCATAGTAATTGACAGTCGAGTTCAATTATAGAATTTCGTGAATAGATAAATCAGTAGAATAAGATTGCCTTCATGCGGTTGCATACTTACATCCACGACACCGAGACAGAGGTTAAAACAATTAGTTTAAAAGGCTTCAACATTTAGAATAGGTAGCATAATTGTCATTGTAGGCACATAACCAAGATATTAAATGCTGTACCCTTACTAAGCGAAATTCAGCCACTTGGATATAGTACAATTTTAACTTTGTGATGAATTCCATCAATTATACAAAAGTGCATTTTTTTGCAGCTTCAGAATCGGGGCATTACTCACTTACTGTACATGTTTATGAATTTGAAAAAAAAAATAGTGAAATGAATGACAATTGTTTGTTCTAGCAGGAACTCTAATTTTTTTAAACATTTAGCGTGGTTATCGCTATTAAGATATTGAATATGCCCTCTGGACAATATACGTAAAAGCCGCTTTTTAGTATGAGGCAAAACCTTACCTCAAGTTCTAGTGAAAACAGTAGATCGTTATTGATATAAACGTTGTCGCCATCGTCGATGGATGATTTAGGGGATGTATCACCGAAGTCCTCTGAATCGTGTTCAAGATTCCCATATTTAAGAAACTTTTCATGGTTAAAATTGGTCCCCAAATTGCTGGCTCCCACACCAGCAAATACCTTGAGAGAACTCATAACATCAAGCAGGTAGGGATTTCTTGAAGCATGTCGATTAATCAAAATGCCCACTATCATTCCTAATGGCAACATGTAAGGCTGGAAATTCCACACAATTAGATTGTAGAGGATAAGTGTTATAAGAGAGTACCAAGGGTTCTGCCAAGAGCAGATAGAGTTGAAGATCTGGGTAACCATTCCCACAGGTTTGAAGAGAACTTTCAGTCGCATATAGTTTTCTTGTACGGTCTAAGAGGAAACACAGACTCAAAATTTAGTAAACTCAATAATTCATTGCTGGACCGTCGACACGGGGGACGTAGCCCAATGCCAACACTTGCTTAATTTGCTGCAAAATCAATTCTTAAGGTGTGTTGATTACTTATCACGTCTTTAGAGGCGTAAATACACGAGAGAGTGAGAGCTAATCAAGAGAGACATCAGCACCTGTGATTCCTCGCACACACACACACACGCTAACCTTAATTGTTCACAGAGGGCTTGACCATTATGTCCCTGAAAATACAACGCCACGATCGGCAGTTGCATGATCGGTCGTGTTCACCTCGTCACAATGTATTTGAACCTCAAACTGAGTTTCGATCATCAGTCTCAGGATCACAGCAAGTCAGCAAAATATACACTATTTACCACAGGTATTCGTTTGTCAACAAAGTTTATTCCACAGCTGGTGAAACGATTTATGTAGCTTTGAGTCAGATATATCAAGTTCGCAGCTTCTGACTAATTTACGGAAATAAGCTAATCCCGCTTAATAAGATACATGAAAGCTCCATCAGCGATGTATTTAACTTAGTTTGGTATGAGTTAGTAAAATAATTTGAAAAGGAAACTCATGGTCTGGTGCTCTGACACATGGGTGCGACGTAAATCCAGTCAATTGGAGCCAAGTTTTCATCTGATAGATGTTTAAATGAGAGTAGCCGATGATCAACCACAAATATCAGCAGTCGACTGCTTCTTGCATCTAAGCCATTACTCGATGCCTGACGTAAATGTTTAAACTAGTGATTTTGTGGAATTCTTCGGCAAGTACTCTCTTTTCGTTTAAACATTTGCAGTACTACAACTGCTATCAGTTTGGGCCCCAGACACAGCAACAGAACTTTAATTTATAGATTGTCTGGTCAATACATCTGTTTTGATTCGCGTTGATTCAAACTCGCTAATCCGACCACTCCGGCCTCCGACACAGGGTCGCCCTTTCCGCAGCATGTCGCCAGCCGCTTGAATCCCCAATTCCCCCTTCATTGGCACGAATGTTTAACTTGGATTATCCTCGCACCTAGGTCTCGATGTTAGCTTATCTATGACTTACACATCTAAGGTATAAATAAACACGCGCGAACCCCACACACGACATGACGAAACCAACGTGGTCGAGCTCTCAAGTAAATGGTTGTGTCCACGTCATATCCTGTCGTTTTCTTCATCGTGGGTATCGGGTAAGCGTAATCGGGCCAGGATTAATTCAGTGGCCCCCGGAGTGGTTCTAGACCACATGCTGGGGACCACAACATATCCTTTCCATTTCTAAGTGTGCTTTGACAAATACTGGTATTAATTCTGCACCTACGAAAACCTGCGTTGGTTGCGTAAGCCCGTGTTCCTACACTTCTTGAATTCAGGGAGAAAAATTCTTGGTAAAAAGTCTTGTTCTAGTTAAATACCCCTGTTGGAGATTCAGGATTCCCCAAGATGGCTCATCATCGATTTCGTCGTTGTCTACACCAATCCCCTAAACCATGCCACGTCAGTGGGTGAGTCACCCACAGGATCCTACTGAGGTCTGCATCTGTGTTAATCCATCAGGTCAATTCCACCCTTGACTTATATAAATGTTGACATTCTGACAGATCACTCGCCCTTTGGCTGAGACGATTAAAACTCTCTGTATTCTGCACTCTCTGCATTAGCGTGGGGAGGTCGGTTCTAGCATCAGACAAGGGATCTGGTACCGTTCATCTGAGTGACTTTGTCTTGGTTAGGGACAAACGTAATAACAACTGAGTAGAAAAGGATGGTATTCGGTCCTTTGATCATCAAATAAGTGAAGGTATCTTTTAAAAATTAGAGTAGGACGTTTGAAGATATTCCAGTATAATGAAAGGAGACTCAGTAAAAACACCAAGGACCTCTTAAAAGCAACACAAAGACTGACAGCCATGACTTACGTTCCTGTATTCCACGCTCAGCTTCTGAAAAAGGGAAAATCACTTGAAGGAGTTCCCTGCAGCAATGAAATAGGCAGTTGCTTATTACTAAAACGTACTCGGTACTTTTGCGGTATGACGGGATGATTGAGACAGCGTTCTACGGGATTCAGTGTACGCCAGGCTGCTTTTAGCTGTGACACAAATGGATGTTAAAAAAATCTTGAGGGAATGGACAAACATGACCTGAGTACAGCTTACTTGATTATAGACGAAAAAGAATTCTAGCAGTATGGAGCCTTTTGATCGCTCTCTGAGGCAAGCATTCTTCAGCGCGTACCAAGACCGTTCGTGATTTCTTATCTACAAATTAATTAGCTGACATGGTTTAATTAGTGATAGTCATAATAATTACACATGTGTGCCTTTGACTTTTGAACTATGTAAGACCGATATGAAAGTAAAATTTTGTAGTAAAAAGACAATATCTTCAGTTTATGGACAATTTTGAGTGAGTTGCTATACGGATTCACACGTGGGCGTAGAATTGCGTAAACGAGCCAAAAATGCACACTTAAAGGATGTAGGATAGACGCAGATTTGGCAGCGACATAAGTTCCTGTGGTGAGTTCACTTCGAGTTACTATGACAGCTTGTTATTGGTTGGTCTCGACGACCCACATTCAAATTTAAAAATAAGTTTTTTGACAAATCTGAAGAGAGTGGATAGATAGACTGCTATCAGCCTTCGCTTGTCTCCTCACTGCTCTAGGTTCCTGAGGACGTCTATGTAGCATGAACACTTTTTGATCTTCATTCATACAGAAAGTCTGGGCTCGATTCTGGCTTTTAATGAATGGTAGATCAGTGTCTTCTCAAAATGCTGCCGACTGGAAGCAAGCATTTTAATTATTATTGGTTCTACTACTAACCAGAGAACTAACCTTTAAAAGCGGAATTGCGACGCGTCCAAGAAAATCTGACTTTGTCTTGTCTTCGTCATTGACTGTGACATAGAGTATAGCATGGATGTCTGTGACTGGGCTATCATGAAAGAAAAATAAAATGCATCAGAGCGAACTGATGACAACTAATTATGCTGGTTCGGAGGAACGAAAAATGCCAAGGAAGACTTACAATACGAAAGTTTTTTGCCATGATGGGTTGATTGTTTTCTTAATTGTGTGCGTCTGTGCGCGCATGTTTATGAGTTCAACCAAACAGTAGGGATTCGGTTTACCGTTTACATCTTTAGCCGTCAAACCAGTGGCCGCAATAACTAGTGAAGGAGAAAAATGTCCGTCACCATTTAAATTTTTGTAAAATAGCCTATGCATATTGCCTCAATGTTGGCACTTTATTCAGCAAAGAATATGCTTTTGAATGGGAAGTGCAAAGATGAAGCAGTATATTACAAAGTGTAAACACCTAGGTTTTTTCGTTGGAATTGTTTAGAAATTGATACACAGTAGGTCAAACAGTTCCGTGAAATAAAGCTTCATTAGATTTGACAATGGAAATCATACTTGGTATATTGCCTTAATATGTCTTAAGCAATAATCATAGAAATTGATATTCACGAAATTAAAATCTAGAATGACTGACCCACTACAGAAGCAGAAATACTGCAGAAGGCGTTTAGCTGTTCTTTTCCATTTAAAAAAGTTGCTTAATAGGATTATCGGCTAAAATAAGGTCAAGTCAGTGTATTGTGTAGTTTGACATGTGAGGCTCTGGTAGGTGCTCAAAGTTTTATTGCTCGATGTTTTTTAAAAGCGTCATGCCCTTAATTCTAATGCCTTTGGTCTTAATTGGTCCTAATGACCAACACGAATGAAGATGCACAGTCGGCCACAGGAATGCCCCTGGCAGAACGCAATATTCGGTGTTTGCGGTTAAAATGCTTATTAACATACGAATACTGAAGGACGTACCCTTAACTCGAAGGTATCCGACGTCGAAACGGTTTTTAAGTGCCATTTTCCAACCCTTAAGACAGAGATTATTTTCGAATAAATTTCGTGAAAAAGATAGCATTCACATTTTTTAAGGATTTCTAAGGATTCAACTATGAGTGTGAAACCAATGCTAAGGCTAACTCTTAATCAATAGCAGTAGGTGATGTAATCGTATTTGAGCCAAGTGTATGGGTTAATTTGAAGCCTAGGCAGCGAGGATGGTCGAGAGTTGGGGAAAGAGCCCCAAGATTAAGTGGAACCGTCAAAACTGAAGCATTCTGACTTTTTACTTTGTCACGTTCTATGAATATAAAAGTACTATGTCCTGAAACTTAGGTAGTACGTTTATGACAGCGCAGTATAGTGCTGAAAACAGTCACCTTTAGGTAACTAGTTGACCAAATATCTAAAACGTTCAGGTCGTGTGCTTAGCCCCATCATACTTTTTCGCTTATAACTATAAAGAGTAAGGGGAAAACAAAAACTCCGTCATTGGATAAGGTCGTTGTTAGATGTAACGGTTTGCAAGTAAACACTTAAGAAGTGTAGCTGATGGAAAGTTGTCAGACAAATGTTAAAGCAGGTTGCCTCATCTTAATCTATGCAACGGTTCACGAACGTAGGTAGGAACTCCATTGCTAGTTACTCAGCTCAAAATAATCGAACATGCACAAACTCAACGTAAAAGGTTCCCTTTATTTCAAATTGCGCGCGTAGACAATGCCAAGCGCGTCAGTATTAATTTTAGCAATGCATTTAGCGATTTAGTGCCTATAAAATTGAATTTTCCAGATAAAATGAACAGGTAAAGAACAGTTTCCATTCCTTTGTTTTATTCCCCACTTGACGAAACTCAAGTACATCTATAAATGCGAAATTTTTTCTATAGATGTGCGATCGTTCGAAGGAGTTCACTTATTGACCGTCTAAGTGCAACTTAAGTGGACAGTATCCCTAAATTCGCATGCAAGTGAATTTGGATTGTAGCCTGTTATTAACAGCAACGAAGTGAAAGTTACAATTTCCCATTTTTAGAAGCTTGGCTTAAGTGTGACCAATAAAGGCTCCAACACATTCTACTGTTCGGCAGCACATAGTGCAACAATGCCGTTTTTTAATCACACCTCCTTTACATTTTCCAACCACAACTCTTGAGTGCCTTGATTTGTGTGGTGGCGCTCAATGGTATACCTTTGGAAAGCCAATTCTAGTTTGATTGAGTTGAATCATGACGATTAAAGATTGAAGCAAATATTCAGCTGAACGATTTGCCGTATATCAACGAAAATACAGCTTATAAATTTTCTTAATTGGACTTTCTGCAAAATATTTATGTTCAAGACTTGCATTTAGAGGAGCGGAAAATAACTTTACCTTTCCTTTTAATTCTTATTCAAATTAGTCACCCAGATTTCTCAACTGATAGTTGTGCTCTGGTTAAATTCATACTTTAGAATTGTTAGCTTACATAGTGCTCGACAATCTGGGCGTCCGGTTCACTAAGCGACACTTTTTGTGAAGGTGACAGGGCTTCATCTGTTTCTGGAGTGATAGAAAGTTCACTAGAACAGGTGTTGATACTCCCCTTAGATATGTTACATTGTAGTGACTTGCAGCAGTCGCGAACCGACTCCGTGTCACTTCTAGGTCCACTGGTTTCCCCCGAAATGACAACTGTTGGCAAAACGAGAGAACCCGACGGTGGTTCATTTCTAGCCAACCCTGTAAGGGTTGCTAGAAGGAGAAGTCGCGGTTTGGGTCGATAACCGTTTAGTTCGACTTCGATTCGTTGTGTGAAGTCCATTGGAAGGCGCGAAATGTCGATCAGGGCTCTAAAATGAAGAGCAGAGAAGCAGTTACTACATCCATACTATTAAATATAGTAATTTTAGTGTCCAAAATGGAGGTATTTCGTACGTACAAAAGTTCTGGCTTAATGTTGTGAAAGTTTTCACTCAGCATCAACGTTATAAGAATTCATTAAAACCAGTTGGCTAAAAACAAACTATACATTCATCAAAGTCGACAAAGGTACTCGTAGGCAAATCTTTACAAAAAAATGAGCATTAATGCACAATAGCACAAAACGTACTCTCCCAGCTTTTCAATGCAGGAAGCCGGCCCACTGATGTTTGGATTGGCCACATTCATCAACTGAATCTCAACCAGAGTTTTCGATGACCTGGTTAGATTAAAAGTGAAGGTTTGGTTCCATACTGGCTCGTATGTACACTTTCTAACCTAGGAGATGCATTAAAAGGTGGGTGTTAGTGTAAGGACGATTTAGCAATCAAAAGACGTCAGCTACTCTGCAAATATTGTCATCACACGTGTATTTGAAGACTAGCTTCAGATTCGTGAGATGCCTGGGGTACGAAAGCATAGTCCTTCTGACTTGAGAAGCACACTTTAGTACTGCATACAAATTCGTACGCCTACTAAATGATACCGAATTTCTACGTTGCACAAAAGATTTGACTCCAAAAGCGTGAACCGCGACAGTGTAACTAGAGCAATCTGTAATCATTTAAGGTAGTACAAAGCTAAGACAAAAAGGGCAATTTGTGCAGTTTTTCATTCCAATCACGTTTGATTAGAACTTTTGTTTTTATGACAGATTCACGTTGCCTTAACAGCAGCAACCATAAAAAGTTTATGGCGTGATGTTTCACCAACTTTTTTTCACTTGACTCTCAGCCAGCTTTTATAACAACGAAATCGAAGTGAAAACTTTGTGTTAAAATTGACAATGGTGAGTTCAACTTCAAATGACAAATTTATAAGCAGGGGACAATACGACGGAAGTATTTCTCCTATATACGGTCAGTGTTCAGGAGATAGGCATTAAAATGGCATTAGAAACCCTCGTGCGTATGTGTGGAATGATTACTAGGTAAGTTCATTCAGGCCTATATTATAAACAAAATCCAGGAAAACAATAATTGACCTTTTGTGTACCTTTGTTGTGTATTTATCCTTCCCCAGTTGTAAATGTACAAACGTTGAAAGCTTCTGAGCGTTCTTAGCCATCGTTTGATGGTATGACATCAGTTTAGCTACCATCACACCCCGATGCACAGAATCAACTGCACCTTCATTTGCTTTACATTTGTTCAGAAATTTTGACAGTAGTATCGACTGAAGACCACAGACGCTGAGTACGTTTAGGTGTAGAACGGCGGAGTCGAATTGGGCGACCTGGAGTCCTGCGACTGGATTGAATTCGAGAGCGGATACCCCACGAAGGAAGTGGGGAGGCCAGGAGAGTCGGGGGCAGACTATTTCAGTGGCTTTTGTCATCGGATTAGTGATTATAGCAACCTCGCCCGGCTGGTATTCAAGAGGGGACCAGCGCCTGGCGTACACATGGGAAGGTCGGGTTACAACGTGCAGATGCAGGAGACCCAAATAACGAACCTCGAATATCTGTACACCAGAGGAAAGTGGCCCTCGTTGAATCAACCTGGTGTCAGTTATGCCAACAACGGAGGGGAGTTTCGGTCTTGCAATTGATCGTGTCTAAAAGTCACAAACACATGTCTTAAACGGGCGAAATCGCACTTATCAAGAAATCTATCATTATTCTGCCTCATCAGTCCATAATATGGGATTTTCAATTGGAAGCCTAAATGCAACTTTTACTAGGCCTTTGTTACATGATTAAAATGTTGTCTCAAGTTTAATCTGAAATTCTATCACTTCAAAAAATTTCAAACTTGTGCCATTATGCATTGCACGAAAGGGCTCTGGTCCAAACTGACGAAAACCAGTACACCGTCTTGTTTTTTCGATTAAGCAATTTTCTAAGTGGTTTGATTCATTAGGGTAAACCAGCATAGGTTAGACAAATAACAATCAACCATATTTCATAACAACCTTTCTTAATGGCCTTCCTGTTAATGTTGAGAGTAATCACATGGCTACCATGGATTGAATCGAGCATGTCCAGGCATGTTTTACTGTCTTTTATCTGGCAAGTAAGGGTTAGAGAAGTGCTAAATTATCTGAGAAAGCAGAAGTGTAATCGAGCCCCTAAACAGATATTTACTAAGCAAACCAGACTAGAATTAGTAAGTCGGACTGCTTGAAAGGTAGCATGCATAATTTAACATCACCCTTTTTCTAGCTGAAACAGAAAGCTTGTCAATCAGATTTTAGTGGGTATGACAACTATTTGAATGTATTTTTTCTAAACTTGCATGGTCGAAATCACCCTCGTGGTTAGAAGTGAAACAAATAGTGAGAGCCGCTATTAAAGAAATGTAGATAATTTGTTGTGATCTTTTTAGTCGAAAATGTTTCTTGTGGTGTCATCGAAAGCTAGATACTTACGACGCAAATGAAAAGGCTGCTAGTTTAGAAAAGACTCACACTTTTGTAGGGAGACCTTATTCATAAAATCCATTGAGGTGACAGTATGCGACCACGGCCTTCCGTGTCCACTAGCACTTTTTTTCAATTTCTGAGTCAAATAGCCATTAATCAACCTACCTTAAGCACACGGTGACTCTCCTCGAAGGAAGAATTCTTCCTCTGAACTGGAGAAGACCTTTCATCAACCCTCACGCACACATGGATCCACAGCATTCCAACAAGTATGTTATCAGCTTTGATCCCAATGATATCCAGGTGCTTTGTATAGGTTCTAAAGGTAGTAATAAGCCTTTATGTCAAGTTCAAAAGTTCGCCAAAAACAAGAAAAATGCGTATTTGGTTTAGGCACAAGATAAGGTGCAATAATACTACACGTGAGCAAACCAGCAAATGAGATACGAGTAACATGCCCTTTGCTACAATATTATCATCCATTTTGAAAATGGACTACAGCATTTTCTCGCCTTAACTTCCACCCTAAACACAAGTGGCGTAATCGACCCATAACGGACAGCCTCACAATTCCCCGATGCTTGCTAGTGCAGTGTTTTGCCGGCATTTAAGAAGAAGTACTACAAAAATAGTAACTTCTAGTGATAATGAATTCGTATTTACGACAAATGAAAAGCTAGCTGGATTTCGTTCAAGGTATCAAAGTAAATCATAGTAAAAGGCAGCCTTTTTCGCATGAACTTGGGAATTTTTTAAGGTTGCATGGACGGTGAGTTAGATGGTATTACAGAACAAACCCAATTCACACATTTGAATATTAATGCAGCCAAATACAGGCTTACGAAACGAGACAATTAGCACATTTAACATCAACGGCAACTTAAAAATCAATCTGATACAGGATATTACTATGGCAGTTATGTTAGCTTATGTAATGCTTCAACCCGCGAAACCAAAACGCCCTCTGTTTGCCTCTCCAATGATAATCAAAAAAGGGAAACTTACATATCAGTCAAGCATTCATTTAATGGAAGTCGAGCGACACCCAAGGTTGACAATCGGGTTGATTTCCGACTGCATAATTGCAGCTAAAGTGGAAAATAAACGGTGAGGGCCAGGAAAACATAGAGAGCTTTGCAGTTGTGGAAGTTGCAAGCTACACACAACACCTCAACTATCTCCTTCGAGGTTGACTTTAATCAAGTATGGCAAAGATCAAAATTCAGTTAGTGTCGATTTAATCGCTCATAAAACCTGCAGTAAATGTCACTCTTTTGTACTCGTCAAGCTGACGAGATACCTTAAAGGCCCCCGAGGACGAAGCAGCCAAAGTGCAGAAAAGTTTGATAAATTAAAATTATGAATAATTGAACATCCTGGGAGAGGAACATCTAAATGGCGAGTACAAATCCTAATTCTTCAAGGGGAATCAATCCCCAAATTTAATAGAAAGCCATCTGGAAAATTCCAGGTGATAACGCTTTTGTGATCTTTGTGGCATTTTTTGACTGAAATCAGAAAGTGCATAAGAATTCTCAGGTGGAAATGCAGGGGCTTTGATGCTGCTCGAGTCGTTCACACGTTCATCTCCAACCACTAAGCAACAATGGAATATTTACAATGAAGATATTTGATAACGTCCCGGCTTCGCAAAAAGAGCATGGGACAGCTAAATTATTCACAAAATTTGTGGAGAAGGGGGTGGTGAAACCCGAATGAACACAATTGCTGAGGTGAGGTAACAGTACAGTTGATCATTGAAATTTTTTAAAGCGATTAATGTTGCCAACTACTTTAACCAATGGTACCTTATTCCGACTGGGTGCAGCATGGATCGAGATTCATACCTAAACAAAGCTCGTTCTAACGCAAAGAGTTGCGTAACGTTTATGGTTTAAGACAAATCGAAAGGGCCACCTGTGATTAAATTCTATACAAAATATCCGCCTAAATAATCTGCTACAACAAAGATGCTCAATATGAAAATTCACTAAGATGGGTTACACTAAAAGTTTGATCTTGTAATCCTTGATATATGGGAAACAACTACGAGGCGGTTTCAGATCTAGCCCTATTTAGCATTTAAGAAACCCTTGACACGTTACAATGTGACTAATAGATAATTGAGGAAGTAATTTAAATGTGTAGACACAAGATAGCTAGATAACTTATTTATGCGAACACAAATAACAGTGCAAGTTAATGATTTTTGCACGGCAAACTGTTGTCGCTGTTTAAATCCATAATGCATTTCAACATTTCGATGTTACATATAAAACAAGTCTTCATTGTGGAACCTAAATTCAAATTTTTCGTAAGGAAAAGGCGTTGCGGCATCAATTTACTGTATAACATTAGTATTTATTCAAGAACGTATAAAGACAATAGGGTCCAAGCAGAAGTTAGTCATCGAACGGCTTCATTTACCAAGTTAGCAAATTCTACATGGAATAGGCAAAACGTTGGTATGTAGACTTAAATCATTGTAATGTAGCATTTACTATATGCACAGAGTTATGTTTCGGCAACCAAAAATAAATCTCCAACGTAAAAGCCTTTTTGGTCGCCGATAATTTAAGAAAGAAGTGGAACTGTTGCGTACACTTTGGATTCCTATAAGTTTTGTGTCATGGATGGCTATTAGGTGTAAAAAGAACGCATTTTAGGTTGTGCGATAGCGTAATTAGGATCGCTCCAAATTGGGCATTAGAGAACCAATTGTGTAGACATCAAGTGATCAATCACGTTGTGCAAAATTTCAACGTTGCTTGAAGTTACTGCCGTTTTATCAGCTATGACGCAACCCAAGTACTTCTTTCTCGTCCTTTTGATTTAGTGGTGCTGCACTGAGTGACTCAAATGCTCCGAAGTGTAAATTGTTTAGATATACTGCCGAGGCCAGGATTTCATGCATAATGAATTTGCAAATATCTACAGCATGATAATACACGCAATAGTCACAGTACATTGTTTCCATCATCTGTACGAAATAAAATGCTCTCGAAGTACTATTCTTCGTAAAAATATAAGTCCTTCTTGAAATTTTTAAAGGCAGAAACAGTAGGAATAACAGTTTATTGCGCACACGAAGCATTTTGGGAATGCTGCATTTGTACAAGTAAAAACGCCTTGAAATAAAATGTACAGTACAGCAGTTGTTATGAAGTAAGCGCCAAAATCGACTAAATCCAGGTACAAAGTCCCGCTGAACTCGTTTCTTAATCCCGAGAGAGACAGAGTACAGCTGTGTATAGTCCGTTCGCTTGCCATTATACAGCCTTAATAACCCCCTCACTTGATTAAAATTTCTGTTTTTTATAATTATTTAACTTGACCAAATAGACGACAACTAAAGAGCGTAGAGACTCAATTTTTCGTCAGTAGACAATTCAGTCACAATCAAAATTATCGGCCATTGAGATAAATGGCAGCTTACGGGGCAAGGATTAACTACCGAGTAAAAGCATCTGCACACAGTAATATAATTGTTGTTGGAAATGTGAACTTGTGTCTACTATAAAATTCTACTTTTACATTGTAAATGGGTCATGACGAAGAATTTGCGCGGAAGCACAAGTCCTATCTAATCAGTTACCGTAATTATGTGGAGAACCTAATCCGGAAAATTGGGTTCAAACGCAATTACCTTGGCGCTTTTCTATGCATTAAAATAATATTTACCTTGTAGAACATCAAGCAACTTGGTATTAACATGTCTGGGCAAAACGTTTTAGTGTAATTTATTTATTTCCATCGTACTTTTAATGTGGCATTGAGCAACTGTTGGCATTGATAGAAACAGGCCAGAACTGTCGCATTCGCCTGTTTTTCATCATAAAGTTATCTTTTCTTGAGAAGATAGGGTTTGTGTTTTTTTGGTTATGGTGCTTTAACATTTTATCGTTTCCACGTGGATTTTAATAGGAATTAATGCTAGATTAGTCAGTTTGTAAAAAAGTTTTATTCCAAAAAAAAACTAAACGTGTTAAAATATGAGCGTCCCTAAAGTGTTGAAGATAAAACTTGAATAAAACGTACCAAAATGGGTGTCTGGAGTTCGGCAAGTGTGAGTGTAAATGTTTGTTCCCAGACCTGCTGGGAGTAGGTTGGTTTGACTGCGGTTTTTCCAAGTGTAATACCATTTTGTGTTATTTTTATGCACGTGTTGATACCGTCTACAATAATTACGGAAGCAAATGAAGCAATAATCATTAAGTATCATATTTGCACATCATATTTGCACATCAACTAATTTCAGCAAAGGATGTCCGAACTATCGTAATTTTCATAAATTAAAAGGAGCATGCTATATCAGAGTCTAATTCTGAGTAATACGTACTTTGTTATGCATAAATTTTATGCCCCGGGTCGGACCTTATACATAGTAAAGCAGTTTAGTCAGCTACATTCAATACGATGTGCAGTCTCAGATTGCCCATGTGAACAATTTATATTGTTGAACAATGTCAGAGGTCTTAACAGTGGGACGACATGCGAAATGCCACAAAATTGAGGACCCTAGACTGAAGTCCAAAACCAAATGACGGTAAAATTACTGCAGAATTTCACAGCCCTTTACGTTTGAATGGAACTCGAGAAAATGAATTTTGATGTGAGAACTTATAGATTGAAACACCCTTCTAGGACTGCATCTCCTTTTTACTACCAAGTTCAAAACCTGCCGTTATATGACTCTCACGGTATGAAATGGAATTTACTAGGTAAAGTCTTCGGTTTCTGTATTAACGCATTGGGGTCAAGTTACGAGTTCACGGCTTGGATGCTTATAAATTATTTACGCAATGGTCAAGTAAATTAAGTACAAATAGAGCTCTATATGAAATGCACGGAAGCCTTTTTATTTTAAAATGACCGTGAATGTCAAAGCTCATCCATGGAGGGTCTCTGTTAGTGAGCAGTATGAGATTCTAAAGTATGTAAAGAGCAGGACAGTGCTCGCGTTCTTCAAGCGTGTAAGTGACTGCTCAATACTACTGCAAGCCTACTGGTAACTTGGGAATTCGTTCGTCTCCCTAAGTTGCGAAATCTCAAAGCTGAAACCCCGTGCATTTCAACCCAGCCAAGAAGATTTCGACAAAATAATCTGCAGAACTCACAGCCATGGTAAAATATTTATTCGGCAAACAGTCTTTATAAAGCGAATCCTACCAAATGTCGCAACTTACCATGAACTATTGATGGGTTAAGGTCATACGCGGTGTAAACTCTCAGTTCCACCACCCAGGGCAATTCAAAAGGATGTTGTTGGCACTGAGTAGAAGAAATGGCAAGAAGTAACTTACTCGTGGTGCGGTTTACAACAGTTAACTAATTGCACCTTTAGGGTACCAATGTTGTCTTTATCTTGGAAGCCACACCAACCTCAAATGACAAAAATTGCTACATAGGTACAAAGTTGTCATGTTATTCAAAGTCCGACCACTTAAATAGGTAAAGTAACACAGATGCGTTTCCGCACGTTTTTAGAACGCGGTATTAAATTTGTGAGACTCAAAGTTTTTTAACCGAGCATTTATTTTTAATATGATTGTGGGGAGTGACTTTGACAACATCCGAGTCTCCTTAGGCTCCCTGACACCTATCCCCCAAATACCAAGAATCTCCATATCTACAACTTAAAAGCGAACTCAAATATGTAGCCAATCACATCTTTTGTAAGCTTTGGGTTTAATTTGTGCATATTTGTCTACCGCCTCGTTATTTTACCCCAACGTACATTTTTACTCCAGACTTTGATGTTCGGCTTAAAAAGATACATTAAAAGCATGTTGCTGTCATTTTTGGCACCATTAAAGCTTCTGGAGACCTATCTTCTTTACATTACCTCATTTCAATTTTCTATTCTATAATCTAGACGGGCCATTTGACCCGCAATAATAAATACATGCCATCTATTTGATGGAGTTGAAAAGGAGTGCAGAAATGTTAACTATTGGAGAAAGGATGTGCAAACCAGATGAACTTGGGTTATGAAGTCGCCTGTTGTGTAGATTTATAGAAGTGTAACAAGACCACTGACTCACATCTGTTCATATTTGCAAAACACGCCTTCGGACACATTACTACAAACATTCGCGCGAAGGTGGCGCAAAAGACCTAACGGATACTGCAACATTTTAACAAAATTTTAATAAAAATTTAGGGTTCTTCGAAAAGGCAGAAGAAAATTAATCCACAAATATTACAAATGAAGAACGCTTATTAATGAAAAGGCATGTAGGCCCTTATGATTATGCTCGATTTTAGCACTCAAACTCCTGATTTTGATGTTCTCAAACTGCTAGTGGTGAATCAAAGATATCTTTCTGTCAGTAGCAACCAATAATGTTGCAGAAAGTGACGACAAGACTAAAATACAATCAAAAAACCCAAGAGAGGATTACGTGACCATAACTTTAAGAAGCGCAAGACGTTCGAGACAAAAGATGACCAGGGTTTTGTTTGATGTTAAGGTACCGAATCTCAGGAAGATCTTCAGAAAGAGTAAATTTTGGAATGTCATGCTAACCAACAAAAAGGCGATCTCTACGTTCGGTGAGTGCCTTATCGAGTAGTCACATGTGCAGCATTGAAGCGCCAGTTTTTAAATTCGGAAAATGTGATTTGGCATCATTTTTGTAACACACCCTTAACACAAGAACACCATTTTTCCTTCTATATAGTAATTTACATTTGGGGGAGGATTGCGCTCTTTGCTAGTGTCTTAGAAAAACGTTGAAAGTGAAGAATGGTGCTATTCTACTAATATAACACCTCTGTTTGGACTTGACGATTAACATTGAAGCACTCACAAAGCTTTAGCACCAAATTATTAGTGGATGGGGTTCGAATCGAACCTGACTTACACAACCTTCCAAGAAGACGCTCACTTATTTTAACAAATCACAACAATCTTCAAACTGTAAATTTCAGAAATTTTGATCCCTGAGAAGTGCCAAAAGCAAGAAAGACTAAAATTTGAGATGCTGGAACTTTGCGACCATTGGACTACCGTCAATGTTCTCATATTAACAAGTTTTGGATGTCTGTTTCAACGTAGTTCTTAAATAGCACAATGATCCTACTACCCTGACTTTTCAACGAAGATTGCTATAGCTTAATGACAAGCAAGCCAAATCTCAATAAAAGCTGTTGTGTGTTTAAGAATGCGAAATTTAAAAATGTAACACACCATACAGTTAAAGTAAGCAAAAATGCTACCCCGAAATTCTAATCAAGTAGAATGTAGGTAGCTCGCTTACTTCCTAAGAGTACAGCGGTCCGTCGGATCAGCAGGACAACTCAGTTTTTGTTACATTTCGGTACCCACATGCCCTACACTTTCGTTAATAAGATGAACTTAAGGCTAGGTGGTAACGGATGACTTTAGATTGGTAGTAGAATAATATTCGACTTAACACGACTCGCATCGAATACCACGATGCTTAATTCAACCAATTGCACCAACGCGTCCTGTGAAGACTCCAACTGTGAGCAAATTCAGATCGCCAACATCTAATTACCAGGTTTAAAAAAATTCAAGACCGTTGGTGGCAGTCAAGAAACACTAAATTGGTGTAAAAAGTCAAGGGTGAAATAGCAGTTTCGTATCCACATCAAGGTCCATTTAACTGACCTGACCTGGATGCGCCGATAATTTTAGCAAATGTTATCATCTGATTGGAAAGTTTTTTACGGGTTCAGAAGTGGAAGAAGGTAATTTGTGAGCTTATATTTATTTCATAACTTATTAAATTGAACTCATCTGTGAAATCTTTAAAATCTACAATAAAGCTATGATTTAGCTCTAGTTAATGCAGGCTATTTAAAGCAGTGATCATTCTAGACCATCGAAGTAATAGAAATACTTACAAGGTTAGAGGCACTGTGGCTGCGTCTTTTTATATTCAACAGGTTTCTGCGTCGATGTTTTTGAGGCAGGCTCCATTCTGTGTCGAAAGAACTCAATGACTTTCTGTGGAAAGAATTGCTGTCATCAGGCACAGTGAGAGAATTTGATCTACGTAGAGCTCCACCCACGTATCCTGAGACAGATTCATTATTAATCCCGACGAGTTCGTCTATTTTTGACCTCGTCCGTGCATCAGACAAAGGTGAGTGAGAAAGAATTAGATGGAGGCCCAAATCATCACGTTCAGCTTTATAGGGGCGTTGGTCTCTGCTGGCAGATGCAGTTCTACTGACCAGATACTTGCGTTCTCGTTTGTCACGGGGGGCCAGATGCCCAAATACGCTCCTATTACTGCTCATTTTTAAAGCTGAATAAACCTCGAAAGCAAACTAAACAAAACCAATGAGCATGTCTATGCGTGTTTTATATGGCACTCACGCGTCGTTAATTGGCTGTCCCTCCTGAATAGTGATTGGATACACTTAACTGACGGTGTCTTGGTTGCGCTCTGCTGGAACTTCACTCACTTTCTCAAATAAAGCTTCCATTTCGCAACCCTGTTTGTTTTATTTCATAACACAGACACCACGCCTGCTTTTTGACCCCTAAAATTAGCCTAAATTGGATGATGACAGCTTCCGACTCCTGGAAACAAATAAAATGTCCCAAGAGAGGGTTCAGGATGACATAAAACAATGTAAGTCTAACAGTCGAAAAGCTAGATTGGTCATGCAGTCACATCGACCACACCTTCAACCAGTTCTTCCACATGGAAGGCACATGGATGACGCGGTGATTTTTGAAGAGCTCAAATACAGCTCATCATTTTCAGAACAATAAGGGCGGATTTATCGGCAGTTGCGTGGGTACTACTGCATGCATAACAGGTTTAACTGGGGGCGTTGGCCTGAATGGTCAAGTATAGGCATAAGATTTGTCACTCACATAAAAAAGCGTGACTTCTGATGCCCGAAGGACTCAAAGAGCTACCAGAAATTAATGTTACCAAAAATTGATTAATTTACTTCTGGAGATCAACACAAGCCTGCTAGCGTGAGTCAGTAAAGAGCTATCTTTAAGAGCTTGTCTAAACCGGTCCCCTTTTTCCATTGGTTTCTACGCACAGCCAATTCCCTTTGTGTACAACTCCCATTCACACAAACTGGTTTGTACGCAAATCGAACAGATATCTGCGGTCGTCCTTGCTCTCGAGCACCATGGTCGATATATTGGGGTGAAAAAAACGTCAGATTTGTAATTGGTACGGCACACATTACACTTAGCGAATGAGACTGCGTACATGAGAGAATGGTTTTTAAGGTACTGTAAAAGGGAGCTATCCCCAGGCTTAAATTTACAGAAACCTCATACTAAGCCAACACACAAATGCTTGGCCTTAGCTCCCCCCGTTAAAGGTGTTTTGGGGAATCCCTATAGGCTGCGTAACGCTGGAAAGGACAGTAGGGAACCTGGTGGTAGTTCGCAAGGCTGACACCGGCAACACGAGGGTGCATCAAGGCCTAGAACCCCGCGTGTGATAAGCATGATCCTCATGTTTACTGAGTTTGCCCCTAAGCCGTGGCCACTGTAGATTTTTCGGGGTAACAGAAATGGTTACTGAGGTAACGAAGAGCTAGACAGACACTTTGAACTATCCAGTAGACGAATCGGTAAAGCGGCTCAGATAGATTAAAAATACATACACCTACAACTACGTCGGATCACTGCCGTCTTAACGTCACATCACGCACCTCAAGTTTCGATAAATTGTAGCTGTAAAACATAGACCAATAAGCACTATCACAAAATTTTTGGACCATTTCGGTAGATAAACCAATTCGAATTGGAGAAAAATAAACTCATCTGTCCATCTTTCAAAATCCACGACGTCGATGAAGCCCATAGTGGTGCCCCACTCGCTTTTCTGAGGGTGACGTACTTCAAGGTCACTGCTGCGGTTACTTCATTATCCACGCACAAGTTACCACCAAATAGCAATAACGAAGTCAATTATACCCTAATGGGTAACACTACCAGAACTAGTTATCTGATTTAACGCCAATACACCAAATGATAACTAGGTGTGATTTGATTGAGGCCTACAACAAATGCAGCTAACTTTTTCCTTTATATTTTGTGTTATGATGCTATTAAGATCTTATTTGAAAATAAAACACTTTGAATTGAGGAGGGTAATCCTCAAATATATCAAATAAGTACACAATACTGAACGGTTTTCAAAAGCACGAACCTTTGTACAGAAATTCTGGAATAGAAAGCGGAAGATTAAAAATACAAATCAGCCAGTTTGAGCAAGCGATTCCTCTGGCCTCGATTCACTGAAGCACTGACCGATGCTAACACCGATCACATAAATGCAAAATCGGACTGGATCAGCTCCTGCGTAGCGATCCGCTGCAAAGTTGGCCAGTCAACATCGAGATGGGCACGCCAAAATCGATGCGCGCGAGACCAGGAAACTGCTGGATATTTTGGGGAACCGATTCCGTGAAAAATATTCGCCAGCACGCGGCCCGTCAGTTGTCCACTCAAACTATGACCATGCAACTGAAGGAAATCGGACACTGTACGGCGAACAGACCCTTCCTGGAAGAAGAGTAAAAACTATGACGTGAGGAAGTCCGACACATTCGTTAGCGAATGCACCTTTATCTCTTACGAGATTTTTCAGGGGATTGAATCAGACCGAATTTACAGTTTTCCGGTGCCGATTATGGGAACTATGAGTTAGTTTTGAGAGATTCCTGAAACTGATTTGTTCCGACTTGGCGACATTTGTGGTAATAAGGTGTTATTACGTGGTGCCGGCAAGTTAAAACCAGGTGCACAGTAGAGTAGATAGTCTGTTATTGATAACTACGTAATGCTCAAGTCAGACTGCCATGAGAACGAATAGAATTTGCACATGCCAGCAATGTTAATTTCTGGCACGTGGAGGGACTCATATGGCTAGGAGTTCACTGTCGCAATCTGAACAAATGCCACTGATGAATAGGGGCTGCGGAGTTAAATCAGCAGCAGCCCCGAGAATTCATGACTGGTTTGACTAGCAAAAGATGACATGGACTAAAATGAAGGTGCTGAGAGGCACCTTAGAAAACCTTTACCCTTGCACGCCCACACAAAGATTTCGCAAGTAAAACAACCAGATGAGTTGAAAGGTAATTATATGTCACGGCGGAGGGAGCTATTAATAACATCAAAGAAAAGCGCAAATTAGATTTTCAAAAACGAATGAACCGATATAAAGACTGAGCTTTTGGAAAAGAAAAAAAAATATATAAATACACTCGATACCTTTGAAGCTCCCCATTCTGGACTGAAATGACTATTTTCCAGTTGCTTTACTTAGGTGCTTGGTCGTTTAGTTTACGAATGACTTTTAAGTAAACATCGCAAGTTTTGAGTGATCGGCATCGGGTGACTGCAACCCCAAACAGGTAAGCTTGAATGGGAAAGTAAACCACCATATTTACCGGATTTTAGAGATAAAGCCTATAAAAAATGAAGACGCTTAGAAATGGCGCAAAATCGTTTAGTGGCCAAAGTCAAATTCACCATGAGAGGAAATCAATTCAGGGCCTGTTTTGACTTTTGTGATTGGTAGAACTGGTGTGACCACCGCAAAACTGGACATCATTCAAGCTGCTGAGTTGGAAGCAGAAATTGAAACGTGATGATGACTATTGGCAAATTATTTGAATAAAGTAAAGCAGTCTCCCATGATTTCGTAAGCGAAGTGTTCGCCAACTTAAAGGTTCACAAGCATTTTTTTACTTCAATCTACGAAAATTTAGATATATGATACGCCAACACTTTGATATTACGAATGATTAGTGTTTTACGTGCCTTGAAGCAACACCGGATATACATTTTCACGACTCATGATACAAAGCTATAAGAAGTGAAAATTTGAACACTGGTTCTTTACAGACGAGGATTTCGATAGACTATAGATGACCAAAGCCCCAAAGTTATCGATAAGTACAACATAAGTAAATAATTACGAGGAACAGTTTGATTGGATTTAAAATTTAGAGGTTTTCAAATCTTAGTATGGCAGAAACCAACATTAAAGTATGCCACAGACCGCTCTTAAGGCTACATGGATTGTTAAAATAGCGGGCATTTAATAGCGAGGTACCTTTGAGGCGATCATGAGCAGGATTTCTGACATGCAAAAAAACCAAAGTCAACTACGACTGTAACGTCAAATGAAGCTAAATATTTGTTCACATCCATCATAAATTCTAAAAATACGAATTTACCTTTTCCGCAGACACGGAAGGTGGCCAGGTACATGGAGCTTCATCAGTAGTTTCGTTAAAATGGGCCTTCGCTCGTTCGTGCAATGCCTTAGACCTAACATGCACGAGACTATCGTCAAACTTTATGTCGTCCACGGATTTCACGGCCACTATCGCGATGGCCGATTGAAGCTGCGATAAACTTCGCAGACCCGCACGTTGAACATCCTGTAGGCGACGTTGTAGATAAGCCAACTCCTCATCCAGCCGGTGCAGCAGGCGATCGCCATGTACCCAGAGCCAAGAAGCGCGACGTGAGCCATTGATAGAGACATTCACTCCTGTGCGTTGGGGAACGGACCCGTCAACCGAGTCCCACTCGAGAGCACGTAGCTCCCGGCACACGGCGTCCGGCCGCCAACCCCAGGTGTTGCACAGAGCCACTAAATCAAGGCTTACTGTGCGTAGAGCCGCCAGTGAACAAGATGTGGTTGCGGCGGAAGACTTAATGTGACCAAGCCAAGCTGAAACAGCGAGACTACGGTTTGAAACGCGAGCTAATTCACGAGGACCACCATAGCAGTCAACTGTGATTTTCTGTAACCAGAAGGAAAACAAGTCGGTAGAAATAATGCCCGCATTCACCACTAAGATGTGAGAGCGATGAAAAGACGCGTCAGCCCATTGACGCACTAATGAGAGTAAATTTACTTAAATTATAAACGCGGATGTAAAACACAGTGGACAGTGCATTGTGGAGACGAGCTGAAAATCATAATGGATAAATGTCGTCATTTGTACAAATTAGGTTAAAATGTAGTCAACCAACGAAACTATGAGACGTCTCTTTTAATGTTAGCTTTGAGTCACCATACAGCGATCTGTTGTGTAATTATGCCAACGCATTAGGACATAAAATGCGACCAGCCCTTTAAAATTATTCATGTGATTTGGTATACTTAAGTAATCAATCGATGCTGTGAATTCCCCAAAATATTTACGTCAAGCGTAGAAATTAAGCGACCTAAAACAGGAAAATTGTTAAACATTCAAGAATTTGTAATAAATCTTATTGATTCACGTCTTTTAATCCGGTTGTCGCAACTTCAGGCTAGACACCCTTCCCTTTTCACGGCGGCCCTACCGTTCATGCGGAACCGTCTGCCAATACCACCACCGGACCTCCTTCTATTCATCTAGTCATTCTGTTGATTTGCATTTATCTACTCTGTTGTCACATACCATCCCTGTGCATATACCTCCAACCCTCTACCAGTTTCAATCATCTGGACACACACACACAGACGACAACAACAATACTAGGTTGAGACGTCTAAGAAACGGTTGTGGCTCCACCATCTCCTGTCTTCTTAGTCCCCCCGGGTATCTGTGTAGCCTAGTCGGGCAAATACAGGGAGGAGGTCCCGGTATGTGCTTCAAGACCACATGCCGGAGCCCTCAACGAACTGAAAAGCTCTGCTGTGAAAAAAGGTTGAATTTCTTTAAAGATCAATTCTATGCGTATAGACAAATAAAATAGATAAAAATGCAGCATTTAGCTGGTGAGTTATGATAAAGCATGGGGCTAAAGAGTGGGCTATAGGTATAGAGCAAATGTGAAATTTCAGCTTCCCATGTCACCGTTTCTGAAATCGGTCCCGTGATCGAAACGTTGACATTCCTAGTTCTTAGATTAGTATGTACCATTGAAACTACCCAGAAATGCCCAGCCAGAAGATGGAAGTTTGAATGCATCTTACCGCAGGCCCAGGAGGAAGAAGTGTGACCAAAGGTGGCATATCCGACCGGAGGTGCATATAAGTGAGCAAAGTGGCCAGACTCTCTGGTTTCACATCCAACTGATCAGCGACCTGGTCTGGATCGAGGGCAACAACGTAACCACGATGATTTTGGCTTTCACTAGTGCCTAATACGAGGCCCAGTAGACGTTTTAGCTGGACAATGTCGATGTGATTGGCGAATATATGGCGTCTTAATTCGTTAGCCTCGCGTGCTTCCTCCGGCGTAATTGTGGGAGCGTCACAAAGCACGTTCCCAGAGGAAAAATCGGGAGGTAAAAAGGTGTGACAGAAGGACTGTTGACCACTGCGTCCAACACGGCCGATTTCCTGTCATGAAACATAAACACGGGACTAAAACTAGCTTAGCTCTTTGTGTAACATCGATGAGTAAATTTCAGGAATTACCATTTTTGATGAGTTAGAAACCCTATGGAGGTTCCTACTTGGGTATTTTACTGATGCATTTTGGAGAATAATGACTTGACGCTATTTTTGAAATTTATGCACGAAAATTGGTTTCAATGACGTATTTTAGTAACACACATACTTGCCTCCATAGCATGTTATTTCTATGTTTAATGAACCAGACAAGACATTAAGGAACCATATTGATAAAACTGAGCGATAGTTTTAATACCACAGATCCGCATGAACTGGACGTCGAAACATAACGGCAATAACAGGCGCCGAAACGCCTGACGATACCAAAAAATCGCCATAGTAAGCCCTTAACCAATCATTAAATTCCCTAAAAAGCTTTAAAAACAATGGCCAATCAATTATTCCAACTTGTTTACTTGACGATACTCAACAAGAAAAGGAGCACAAACTCCCAGTTTTACAATGCTTCTAATCGAAATAGATGATCCACATTTGCTCACTTCTTTCATGAATTACTCGCCAACCAGAAATGACATTGAAGGACCCAAAACGCATTCTGCTGCTACAACGGACTATCAAAGATGACGTTTAAGAGATTTTTGATCCAGATTTTTGAGGCATTTGCTCTTAGAGCAGTAAGTGATGGCTGCTGGTCCACAAAGCTGCCACATGTCCTTCAAAATGGGTGGTAACTGCAAATAACAACGTAGTTGACTAGTCCTAATGCAGGTTAATAGGGCAGTGAACACAGGACCTAGAGGTCTCACTTGGATTACTTACAAGAAGCCAAATGAAAAGGTAGAAAGTCTCGTCTGAATAAATACAATCATTAATAATTGTCAAGACTAATTGATATCAGATAATTACAAAGATATAAACCATAACCAATTTTCAGTGGTAAACACCTTTCAAAATGAGCAATGGACACAAAAAATAAACGATCTTAATCGAGGTGCATTTGGTGAGACTTTGTAACACACCTGGATGTAATTCTCAAAAGACTTGGGCAATGAGAAGTGGATGACTGCCTGAAGATCCTGTTTATTCAAACCCATGCCAAAAGCCGAGGTAGCCACAAGGACACGAATCCTACCGGCCATGAAGCGCTTTTGCACTCGCGCTCGTTCCTTCGACGAAAGACCCGCATGGTATACTGCCGTGTTCCAGCCTATGATTCGTTTGCCAATCTGTCAAGGAACACCCCTGATAATATCACAGTTACTCAAATGTGTTATAAGCAGGAGGAATAAACGAATTTCTCATACCTTCTGCTTCACTTCCTGTAGACGTGTTCGGATGTATCCTGCAAGACGTTCAGTGAGGTCTCGGCTAGCAGTGTAGACTAGGATTGAGAGTTGTTCAGAAAATGGAGGTCTCTGAAGAAGCCTAATCAATGCCTCCTCTCTATTGGTATCCATGGACGCGGTGATAAGTAGATTGCTGGGTAACGGACTAGAAATAGGTTGGAGGTAACCACCATCAGGATCAAGGCTTGTTAAGGGATTCCCGGGGCCACATGTTGTTTCTAATTTGACCACTTCATTTATGCCCATATTTTGACAAATATTCGAAATGGTTGAAGGTGTGCAAGTGGCAGAGAGTCCTAGGAGAGATTAAATTTGAAAGTGAAGAAAAGGAATACCGAGAAACTGATTTACACCAAGGCGATTCCGAATCAGGTTGCATATTTGAAGGTAGGATGGACGGAAATGGTGCGACCAATCAGCCAGACAATGGGCTTCGTCAATACAGACAAAACTTATGGGTGGGAGACAATTTCGACGCAGAATCCAATCAGATTCAGCCAAAGCTTCGGGTGACATCAAAATGTATGCATACTGGCCTCTATAAGTGCATTTTGAAAACAATGAGTTTTTACTTCCTAACTGCATCCAAAATCGCTTCCTTTTCGTCTCTTGTCTGACTTGAGCTGAGAAAGACGCCCCGAATGGGTGAGGTAAGGGAGGACACCTGGTCTTCCATGAGCGAAATTAGGGGAGAAATGACTAGCGCTGTAGATGGAGGGTTAAATTTCTAAACCATAAAAGAGATTCAATCAATTGGTTTACCTGAATGATGGCTGCTGGCAGCTGATAGCAGAGTGACTTTCCACCGGCAGTTGGCAAGACAAGAAGGGTCGATTTTCCAGCGAGAGTCCTCCAAACAACTCTTTCCTGGCCCGGACGAAAACCACGAATTCCCATCTGATGCAGCAAGTTGGCCATAAAGTCTTTCACTTCAGTAAAGTCAAAGGTCGCTGAAGTGTTTCCGGGAGAAGTTTGGGGATAAGCTATCTCATCGCCAATGTTCAAAAGCTCGCATAACTGTGGCCCGGAGGGAAATTGGCGGCGCAGGTCGACCAAATCGGCGATACGCAATTCAATCAAACCTAGGTTTTGTTCAGATTCGAAGACCTCTGGATCGGTTTGCTGTGGGGAACGCTCTGCAACAGTTTTAGGACATTTACTAGCCCAATGACCTTCTTGGTTGCACCGGAAACATTTACCCTTTCTACCGTATTTAAAGCCGAATTTTCTGGCCAATTTAGACCTTCGAATTTGAAATCTAGTGTGTGCTTGTCGCTGGGACCCACAACGACTGAAACGCTTTTTACGAAGGTTCAGTTTTACATAGTTGCCTTTTGGACCTGAGAGACGTGCTTTGGAGGTAATGGAATGAGCATTGGAGGCAACTGGAAGAACCGAATACGAGATTCGGTTTGACAAATCAGCATTGGAGGCAACTGGAAGAACCGAAGACGAGATTCGGTTTGACAAATCAGCGTTGGAGGCAACTGGAAGAACCGAAGACGAGATTCGGTTTGCCAAATCACTGTCAATCAATTCTTTAGAAGTTTCTGCGGATGGTGGACACGAAAATATCTGTTCTTGAAAAGACTCTACGAACTGCATAGTATTATTAAAGTCATAGTACCTTGTCTTGGAATTTGAAACAGTTTCTTCGGCTTATCACGAGGAACCTCCATGAACGAGCCCTTTTTATGAACAAATTGCACATTTTTACTAGATCCAAGAGACGAATGGTTGCTTTTATGAGGAATCAAAGGCATCGTAATATCTAAAAAAGGTTACATTGCAGAATAAGCCTCACCTGAGGAGATTGAACTCCCCGTTGGTGTCATGGGTTCTATGACATGGGCTTTTATTAGAGACGGACGAAGATTATCGTTGCTTAATTTAACAGTAGGAATTTCATTTTCCTTAAATTCACAACCTGAGGTGTCAGGTAGCAATCCATGTTGGTTATAATTATGGGAATCAGAATAACCATTTTTGGTTTGCAACCCCGTTGGTTTAATGTTTGACGCAGAAGAATTTAATGGGTAGCATTTGGACGCGTCGACATCGGAAAAATCCAACTTGCAAGAAGGATCCAAGGCCTTGGGTCGCCCTGCATAAGTGGACAACACGTTCGCCTTAAAACGCGAAAACAAGGTGGATTGTGATTTGGGTGACTTGAATTTCTTTTCACATTTCGTCAATGATGGTATTTCGTCCCACGGATTGCAGTGAGCCATTTTCCTGAAAGTTCAGTCTATCTAAATGAAACGTATGGAAAGAGCAATGGCATCACGTAAACCAAATCAACAGAATATAACAAATTATCTCAAGGCTAGGACATTTGAAACAGTTGTGCATTTTCAGAAAAGCATTTGAAAATTGAATAATTTAAACCTAAAAAATCGAAAGGTGGACCAGGTATCAATTTTCAAAAAAATAACGACAATCAGGATAGAAGGCGTCGTCCGAGTACCCCATAATTGGAATTGGTCTCCGGAATCCTTTCAAGAGGACCATCTCAGAAATCGTCAAAAGCTTTTACATGAAACATTGGACGTGGCTACCTACCTTAATTGATTGAACCAATATCCAAAAGAGGTAGGACAACGTTAATGGACACAAGATCATTTAACAGATAAACAAGTATAAATTAAACGACTAATTTGGCAGTAAATGCAAAAAAGCACTTCCCGCTTACATAAAACGATGTTTGCGGTGTGGCAACGTACTGCTTCGACATAGTTCTAAATAGTTTAGATAAATGAGGGGAGAGCCGGCTAAATTATAAATATGTATTTGATGCAAAATTCAAGTTCTTATAGGTTGCGTTTGTCAAAAACAACAACAAATTTAAGCAAAAACAAAAACAAGTAACTTGAATGGCTACTTTTAAAACATGAAATGAATACTGCACTTTACCACAGCAGGCTTTGCCAACTAAGAACACAGGTAAACTTCTTTACACGTTCTTACCATGAAAGGAAACACTACACTACCGACCGATTAAACGCAATAAGCTTGCAGCCTTATTTATTCAATTGTGCGAAAAGTTCAAATAAACTTTAAAAAATTGTTCACTCGCAAAACTAAATTACGTTACGTAAATATGTTTTGAGTATGTTGTAAAACTATGTATTCAAATAGTGTTCGCTGGTCATCGAAACAATATTTTCTTCTGTTTCGTACCTGTTCCTGCATTAAAGTGAAAAGTGAGCATATCGAATTTCTGGAAATCGAATTTTTAGTGATTGATTTTCGTCTGCTAGAGTATTAATTAATTTTCGCATCGTGATTATATAAATTGCAATGCACAAGTAAAATGGGCTAATGGCTTGTTTTCATAGCAAATTTTGTTGCCTAAAAATCGACAATGCATAAATATGTCCTGAGGCTCACAAAAGGGAGTTCATTTAAGTTTATTTAGACAAGCTCATTATTTGAGTGTTGGTACCAACATTTTTCGACAATATTTTTTCTCTTTTTATAAGTAGGCAACGTTTTTGGAAATATTAATAAAAGAATACACTTAGAAATCCTTCGACTCTAGCACACGGATACGTTTATTCGTCGCCACTACTCAGTGCCCACAATGATTAGCGGTCAGTCCATCTTTAGTCCTCAAACCAAATGGTACAGCTGGAATTCCTATGGAAGCGACGCTGACTTAACGTTAATTCACAGTGCAACTCAATGTCTGAGCAGTTTCTGGATACAGCGGTCCTGAATTGCATTAGATTAGGCAATGAATTTAAATTTCTGGTCCTCTGCGTTTAATAAATATTAGGCATCATTTCAGTAATTTTACAGTGTCTGGCTGCCAATACGTTTTAAACAACGACAAAATATGACATAGGTTTAGCCCCTTGGCAATTAATCCGCCTTCTGATGCGCTATAATTCAAAACTGTTTATTATTGTGACAGGTGACCCCAGATATGTTATCCATTATGTTTTAAAACATCCGCCATGTTAGTTGGAGTTTAGTCGCGGATTTCAGTAAATTGACAGTAATATTATTTCGGAGGAAGGCACTTACTTTGATTTTTTTGTGCACTATTTCCGCAAACCAATCAGTGCCGTTCATTTTTCACTTGATTCTATTTTTAGCCCTTCACCAGTTCACTGCAAACCTTAGGTAAGCGTTCATACTAATGAACTTCCTGTTCGCTAGCCAAATTAATCCGTTGATGATATCGATATAGCAGATAGAGGAGAGACACGTAAAGGGGTAGTTCAAAATTTCTACTTCTGAGCAGACACTTGGTTAGTATCATTGGACACAACAACTATATGCAAATGGGGGAAATTTCAGTGAACAGAATGACAGGACTCGCGAATATTTAACCAAATCCACGTGCTAATTATGAGGCAGGTGTGCTGAGTGTGTGCTGAGTGGTGTACGTGACAGAGCAGCTGTTCGAAAGAGCTGTGAAGGTGAGGCTGCGCAGGTGATTTCAATAGTGTGGTAAACTAGATTTCCTGCGTCCGTTATCAGGTTTTCTGTATTTGAAAAGCGGATCACTTCGTGTCCAAGTTTGAGGCTGCTGTAGTGCACAGTAAGGGGAAAGGAGAACTGGTCGCAGACGGAAGGATGTGGTAGGTGTTGTTGGGGGATGCTTGGACGACCACGAAGGAGCATGTAAATAGGCTGGTGTGTTTCGTGAAGTTGCTACGGTTGGGGTAGAGTTGTCGGACCCGCAATGAATCCATTTTTTGGTGGGGAGCTTTATGGGCCATGCGGTCATAAAAACATTTTTTATGTTCTTGACTACAGTTTCAGTGTTGCCGAGCGGGGTTGCTAGTCCCGCCGTGCACATATACGACGTGGTTGACATAATCACCAGGGTCGGTCGGTGGGGGGAACTGGAGTTTGAAAGGGAGTTCTTAGTTTACGTCCAAACATCAGGAGTTCAGGAGAAAACCCTGTAGACTGGTTGGCTGTGCATCTGTAGGCAAGCAAGTAATGTAAGATAAATTAGTCCCAGATCTCATTATTGGCTGTGTAAATATAGGCGCGCATAGGACAGATATGTTACGTTTGCCCGTAACTAAGAATAAAATATTCAAATAACGGTACCAGATCCCTTGTTGACGCTAGAACCAACCTTCCTACGCAAATATATGAACAAGACTAGAGCTCGTGTAGAGGACTTTAATCACGTCAGCCACGTGCAGAGTGAGCTGCCTAAAGTGAAACTAATTCACGTCAAGATTGACTTTGACCTGATAAAAAGCGCAATAAAACACATGTTAGTGAATTAGTGCTAGAAATCAACGACGAGCAATCTTGGGGTATCGTGGATCCCCAACATGATACGTGTAATTTCTTTTTTCTTTCCCTTTAGACATTTCTGTTGTGTGGGATATCACAAAACTCATATTCCCAGAAAGTTCCTTCGCTAATCGAAACTTTAAACTAGACCCTTCGTTGGAGTGTTTGGAGTTTGGAACTCCACAGCGAGAGACCCAATAGGACACGATAGTCTCAGCAGTAGTGCAGTTTGACGTCAAAGTCAGCTAGAACCTCTTGACATCGAGCTAGGTGGCCCTTCGGTTTTTGAAACTCCATAGCCCTATCCAGGATCTGGCTCGCATGGGCTATAAAACATGTTCTGTGCCATTGGGACAGGACTGTCTGCGGCATGACTGCCAGCGTCGGTGTAGAGGATAAATCGTGGAGAATTAGGTTCCGGGTTAGGGAACATCAAACTAGAGACAGCGACAAGTTCTTGCTTAAGTTTCGTAAAGGCCTCTCCACACTCCATTGACCAATCGAAGGTTCTACTGTTTTCAGTAAGCCGCTGTGGGGGAAGGGCTACCTGGCTTCACCCGGGGATGAAGGAAAGATAGTGGCCAGTTAAGTCTAAGAACAAACACACTTTGTTTTCTGAAGAGGGTTAAGGCCATTCCTTAACCAGTTTAATTTTTCGGGTGTGCAGAGAGTCCGGAGTTTGACTCTACGAAGCCAAGGAACTTGATCGATTGCTGTAAAAGCAACAGTTTTTCACGTTAATAGTCAAGTTGGCTTAGCAGTACCTTTGGAGGGTTTTTGGCTTGGCTGTCCAGCATTTCCTTTCTAATGGAGCCAAGCACTATGACGTCTTCTAGGTAGACCAGACATTTTTGTTAAAAAGGGCCCTGAAGGACTTTCTGCACAAATAGATATACAGGTAGCTGCTGATTTGGCTGGGCCCATAGGGGGGGGGGTACATAACTCATGGAGGCCAGACGGTTGTGTAAAAGCTGTCTTTACCCTGTCCATTATATTAACCCCGGTTTGACAGCAGCTGCTGGAAAGATTGAGCCCGGAGAAGTATCTTTGTCTATAAAGAGCTTTTAGAAGGTCATCCATGCAAGGTAAAAAAAGGAGCTGCGAGTTTCCACAGAATTGAGCTCTCGGCAATCTGTGCAGAGCCGATGGGAGCCGTCTTTGTTCTTGACAGGGGTAACCGTTTCGCCCATGGGGAGAATGATGGAGTAAAGATACCTTGATGGAGATAATTATCTATAGGTTAGTCCAGGTCCACGTGATAGGGTTCTAGGATTTGTCATGGATGTATTCTTTGTGGAGGAGCAGAGAAAGTCTGTTTGTTGTAGAAGGCATGTACAGTGGCAAAGGGCTGTCGTATTTAGACCACTATTTAGATGACTATATAATTGGAGAAACGATTACCAGAAGAATTTCAGGGCATGTGAGGTAGAAGCTTTGTAAAAGTTGTGCTTGGTATACACGTGAAATCATGATATCAGATTTTGCATGAATACTGTCAGTTACGTAAAAGAGGACCCAAATTTTCGTAGTTTCAATTTCTTATTTAAAGACCAAAAATTCATCGTCCTAGTTGAGTTTAAAATTCAAAGATTTATATAATTTGATCGCTTGCTTTGGTGATATTGGTAACTGTATAAGCCCAGTTCAGATCCACTGCTTAGAATTTAAATCAAATATAGATAAGGTAAATAGCCCTTACAAAATTTGCAACACCTACATTGCCCTAATGTAAGCAGTTTAGCAGATATGAGTCAAAAAGTTCTTAAAAAAAAGAAAAAGCTTAAAATTTCAGTTCGTCTTATTTAAAATTCGATTAAAGTGGAATTTTGTGAGTATTCACCTAATCCTTAACATTGGGATCGATAAACAATGATTATCAAAGTTTTTATAATAAGTTGTAGAAATTAAACTTAGTAAAGAACTAAATTACATAGATACTTATTTGGAAAATACAGATTTTTTAAACAGAGATTTCAAATACTGGTTCAATATGTGAAATTAAATTTGATATTTTGGAAGTTTCAAAGCGATATGAAATGGCACATGATCTTTTTTTAAATTTGTTGAAAAAGCAACGAAAACATTAACATCAGGGATCAAGATCGGCAACGTTTTCCGCGGTTTGGGGAACTATTTGAGTTTTTCTGCATTCCTAATAGCCAATTGGAAGTTTGCACATCATGCTTTATCATACAATAACAAGTGCCGGAAGCTCATTGGTAAATCATTTCTCTAAGTGTGGAAATCGATGCCGGTAGTGAGGTCTTTTTTCGGTAGGTCTATTTCTGCATATAAACCAGTGCACAACACGGGGTATGTGCATCGAAAATGTACTTCTGTGCGTTATTAATGTGGATATGGTTAAGCTTTTATCTTATTTTTTCAATGATTTTAACTAGCAAATGACAAGTTTATTTTAGCCGTACTCATTGTCTTAAAACTTTCATGCGCCTTTCACGTATGACTAGCTTAGTAATAAGTCCAAATTATAGTAACTATGGTTTGTATCTCCAATTCTGCATGCATTAATCAAAGATGTATGGTTCTGGGTCACTTCACAAGCTGCTAGGTTTGTTAGTTTTGGTATGCCAATATCCCAGTACGACTTAGTATCTTAGAGAGTAAGTTGATCTGCTTGTTTCCGCGCCAGTTTTAGCCTCGATTCTGTGTGATTTGGTTACGTTGTTTTGAAAGCGTTTGATTTTATTTGTTTTTCGGGTTTCGGCTACTTCATCGCTTCAAGTACCTCTCTCAATAACAACTCAAGTTTTTATTCATGATCGATATGCTTCCAGATAGTTAACTAATCGTGGCCTGGTGCATGGTATAAGTCGCCTATTACCGACGTTTCAATTTTTTGATCGTTTACATATCCCTTATTTTAACTTTTCCTGCCACGATTGGTATTACGCCTAGTGCATCAGTCGCTACTTTAAAAAAATTCGCTAATTAAGGTTTTTTTGAATTTGTAGGTTTTTTACTTATTGTTATCCACACAAGTTTTGCTCTTTATGGTAGTGAAGATTTTGTGACACAGTTAAACACTGACAATTTTGAAAGTTTTACTTCTCAACCTGGCGTAAAAGTGGTCAAATTCTATGCAAGTTGGTGTGGACACTGTGAAAACTTCGCTCCAAAGTTTAAAAAAGCGGCCAAACTCCTTCAAGTAAGCAACTTGTGGTATTATTTTATAGCTTCTGACCTCTGGAACGATCGCTTACACACTCTTGCAAACTTTTATTAGTAATAATGCTCTAACATTGACAATTTTAATGACAAAGTGGTGGTTTTCTTTGTTATTTAAGTTACTTTCGTCGGTCGAATGTCATGCGTAGTCATAGTCATATACCAACTGTTGTAGTCTTAGGTACATGTAATCATTATTTTACGTATTTAGGGTGTTGTACAGTTTGGTGTGGTGGACAACGAAGTACACCAGGATATTGGAAATCGATTCAATATTGAAGCCTACCCAACTATCCTTATTTTCCGTGACAATGGTAGTGCTAGTTCAGTCAAATACACGGGAGTCCGGACTACCGATGGGCTTATAAAATTCCTAATGGAACAAGTCTACGAGCTCGTTGATGTCCGTTGTAAACAACAGGTAAATAGTGGATTTTCTTATTTGCTATTTTGGATCACATACGTTAACAATAAACAGTCAGTAAAATTATTTCCTATAAGTTCGACCTTACGATGTAAGTTTAATAGCAAATGTTGTGAATCACTACATACGGTCCAATGTAACAATGACAGTTTTATTTAATTAGGGATTTACAAGAAACCATCCCTTTCTGCAAGTTACGTTGGCTTATTAAATATTTCAGGGTGTGAAACTTGATTTGTTGGCTAAGCAGGCTACCGCTGGAGCCACCAGTGGATCTTGTGGTTCTACTGGCCAATCAAATAAGAGTTATAAGGAAGACAGTCAGTCGCAGGGTTCGGAAGCTGTTATAACATTGACTGAGAAGAATTTTGATTCGCTCGTCCTGCAAAGCAATGATGATTGGCTTGTTGCTTTCATTGCGCCTTGGTGCGGACATTGTAAGTGAATTGTCGTGCATGTGTCGATTTCGTGTTGCACACAAAACGCTCATGTATTATAATGTAAATCAGGTAATGGAGGCTATAGAACGTGTAAAATTTAATTTCTACACCGACGTCCTGGAATTCCATGCCTTCTGTCACAATCGGTTCTTCAAAATAATCCATCTAGTGTTTTTATGCAATTTAGGTAAAAACCTTGCTCCGGAGTGGAAGAGGGCTGCCGAACAGCTTAAAGGCAAGGTAAAGGTCGGCACCGTAGACGCAACTGTTCACACTCAACTCGCCGGGCGATATGATGTAGGTTTTGAATCGCATTCGTGCTTCCTGGGTACCAAACTAATATTTTAATTTGTGTGATTTCTTTCTCGCACAGGATTGGCTCTAACTATCTTATTTTATTTTAGATTAGAGGTTTCCCCACAATAAAGTACTTCAAATCAGGTCTAGTTGATGAGTATCAAGGAGGTCGTTCAGCCGAACAAATCGTGGCCTTCGGTTTGGAAAAAGCAGAACGAAACCGGCCACCTCCAGAGGTCTACGAAATCGTATCCAATGAGGTGCTTCGAGATGGTTGTGACGACAAGCAACTCTGCATTATTGCTTTTCTACCTCAACTACTTGATTGCCAATCAAAGTGTCGCACAACCTATCTAGACATACTGAGGGAAGCTGCCAAAACAAACAAAGCAAAAGACTGGGGGTAAATATTTTTTGTCCGTGGGTATGACACGGTGTTCCCGTGGTTTTCATTTAGGACTTGCCAACAAAATTATCCAAACCATTGGTTTTTTTCAAGAACTCTTCGTTTTTAGATGGCTGTGGTCGGCTGCTCGCACTCATCAGGGCCTGGAAGAGGTTCTTCAAGTTGGCGGATTCGGCTACCCTGTAATTCATAAGTTTCTGATTTAAGCATTACTTGACTTCTCGTAATAATCTGGTGCTTGTTGTCGGTGTACAAAACCTTTTTATCTGTGTCCGGACGCCTATATCCGTCTTTATGTGGATGAAGAAGGAAAGTATGGTGGTTTTCTCGGGGAACCTTCCAACTTCCCAATATCAACAGTATAGCCAAACGAACTTGCTGGATGGGAAATAACTTTGATAGACGTAGCTACAATTTAAACACTGCCTTTTGCGTAAATTCCAAGTCATTTCACTTTAGAAATATGTGTTAACCATTTCAGACAATGGTTGCGATTAATATGAGGAAGCATAAATTTGCCGTAATGCACGGCCCTTTCGCGTCCGAGGGTATCCGGGACTTCTTACGCGACCTCAGTCTAGGCATGAGCTCTGTGCCTCTCGGTACTATGTCATCGCTGCCTGAAATCCAATCCAGTACACCATGGGATGGAAAAGATGCATTAGTAAGTACTTAATGATCCGTTATTGTCATTATTGGTGTATGCGTCGGGAATCGACCGCTGTTTCTCTGACTCTGCGGCTGAACTTTGGTTCTGTTCGGCCTTCTTGGTGCACTTGAGTCGCCCTCTGACAGTCCTGACGGTTTTACTGCTTTCGATTTTTTTACTGGAACGTTCGTAAACTTTATGTTCTAATTTTTTTTAACCATCAACCCCGAAAATGTGTGCCTATATTGGTTCTAATCAAAAAACTGCACGTCATGACCAGGTTCGTCTACTTGTAAAATCTCTCGTAAGATTTAAACGTGTTTGGTGTAACTCAAAATGCAAACTAAACAGCAAAGCATTCCGAACTTTGTTAGACCAGTCTTCATTGTTTATGCTGTGTTGTGTAATTTTCTTTGGTTACGGGAAGCCTCAACATCACAAAACGTAAATTACAGTGTTTTTTGTGATTTGGAAATCGATCAGCGATATCCCCTGATGCTTTTGTGTTGATTTTCCAGGTAACGCATGTGGAGGAAATCGATCTCAGCGAACTGGGTATCAAAACTGAGCTGTGAGCTGGAGTGTGACGTCATCGTATCCTAACGCGTCAGTATGTACATGTTCAGTTTTTTCCCCACTGTGCTTGCAAATGATCACTTTGTACCAACGGCCCTTCGCTTCTCCTGGTTAAATAAATTTCGCACCATAAATATTAACGGTCTTTTGGCTTGGCACCAAGTTGTGGTGGTTATGATTACCTGACTAACCTGTCACTACGGTGTAGATTGCGTTTCGAATCGAGCACCCCCACCGAACTACTAATGCTACTTTGGAATCGCAGCATCATCCAGCCCTGGAGACTTGCCACGCTAAAATCACTTGGTACTGACAGCCATATCCTCTAACGCCTAATGTGGCCTTTGGACTGGATGGTTGTACCTTTGACTGGGTTACTACTGTGGGTTCGCTGGGAGTTAGCAGAACACCTTGTCCCATTCCTACCACTTCGAATTTTTCAAGTAGCAAAACCCAAAACATGCTTCCAAGCCAACACCGTGATTTATGTGATAGCTAGTACTCTGTATCTAGTTAATAATATGTACAACCTAGAAAAAGCTTCAACATAGATGTAGACTTAAATGAACGCCAAGCGAACTACTTGCTAGTGGTTACTTAATTAATTTTGAGCTCCGGTGCTGTTGCGTATGTGCATCTTACGTGTGTTTTCCATTTGGGATTTAAATCCACTGTCCAAACCTTTTCTAAATGCTAATGTTTACAGTCAATTTCAACCTCGCAGTTCTCGGACTTAGCTGGTCAAAGATTTTAAGCGATCATCGTTTTACTCACCTGTGAACGCTGATTATTTTAAAATTCACAAAACGAATAATACGAAATAGAGTACATACGCCTGTATGTCGAATGTTATCACTTAGTTACTGGACACGAGTAAGGGTTTCAGGAGAAATGAATAAGTTAACTAAAGCAACACCTAAAATATGGTAAAAGGAAACAAATTAACCATAAGAATCTGAAAATAAGACAGTCCCAGCTAACAAAGGCGTAGATTTTCAACGTTCAAACTACTCATATGCACTTCTTCAAACCATTGCTGCATTGTTGTCCATTAGGTCAAAACTAAGGATGTGATGTAGCCTGGTCAATTCGTGACTCACGCCTAACACGGCAAATAAAGATGGCCCAAAGCTGCCTCTAGTGTGCACCACTGACAAAGGTAATTTAATTGAGTGAATTCGCATTGAGCAAAGACCACTTAAAAACCTTATCCCTCAGAGTTCGCATAACTTGAGAATTATGAGCCTCTTAAAAGTATTTCAGGAGTCGGCCTGGAGTTATTACGCGAAGCAAGTCCCAACCTGTATGGATGATGCAGCCACCGGCAACAGGACCATCGGTTGGTAAATTCTCCATTAAAAAATGCGCAACTGCAAATCACAATAAAATTACACGATTAGAGTTTTATACAGATCGGGAACAGGTATCGGAGCGAATGAGCTGGTTATATATTTTTCGGGGGTCGGCTCCGGACGCGTGGAACGGGGGCTGGGGCTTTAGGCGACTCCATTTTAGTATTGAGAAGTCCATTAAGGTCATATTCAACACCGTCGGTTCGTTCGTTAGTTGCTGCTGCATGGTTTTGAACAACTGGAAACATAGTTACAGGGTCACTGCACGGTAGCTGGTCATTGTATCTGAAGGTCTAGGATCAGCGAAGGTGTGTTAATCTGGGGTTTCGAAGCTAACAAGTGGCAACGTATGTGGTACCAATGTTAAAATCAGGGGGAATTAGGAATGTTAAATGTGGCATACATTTAGTTTGGTCAAAAAACAATCTTCAGGGTTTAACTCACACAGGAAAATTAACAATTAAGCAATCAATTTCGTTTGGTTAAAATCAGTTTTGCTGAACCAACGGAAATGCATTATTTAGTAAAGTCTCGAGCGAAATCCTTAAAGTGGCTTGCAGAGAAATCATCTGAAATCAGCAGTTTACGGGTGATTGCACTACTGAACATGGATTGTTAGTCAATCAATGTACCGCGATCAAACGAATTTGCTGGGTACGACTTACGATGTCATGTGCGACGGTTCATATGGTTTGATAAAAGTAAACTCTAGAGCTCCGTACACTATTTCTCCGATTAAAAATTCTTATTTGGACACACCTTGGTGGATAGGAGTTGTGTCTGGCGCGCTGGTGGGTGAGTGGGTGAGAAGATTGGTCGACATTTCCGGGATCCATCGGAGACGGCCACCTCAGTGGAGGTACAAGTCGCGTCGATGATATGTAACAAAGACTCTATCTGCAACTCCGAGAACCTGATATGACTTCAAAATGCATAGAGTAAACAATACTGTTGTATTATTGGGGCAAACGTCAAGTGAATGTGCATGGCAATCGGCATTATCACCATTGAAGCGCTAAGAACACAGACGTGGGCTTGTGGGGAAGGTATCACACAAAACAACAACAAATGAGAAAATTAACACGACTTGGTGTAAGAAATAATTATACATTCAAACTATAAAAAATGATCTATATGAAAATGAGCTCTCGTTAGTTCCTCTATTTCCCACAAAAGGCCCATTTGCTATCGAAATTTGCCATTACTTTTGCCTATTATGATAGAGGCAATTCCATGGCTATATTTTTGGTCTTAAATCAGTATGTATAGATGAAGATGGAAAGTTCAGTTTCATGCTTTTGCAACATGGAGCAAGCTGGCCAATCCCTATAGAAACGTATAAGGGAGCAGACCTCAACCAATCATCTGTCCCTTTGTGTGCGAATGGCATGCGAGGACGACATGCAGCCAACCAGAGACAGGCACGAATGAGAAACCGCAGATGAGAGGCACAGCCAGAGTGGTGGACTCGGATGAAAGGCGCCCGACGTGCGGTTCTGGCTAGCGATTGCTCAGTAAAGCGTATTTTGTTGTACCGGTCTTCTTCATACTATGGCTAAGGTATTCTACACCAAAACCACTTTGCTACGGTCTATGCTCACACGATTTCAACAGATAGGTTGGCGTTTATGGGTTCGTTGTTTTGGATACGAATGTAGCATGGAGCTTTTGTTATCATCTTAAGAAAGTCTGTTTAAGTTGGCGGGATCGTCAACATTTCACATGCGCTGATGGGTTTCGTTACTGAAATGGTAAAAATTTAGAATGTACACAGGCCGCATAATAATGAAATAGCCTTGACTTGAGATAAAGGGACATACTTCATTGATTCATTTGACTGCCTCGCCGTGGTGACGGAGGAAGGAAGAGACGTAGAGCGATTAAAACGAACTCCGGCCTCTACAAGAGCAGCGCACAAGCGTTGAGTCAACTGTCTGCAAGCGCGACGGTGTATGCGGACGAAGTTCATCTGCAACGTCCTTGCATACCTCTCCTGACATGACTCGACGTAGGAAAGCATCTCCCCTGGTTCATACAACGAGAGCGTGAAATTTCAAGTTAAATAAACGTGAAACAACAATAAGCTTTCTTTACTCAAGACCTAAATTACGAAAAGACGTTGGGCCTACTTAAAGGTGTCAAAGTAGTAAGCAATAGAAATAATCTTGGCAACATTACAATCACTTTAAAACTGACTCGCTCTACTGACTATTAACCAGTTGTTTTAATGTGCCCATTGCCTTACATATCTGCTTCCTCATTTGTCAACACTGTTTTGACTATTTTGTCTACTTTTATGAACTGACCACCAGAAGTTGGTGATACCAAGTCACTAGTTGTTACGTACTTATAATGCTTGCTACCTTCATGAATCTTCATATGTGCGCAAAACACCTCACTAGGATTAATATTTCCTGTTATTTTACTACCCACATTCAAAACATGTTGGGACAATCAAGACTGTCTTGAGTCATTTCAAATGCACCTTAGCTGAAGGACGTGTATTTGAGAGAAAGAAATGACATGATGCACAAACCCACCTGACCTGTTGGTTACACTATTATGCCAGCAGAGCTGTCCATGTCTCTGCATGTCGTTGCAAATACATTTGTAAACACTTTAACAGTACGTTTCTTAGGAGTCATTTGTAAGTTGTGTCTTGATACACAGACCAGAAAGGGCAAATTAATTGCCTTTGCATTTGATTGCATCCATTTCACACACAAACCTCCGCCAACAGGCAAGACACACGTGAGCAAATGAAAGAGGGCCTTGTGTCCAGGTAATGAGGATGTCAACACTCCTTGTTAAAAGTTTTGTCGATTAGAAGTAAAAATGTGCTACCATAGTGCCCCTACTAAATCGTGTTCAATTGTCTTAAGCATTAGGAGAATATTAAAAAGGACCCAACGATCTTAAACATGGCGCTTCGCTTAACACCAATTACTGCACCTAGTATTTTCACCTACAGCTCGCCCACTTTTTCCACTGAAAACAATTGGTTTAAGAAGGTTTTCATATCCCGCTTAACCACTTTACTTAAAACCGAGGAAATTGATGGGAACTGCATTCAAGCTGTGAGTTTCGCAGGTCCATTCTCTTAACAGCCAATATGATCGTCGACCATAATTACTTTATTGCCCGTTTTTAAACTTGCATCTCAGCACAAAACCCAAACAGGAATTCTCAAGAACACAGAAGCACTAAAAGAACAAAATACGGTACAACTCAGAAGGTAGAGTAATAAGCCATTGTTTGTAGACATGTTTGGTAAAATGTAAATATACAAAAAACCAGAGCCAAAAATCCAGTCAGTTAACTAGTAATTGTCAATATAATCCAAAATCACAGAGGCAGCAGTTACTCTCATTGGTTAACAACCCCACCAACAGACTGGCAGACTATAAAGCGGAAAATAATTCCTTACAATCTTTGCAGATGCATGAAAAAGACTAGGCGCAGCAGACAGAACAAAACAAAACCACTGGAATTAAGGTAATGGCAAAACTCAATTCCATAATTCCAACCTTTATAGAAAAAACCGTTGAGGGCGCTTGAGGATCAGTAATCAGGAAACAAGTTTTTGGATTATAAATAAGTGAGAAAGGCTGTAATTACTAGCCATTTATTTGTTCAATGGCTGCCTTGCATTCCACATTTACCAAACAATTGGGAATAGTAGTAGAGGTCCGACAACGTGCATGTGTCCAATGACTTCCGGACATATTCTGCTGATGCCTACTCACTTTCATTCGACGTCGTTTGTTCGTATAAAATTTTCTAAGACCACTTTTTGACTCCGCTACACCCCACTATTCACCTACACCTCATTGTATCACTAAACCGATCAGACTAATGTCACATTTCCATGGCATTAATAAAAAAACTGTTTTGCTTAAAATAATACTTGTGTCGTTGCTTTCAATGTCCCGATTTAAAAAATTCAGCAATAAGCACGGCACGGTGCTAATTTGTACCAAAACATCGAAAGGCATTCCGCATCCGAGGGGACTACAACTGTAAGTCACGTCTCTAAATATTTAGAATTAACCGAAAACGCATTTTGTACACACTGAATTCACAAAAGATGCTTCAAAAGCGAAAATTATATACTTAAGCAAAACAGAAGACGCAAAACTCAATCTTCAGATTGGAATCTATACACTAGTTATCTGATGACCCATGGAAAACTCTGCATCTACAAGAAGGCAAGCAGTGTACCTTTGATTTTCTTCAAGACTTCGCTGGAAACCGACGCTTGACCCGCTTCCACCGATTTCCCGCCTACTTGAGTTGCAGAATCGACAGTAGTCACACCGAATGCTGCGCACTTGGAGGCCAGTTTACGAATAATTGCTACTTCCATCGACGAATCAGAGCTAACCGTTTTCTCAAGCATGCATAACAAATTCACGACGACCGGCTCTTCTGCACTTCTTAATGACAGCTTCTCTGTCAGTCGGTGCTGGTCTTCTTCAAGCACCTAAAATGAAAGTACTCATCAAATCCTGCCAACATGAAATTAGGCCTTATGGTATTTTCTACTAACACCGAATTCACTTAGTGCTGCAAGCAATGACTTCGATGCAACATCGGAAACTCGCTGGACCAAGGTGCGGGCGACTTTCTGCAAAACACACGTAAGGCTGTCCTCGATGAGATCCAGTAAGTGGCTGTTGTTAAGAGCGGAAACAAGTCGGGTAAAGAGGTCGTCCGAAAGAAGACTGGCAATCAAAGGGTGACTGTCGTGTGTCGCGACTACTGTCACAATCGCTGGTTGTGTGCAACTGACAGCCTGATCACGCATGCACTTTGACTAGATGGAAGAACGGCATCGGAACGTAAGAAATGATTTTAACTACAAGAGAGGTCACAAGAAAACACACACACACACACACTTACGCGACGCAGTCGGTCCAATTCTGCCTGATGTTCCCTTGCGTAGGTTGCGAGCCGAGATTCGAACTCTGCTTGACAGAAAGTGCGAATACGACTTGCTTCAAGTGCTGCTCTCTTCTCTGTGTCGGATAGCCAACTGGAACGCGCCTGCTCGATCTGAGTAATAGGTGCAGAAAGGAAATGGATTTCCTGGACTATAGACTGCACTCATAAATACTGTTGGAGAAGATGCCTCAACAATTTGTTTGATTGGTCTGCAAGAACGTTTGAGATTGTGCTACCCCATTTTGCACAAACTATGGCTTAATTGATCGACACTGACTTTAATAGTCTTCGTCAAACAAGTCTAACTTTCAACAATTTACCATCTCACAAGCTCCGTTCTTCAGCAATTGCGTCAGCTGTTATTTGGAACCACCACTCAGTGTAACATTTAACACGTCACTGCTTAATATCTTGTTACTTGTGCTTCATTGAAGCACTAGATCAGTGCAATCGCCATTGTCCAGCGCGCTCGCAGTTCGTTTATTCGAGAGTTGCTCACTCTACAGATGGAGCTCCATACCAGGCCAACCAGTATGTTAAGCTTCCAAACTGTGGCCTCACTGTGTATGCTTCATTGATCGATATGTATCGTTTTTAGGATAACACATACCAACTTCTCTTATAAGTCCGAGTTATCTTTGTTTTGCCTTAATCGACCTCGGTGTGTCCATGTGGACGAGGAAACTCACTAGCATTCGGATAGGTGCACTTCCGGCCTCCATGCTGTCTACAGCATCGTGACCTCTATTCACAATGAAAATAACGAGCCAAGTAGACTTATTTTCTGATGACATGAGTACTAGTGTCGAAAACGTTTCGGTTGAAACTATTCTGCTGAATCAAAGAAAGTGTACAGAGTCACGTGACAACTCGTTTGTCAAAATAACAACCATTTCAGGACCAGATTTTGCAATAGTTATTTCAATTATGAAAACTCATTTCACTTGATGCAAAGCGATAACTCTGCATTCTGATAAGCGTTCTGACGCTGAGGTCTTAATGGCATATTTTGGTCGTCCAACTTGGAATCAAGTCCAAATGGCCATTAGATGCCTCCCCACACAATTCAAGCAAAGGTGCCACGACTACATTACTTCGGGATAATACGCAGTTATGTAGCGAAAATGGAGGGCGCAACTGCGGATGCCTGCTTGTGATGCCGCATTATTCGTAACAAATTGTACCCTACCTCAAAATAGGCTGTGTTGTCCAGGTCAAATTACGAGTTGAGCACTTTTTACCCCACCCTGTACTGTGCTTAAGTACTCTGGCATGAGACGCATCAGATAAAAACAGCTGAAAGCCGTCTACCCAGCGTCTTCTTGGCACAATCCTCTAGTCGTTGCAATTGTGTTGGGCTTGCGGACTACCGCAAATTTATAATTACCAAACTGCCACTTTACTTCTCTTCTCAATTTGTCGCGGAAACAGATTCATTACATTGAGACCTTTAGATATGAACACTGTAGCCATTAAGAGACGCCAGCCACAAGTCAAATGATCTTCTTTAGAAGAGTGCCATTTTATGGGAGATGGGGCTGGCTTCCTCCTCCTCCTCCTCCACTATAAGGTTTATATGCTAGGTTTTCTGAAAACATGGGTGCAGAAGGAATCAAACATTTTGGGAATTACGTACCAGCCAGTAATCCCAAAGCAAAGGCGTATTTACCCAGATATCTTACAGCATACGTAACAATACAATAAACGCTCAGCACACTCAAGTTGCAAAAACGTGGAGTTGTGTGGTGACAGTTTCGGACATTCGTGAGGACTGACGCGGTGTACGGGAAGTCGAAAAGAAGATTCATTAAACCAAGTTTTGCACCCAGCTTAACGAAAGTGACACTTGCACGTAAAGATTCTTCAGTTTTAAACAAAGAGGCAAGAAACTTTCCTTAGTAGAAATTCGAAAAGGAAATTTCGTTAAAAATAATGCACACTTACCTGGCGTGGCAACTCTTCCCGCCAAAACCGAATGCGTTCATTTTCCCGTTCTCGCATAGCCTACAACAGATAACAATTTATAAAAACATTACTCAATCAAGTAAACCTATTAATAAACGAAAATGTTTCATGGCAAAGACCTCTAGCGACAGCTAGGCAAGGTAATAATGCTCACCTCGGCCAATGTTAACTCCACAGCTTGAGTGGTAGCCGCACGAGCTTCTTGATACATTCTAGCCACCCTTTCGAGCTCACTGCGATAAGCGGAACATTCCTCCCTAAAGTAAAATGCAATAGGTTAAAGAGGCAGAGGCACCCTGCTCTGAATTCGAGCGAAGGGCTTTCCAAATTGGATAAGCAGAATGAACCTTGGGCACATTCAAAAGAGCTGTCGCCTCCACTTGTCAGTGTGCAGAGTTTAGAGCCCGTACTTGAAAACGCGTGGAAACGCATCACCAACCTGCTTATTTCTGGCGCACTGAACTGCATCTAATGCCATCAACTAAAAATACTAGATTATGACTTGCTAGAGGGCAGATGCAAGTAACCAAGGCAAGTTTATTGGATAGTTTAATGCATTACACATAATAGGACTGGCCGCATGTTTTTAAAGATCAGCCAGCAAACAATCCTTCTTGGAATACCCACTGTTCTCTTTTAAATCGTCATCACTCATGTAGACTTAACAAATGAGTTACCGGTAATGTCTCAAAAAGCGCCTTTCTCAGCGTACAAACAGCAAATACAGCCTCGCTCTGCGAGCCCATAGAACAATTGGGAATTTATTTCACCACAAGGTTGCAAACTGAATCCATTACCTACCGGTTATTGCGTCAATTTCAACGTCGGCATTAGCGCATAACAGCAACACCTTTACACAATTATAAATTATAATGGTCTAGTCAGAGATAAACTTGTGTCGGCTGTTGTCTCAACTCCTCGTCTATTTTATCACTGCGTTATCGCTTACGTAAGAGATGGCAGCAATGACGACGCCAACTTTCTCAAGTTACGCAGTGCCATAGACCGTCATAACCTAATGACGAGGAGTACAACTTAGTTGATCTTTTAAACGGGAAAGAAGGAGGGTGCACCACACAGTCCGACGATGTGGTATTTCCACTGGCCACAATTTTAAGAACCGTAAATGTATGATGAAAGGATGGAGAATACGACAAAGCATCAAGATAGCTTAATTGCAATTAATCCGATTAAAATCATCGAAAGAAAACATTTGTTGCAGCTGACATGAGCCCTCATCGGAAGACGCATAATTAAACTGTAGTGCATTTAGGCGTCAATAACCAATTGCTATCAGGGTGACACAAAATCACAAGTCAACGCTTCCTCAAAGTCAGCTGTCATTTGACCCCCCTCGATTTTCGTCGTGACGTTAAACTACTTTTGTCCATTAAGATAGAAGCAATACCAGGGTCATATTTTTGATCTTAAATCAGCTTGCATAGACGAAGATGGGGAGGTTCAGCTTCACGCTTGTACCACATGGAGCAAACTGGCGATTCCACAACCATTTTCCTACGGTCCACGCTCACACGATTTCAACAGAAAGGCTGGAGCTTACGGGTTCGTTGTCGTGGGTTCGACTGTGGCATGCAGTTTTGCTATCAAATCTTAAGAAAACGTTTGTTTAGGTTGGTCGGATCAACATCATTTCACGTGCGCTCATGGGTTTCGTCATTCAAATGATAAAAGCTTAGCCTGGACACAACCCATATATTAATGGAACAGCACAGTTGATAAAATTTGTGGAACTGCGCTCAGCCGGGAAAATAGCTGTTCTGCTCTGAGTTGAACGGCTAAACAGATTACACACCAGGGACTTTCGCAACAGCGGCAAATGTCGTGACCCTCCAACCCAACGTCCTAACTAATAATGCAACTAAATTGAACAACACACCGAACTGAATTAAGCAGGCAGCTGATTAAGAGGGACACAAAACACCATGATCTAGGTGTATGAAGGACTAAAACTTCAATAATTGGCTCAACTCGACACACAAAAAAGCCCGAATAAAAGATAACGTCAGCTTTGACCATGTGGTGAATCGTGCTAAATCACCTCCGTCAACTCTGTCGTCGCATTCCAAGACATATCGCCCCCTCTTTGATACAGCGTCCCAACCAACCATGTGGATCGTCCGGTCACTTATCCCTGCTTATTGTACCTCACCCATTACACGCTTCATTCACCTAATCATTCAGTCATTTGCACTTCTACTAGTTCGCCCAAACCCTTTTCGTCAACTTCATTCATCACACGACCTTGAATATACCCACACACAATAACGATACACATAGACTAGGCCATCTAATAAACACTTGTGTCCCCACTACCTCTGGTCCTCTTAGCCTTCCCGGATATCTGTTTAGCGTCTTTGGTCCAATACAACGCGGCGGTCTCGGTGTGGCTCAAAATCACATGTCGGGGCCTCCAACAACTACTAACGTGACACCAGTAATGCCGTATATTTTGGCGGCTCCGAGAATTTACCTAAGAACCATACTCTGACCACCCAGTAAGGCTAACGAAAGCTAATGATGTACAACAAGGTTCGTTTCCTGCTCTAACAAGAACTATCAGGGAGTTCGCGGTTAAGTTGGTAAATTTAGGCACCTCATTTTTAAAGTGCCAGTTCTAAAAAACAAGGACGATATTTACAAATAAGCAGTGTACAGAGAAAGTGTCTTGGAGTTTTGTGACTTTAATCCTAGCCTTCAAGTGGTGGACTGGAAAACTAGTGAAGTGCATGCTCTTGATTAGAAAAAGCCATGCTTCAGTTCGTCCAAACAAAACTTTAGAGTTGCGTTAAAATTTCCCTTGTAAGTATCTAACTGCAATGATGGACACAATTGTGTGAAGGAAACAAAGGTCATTTTGGCCATAAATGCGAAAGTGAAATCGCGCGCTATATGGTTGTGTTTGTGTTGTGTAGCCGATTTAACGCCATGAATAAGAAAATTGTCTAGATGTGCGCCAGTGTTAGTACGTTTTTCTCAAATCAAGCCCCTGAGGAAGATGTTCAAAACGAGGATATTCGACTTCAGTCTGAGGTAGGTTAAATCCCCAATTGCGAAATTTAATTGTATTTTACACGATGTGTTTTGTTTTCATGCGCTAGCAAAGTGTGCTAAATCTTTTGCAGCTTAATCGACTTCTAAGGAATGAATTTGATAGAACAGAATTTGATTCGAATTCGGAAACTGTTGAATCAATAGATTCTGGGATACTTTGGGGTGGTTGTGCTGAGCAAAACCAGATCTTATCTGCGCCGTCACCGGAACACTCCGCTACGAAATTAAGGACTGTGAATGACGCAGAAGAGGTAGGTAAGCAATTTAAAGTAGAGGCGTTATGCAAAAGACTGTAGTAATTATGAGGATCTCAAAACGAAACGTATGAGAACGCAATGTAATGTACAAGTTCTGGTCAAACTGCTTCCTGTAGATTTTTCATGACCAGTTTCAACGTTGGTCAATGTGAGACTTGGGGCTTGTGATAATTCATCGACATCAATAACTTATATGTTTAATCATAACAAGGATTCAGCGTTGCAATCTGTGTGAGGAGACATCTCAACGTGTTCTTAGTGCCATTCAAAGCCACTTACACCGAAAGACTATCTTTTGCTTACTTGAGGCTTTTACTGTTACTCTTTTAGTTACGTCTACATTCACTAACGTAGAAAATGCGTGTGTAAATGTGTGCTGTGTAATGCACTTTCCGCATTTCTATTGCCTAAGCAAGCAAGTGCCCGCAGAAGTTATTACTTTCTCAAGAGGCACTGCTTTTTTCCAAAAAGCCTATTTATACGAATCCCTCGTGTATTTGATCGAGTCTTCCTCCCAAAACCAAATTACACATACGCCTTTTCATACTTTTTCTAGCTGTCTGGTCAATACATTTTGTTTCAACAAGGGCTCGCTTGTCATAGCATAGTTGTACTTCTACATCTGAACTATTCAAATGCCTACCACAACCACTACTTCCAAACCAGAACGAACTTTCCACTGTTCTGAAGCATGTGAATCAATGTGTCTATTTGCCTTCCTAAGGCATCTGTCATTTTAACGTGAAGCACTTTAGGGGAATTTTACATGACCTGCTTTTGATCTCCATTTGGTAGGTTCATTTCAACCGTCCTCCTTATGGGTTTGAGTGAAGGAGGTAGTCACAAGTATTGTGCACTTTCCTCATTCATATTGATACACTCGATACAAGGCGATAAGGAGTTTAAAATCAAGGGAAGTTGTTTTGCACGAATTTCGTTGTGTGCTGTAACTGGCCTCAGGTGTCGATTCAGGTGAACGCTAATTTTAGTCTGCATCAAGAATACACATCGCAAACCTCTTGTTTGCAGTCAAAGCATGGACGATAAAAACAGCGAACCTAGCCATGAACACCTCCTGCTTCATTTGCTGTAGTAAGCGTTCGTGTTCGGTGTTGAGTTCCGCTTCGAGGCGCCTGCGTGCGGAGGTGTAGTGCGCCTCGCAGGCGGCGCGGGCGCGCTCCACGGCGGCCTCGCGCTCCGCCGTGCTCGCCTCCAGGCGCTCACGGGACGCTCGCTCGGCGGCGGCTGCCCGCGCCTCTGCTGCCAGTGCGTCCTGCAGTCGACAGCGTAATGTCTACAACAGACAAATCTCTACAAACAGGACGCTTCTGTGTTGATACTTTAGCACATTCATGTCAAATAACTGGGAATCACACGTTTGGTGTGTTAAATTCAAGGTAATTACATTTCACCTCTAAGGTTAACCTGAAGAGTCTAGCGCAATGTGAGGTAACCTTACAGTAGAATGGGCCCCATGGAGCCGTTTTGTCAATAATGCTGTTTAACGGACGAACATAACGAGCTGCAATTTCCACATTGTAATTGTAACTGCGGCAAATAAATCGGCGCCCCCTTTGTACGGCTGGTAAGAACAAAAGTTTCAGTGCGTGTAGATTGGCAAAACAGACAACTATAAGCATTTAGGTACCAAACTATGGCATTTAATGCCGTGAATCTAGAACATACTATTAACCTCAGCGAACTCACTTATCAGCTGACCATTTTTGCATTGCTTGTGTTTGATTTAGTCCGCCTATTTATATCCCGATGGCTAATGAAGCAAAATATGGGTACCCAAAACCGACTTAAAATAATAACATACTTGCAACAACCATTAAATGTGTAGTTCTGAGGGATTTCAAAAAAGCTTCAATATTTTAACTAATCTTACTTAAAGCAAATAAACATTTTAAGACCTCATAGTTACTCTTTTAAATATCTCAAATGCATCTTCCCTACATTCGTTACGCTTTTTGCTGCAGTATGATTTGGGAATGTTTGCCATGTATTTGAACGTCCCAAACGTATCAAATGGAAAGGCTAACAAAGGTTATTTACAACACAACCAGAATATTTTGCCTGATTTTGTCACTGACGGTATGGAGCGACAATAGAGTTACGATAAGAGCACCCTACCGGCGAAACCAATGCCAGAACGTCATAGATAAGCTTAGTGTCTGCAAGAGTCAATGTTCTGACTCCAAAATCACCTAGTGCACGCGAATTTAAACAAACAAAATAAAATGCACATGAAGACCTGTAGTTCAGCTTCGAGGCGAGAGTAATCGGCCTGTAGACGCTCAAGTTGGCCAACGAGTGCTGACTCACGAGGGCCAGGTTTTCGAGCATCCTCCTGGAGACTTAACTCCTTTTCGAGAGCAAGGATGCGCAACTAAAAACAAACTCGGGTTACGCACAAAGAAATTGAGGTGTTCATTTGTTTTCAAGATGCCCGCAAACCGACGTTGGTTTTTTTCGTTTTTCATAAAATTGGGGTCAAAAAACCAAATAGACACTAATGTTTATGAATTTTCTCTATCAACACGATGGCAGCATTGCTCACCTAATTTCATAATATCAAGTATTGTGAACCAATGTGGCAGGAGCAATCGCCGCGAAAATGCGTACATAAAGCGGATTTTGTGATGAAATAACTAACAGAAGCAAATACCAAAAGAGTGGCTGCGTCTTCTGGTAAATTCTTATTAACAAAGACCAAGAATTTTTTAAATTAAAAAGGCCACCTGCAAAAAAACACAATAAAAAATATAGATTGACGTTTATTTTCCTGTAAAGGTTATTCAGCTTTTTAAAAATGTAACCCTAGCCTTTAAAAAGTCAAGGTTAACGTACTTGGAGATCATTTCGGGCGGCCTCAGCGCGATCGCGTTCAGCTATTGTTTTATGTAGTTCACAACGAGTGGCAAAGAGCTTCTCGTGCAATGCGGTAATTTGCTGCCGTTTCGCACGATACGAGGTCAACGCTACCTTCAGTTCGGTTTTCAAGGCTGAGTTGGTATTTTGGGCCTTCAGGAAACCCAGATCACTTGCTGAGCCCAGCCCGTGTGCCGCAGCAAAGCTAACACCAGGAGTTGGACCCAGAGCTGACCTATAAAAAGCATTTAATACGGATTTGAAATACCAGGACTTGAAATACCCTGACCTCAAAGTACACAATAGGCGCGAATGTCGAACAAGACGATTGTGGATCTAAAAGCCTTTTTTAAATAATTTTACAGCTAACTCGATTATTTTTCCTTAATTGGCTTGTAATGGCTTTCGTCCAAAAGGTATAGGCTCAAATCATTTGACCCTTACAACCCTAGAACGGGTTAGTAGCCTAGGTTTATAATACAACAATATTATGGAGGAAGGTAAATCAGAGACTATGGGTTAATTCAGCATGGTATTCCAAAGAACAGTTAAGTCTCCCTGTCAGAACTGTTACAACATCGCCATTGTACGAAGACGCTCTTTAAAAATGTGCAATGAAAACTGACATCTGGCTCAGCACCCGTAATCGTACGATTCATGACAATTGTAATAGCTGAAGAAGATTAAATAAAGAGCCAACAACCACCTCAATTTCTATAATCGAGTAATATAAAGGGCTGAACTTGAGCGCATTTTTTGAACGCCACATAAAATGAAGTGACAATAACCCATATGGTTGGGCAAGCTGCAGCAGTCAATGAGATTGAGATAAGAACACTAAAAAGTTAGGGATACTGGTCATTTTAATACCAGATGCATTTACGTCGTTTCATTTGGAAAAAACTGATTTAATAAATCTGGACGCGTATTTTGGCTAGGTTTAAGACAAGTTGTGGCAAGCACTGAGGGGGCGTGGTTTGGCCCTTCCGAAGTCTCACCGTCGCGAGGGTGCGGCGGAAATGACTTCGTCGTCGCTAACAGTAGCCACTACGTTGTTTCCTTGATTCCATGTAGAGCATAGAGGAGCAGATACGGCAGACGAAGGTCTTCGAGGTCTTCTAAGACCACTAAGGTCGTTGTCCTCATCTTCAACATGTGGTGCAAAAGTGACGGATTGACAACTTCTCCTTCGCCGATTTGAAAGGGGTCTAGAAATTACAGTTGAAAGAACAGAGCCTCCGCTGTCTTGGAAAAGCGGTAGATGGTGCCTCGGGGTTGTAAACAACCCTGAGGTCTCTAATGACGACTCTGTCTCAGCTGCATTCCCAACTGCGCCACTAATTCCCAGGCTCTGTTCGTATATCGCAAGTTGTTCTCGAACATCCTTTAACTCTTCCTTTAAACAAAAAAGGTAATAGTTGATTATTTTACAACAACTTTTGTTATTATTTTTAAACAATTGCAAACTAGCCTGCAAAATTTCATTAATATCATCAGTAACTTTTTTCGAAGTGAGAATCTCCTGCAGACGGCGACGCAGTTCGTGAACTTCCGTGCATAACGCTAAATGTTTGTCAACGAGCCAATCGCAAACATACAAGAGGAAGATAGTTCATTGCATCTGTCTTGAGCAACTTTCAATTTGGTCTGAAGGTTTTCGACATAATCAGCATGTTCAGCCACTAGATCTTGACTACGAAGGCGTTCCGCTTCTAAATCTTTTCGGATTGAGAGCAACTCGTCTTCCTGAAAAAGAAGCGCTTAACGAGGAGACAGTGTAACTAACTTTATCCGCTATCCGTCGATTAGCTATATCCAAGTCCTCACGGAGAACATCTTCGGCCATTGCATGACGGCGGGCAAGACAATCAGCAAGATTATTCTCGCGCTGCTTGGCCAAACTCAAGCTGGTACCACTCGAAAGCTGCACAAGTTCGGCTGAAAGAGAGGCATTCGTGGCCTCCATATCTGCGAGTTTCTTGTCCACCTAAGCAGAGATCCCAAGACAAAATTAGAACCCCATGTAGAAACCTGTAGTTCTGTGTAAGCAGAAAGCCTACATTTTGAGTTCTACACTGGAAAATAACGCGTATTAAGTTCTACATCAATTAAATAACGTAAAACTATGAAAGATTTCAAAACTGAGCAAATCATATCCAAGCGCAATTTTTGCGAAGGTCACATAACAATAAAATAAAGTCCCAAAATATGTCACTAAGAAAACACTTTCGCAAAAGTCAAGGTACCCAAGTAAAACGAGCAAATATATTTAAATCTCAAAAACAATCGCCTACTCATCCGGCTTGCACTAAAGGATTCGAATACAGAAAAATACCATCTCCAAATCATGAACAGAATGTACACGGGTCCATTTAAACCTAAACGGGCGACTTGAATCTGCGTTTTTGGGGATTTAACGATTCACCCTGGTTGGAATAAAATTTCAAAACGTTTACAATAATGGTGAAACCAATTTCGATCGATCGCATACACCGAACTTGGAAGAGCTCCGGGCTAGATTCTGGGGCAGATACAGGGCGCCCGGTGATTCTACAAACTATTGAAACGATCAGGTCTGCCCTTCAAAGCTGAACTGAAGTAAAGTGACCATTTACTCAAAAAAAACAGCCAGTTACTAATACGAAGAGACAACCAACCTCAGTCTTCAATTTTTTCAGTGCGTCAAGTTCACTCGCAAGGTTTGAATTGGCTTCAAGTAATGCAGCGTTGGCTTTTTCGGCAGCATTTCTCAAGCCCTCCGAGCGTTCTAGTTCCCGCACCAACGTCTCGATCTCAGCTGTGAGCACAAACAAGATGACTTCAACAAAGTACATTTACTGGTGTTCACAGATTACAAAATATCCACCACCGTGATCACAAATTAACCTAGGCCGAGTTACGGGTTGTATTTCAGAACCCCAAATTGTCATTTTCAAATGCGTCTAGCCAAACACGCATAAACATTTTATCCCAAACTCAAACTTATGGAACGCGTATATTGACAAAACGGTATCGGGAGTACCTTAAGAATCACGCATTAAATACCCAAACGCTACTGGACTTAAACACGGCATGCTATGAACATCTGCAAATATACGAAGTTCTAAACCACTTCCCAGAATACAACGATGTGGTGGATAAAGATAGTGAAAGCGAGTCCAGCAGGATATTGCACCCTCTGATAAAACCGGTTCTTCGATATTTAAAGGTGGCAGCAAGTCGACATCAAGAGTAGTCGGTTTGAGATTACACAAAGAAATTCGTAACGTCGTTTTTGACTTCTTCCACACATTCAAATGTCCTGCCCTTCTAATCGCGTTGCAAAAAACGAGGTGCATCAAAGTCCGAAGGGACAAAGTTGGAAGAATACGACCAGTGATGGAGGAATCCCCAGTCCAGCTCATCAAATTCTGTAGTGTCTGATGAGCAACATGTGATCATGGTGACATTTCATGGTGTAGGTGAGGTCTTTTTGGTTGCTCGGAGTTCAACATTAGGTTGGGTGGGTTGCCCACAGTTCTGCTCTGCGGGTGCGGTTTGGCCAACCGACACGAAACAACACATTCAGTGGAAGCAGTTCAGCCGTTGCCACGGATTCCGCTCTACCATCTCCATGCTTCTAGCTCCCCCTGTGTTGCTACACAAGCCACTTTTAGTCCCCAGTCGTGACTCGACCAATGACAAGTTCGTTTCATTGACGCCTGAGGAAACAAGTGGGTGTGGAAACACAATTCAGCTTGTGGCACTTTGTCAACACACGTACGAAATCCACTTGTTGACACCGAGGTTCGAGGTCCAATCAAGTTGCTTTAAATTCCGAATCCCATACGATTTGTCACCAATAAGTCCCTAAGCAATCCTCTCAATGGTAATCCAAGGTTTATTCACTAAATCGCGGAGTAAGTCGTTCACAATTTCCGAAGGCCTCTCTAACATAGTTGATCGTTTAGACTGAAGTCACTAAACCACTTTTTAACTGTCCCATGAACAAGATCACAATACCAATTCATCTCTCGATGGCCTCTGCTTCACATCAAACCCCCTTTTTTTCCAAAAAACACACACTACATGAAATGTCAAAATTCTAGCCTTTCATTCTACGTTTTTATTAACAACCCTGCACACAATATGATCTAATATAATTGAGTCATGACCCCTTTAGACAACTGCATCATAGTAAAATGATTATAAAAGAAACATCAAAACGGTTTCAAATGCATGCTTCTGTCACCTATGAACGTCTGCCAAGCCTTGGCCCTATCAATTAATAGGGTTTCACCAAGATATGCAAACGTCAAAGTAGACACCTGCTATGAAGACCTGTGATGTTGTATTTAGACACCGAAGGCCAACTTTAGCTTAACTGACGGAAATTATAAAAAGCTCAAATGGAATTGCTGGGTAGGGACTCAGGCGCATTATTTGGCGCTAAGTGGAAGTCACGTATTTTTGATGCACCTGTGATGCTGGAACAAAAGCGCCTAAAATGCGTCAAGGCTCTGCTTTCTTGGGAATCCCATTTCATTGTGTTGGATTGTGACGAGTTCATTGAAAGAAACAACTTACCTTTTGCAAGGATTGATTGGTGCTGGCTAAGTTGTTCATACTTAGCTAGCTCCTCTTTTAGAAAAGCGATCTGTTCTTGAGCTTTTTCCAGTTGCCGTCCCCGTGCCTCGAAAATGAAACATTCACGATTTCGCTCTTCAAGTTTGACTTTTGTCTCCAGTGCATCCGACCAAAGGCATTGTCCTTCTAAATAATATGCACATTATTTTCGTGTAAAATAAACCGTAGAATTTTTTTGGCTAGGAAATCTAACCTAGTTAACAAATACAAAAAAACATCAAAATGTGGCATTTTTATTCATTTAACTACGGATAAACGATTCCTAAAATGCCAAATGTGCCTCGTAAGAGTTGCTCATAACAAAATCGGCAATTTAAATACTACCATAAGTAATTTTTTATGAAGTTGCAAATTTCGTGAACTGTCGAAATCTACGATCAGCCAAGAAGTTTTGCAAATCAGCACCCTAAGCAGTGCCTACGTGGAGAGATCGCCTTCGTGCTGATGTAGTCAGGGAAATTACAAAAGCGTGTAGTAATAGGTAGTACAGAAATTTACCTCCAGCTTTATAATTTCATTAAATCGAAAATGTTAACAAATTGGAGGTGTTCATTAAGTTGATTTGGAAACAGCACTACCTTGATCAGGAAGAGCAGAAACGTGAAGGTTGGTAACACCTGAATAGCTCTGATTAGGACTCAAAGGAGCTGGGGAAGCGTGTTCATCGGGTTCTGGATTAAGGAGAGGTTGGAACTGAAACTGGGCTATCCGAGGAGAAGTTGACCTAGTCGGAGACCTAAGAGAACAGCTCCCAGTGTGTGAATGCACTTGCAGTGTCCTAGTACGATCATCTGAAGAAATGACAAAACGCAGGTGAATCGTACACAAGGCAAAAGCAAGAAAATATAATGTAGTAACAAAATGCTTTCTTACGTTGGTAAAACGAAAGGTTCGGTAAGCTAAGAGCGGGTTGATTGAGAATTACTTCAAATTGGGGACGAGTTGGAATCGAAGGGGAATGTGAAGCACAGACGGCGTCCATTGGTGTGGTCTGGTCATATAGTGTTGAAGCACTTAACAGAAAAATTTACCATCACATTATAAAAATCAGATCTATAACTCTTAAAAAATAGCTTGGCATTTTTTTTCGTTTCTGCAAGTCTTGTTTAAGAAAAAACAGGTGCAAATACAATATCGAACTCAATTGCACTAAAGAGCTCTTGGTGGTCGATAAAATAAGTAATCACATATCATGAGTAATGAAATCGGATTCACCTGTGAAAAGGACTTACAGTTCGTCTCCAAGAGACTGAGAACCCGCACTACGATGGTCAGCAATAGTTTCATCGCAATGATTCACATCGTACAGTTTAGGTGGAAAGTAATGTGATTCATGGAAATCGAGGGTTGGGGGAAAAATCTGCGGAGCCATGTTCTGATTCATAGTACAAACCTGACCAGGTAAATAAATCATGAAAGATAACTGTTATTTTAAAAGCGGTAATTTGACGCTAAACGAAAAAGACCACGAAAATAAATAATAAAGTACGAGAAGTACATCAAAGACTTCTAGTTATATCCGTATTTCAAACCACTTTAAGCAGTTCAAAACTAGAACAAAGTTGGAAAAAAACAATCTTTAAGACCAAAAAAAGGAGCAAAGCACAAAAAACGTGTTGGGAACAAGTTGCATACAACTTCATGAGCGTTGTAGAATTGACTTCAAACAAGAGGTTTGCGATGTGTATTCTTGATGCAGACTAAAATTAGCGTTCACCTGAATCGACACCTGAGGCCAGTTAC